GCCCTGGTCTGCCCAATAGCCTCTGTGTTAAGTGACTTTGACTATGAGCATCACGCTTTGCAGGTGACGTGTACAGTTGCAGAATAAGGGTCTCTCATGTCTGTCCCCCTTTTGAGTAAAATGCCCTTGAACACAACAAGGGAATAAGAACACCTGTGCAGACTGTCCAGACTTCACTTAAGTTTGATGGTTTTCTGAAGAGCAGGGTGCCAAACATGCTGCCTTAGTTTGCAGGAGGGATTGTCCATTTTGTGACAAAATGTCAAATGAAATATAGTAGTTTCATTGTGCAGAGTGTAGTGTTAGGCATTGAGAGCAAATATCTCTGAAAATGGAGCTACTTTCACTTTTAGTGATTGTTTATGTCACACTTTCAGTGTTTTGAGAATTAAGGCCACCACATGTATGTGCCTGTTATTGAAACAATGTTTAGAATAGAACATTGTACCACTCTCTGGTACAATTTCTGAGTAGGAAAAGGGCTGTTGTGGCTACCAGGCAAGTTGTGCTAGACCTAGTCATTGTTTACCCAGCGAGCCTACTGACACAAATGTTTCTCTGTAATCTATAAACAGTCTTCCTCAGACTTTTATTTGTTTACATGTTGGAACCATTCAGCATTGTTTAGTCTGAAAATTATTGCAATTTCAAAGTCAGAAAACTTAATTTGTTTAACTAAAAACATGCACAGCTGAATAATAAAACATGCACTTTCAGTTTCACTTTTAGACTATCAAATGATTCACCCCTAGATTGTGTAATCTTCCCATTCCCCAATATGATGAGACATTTTTCTTGTTAGTGCTTGCCCAGCTGCCTCCATGTGTTTTTGTTGTGCTGGAGCTGTGAAGCAGAGCTTACAGGCGCTCACAGGGCGGGACAGAGCTACTGTAGGAGGATTACTGATAATCTGAGTCACTGCATGGTCCAGTCCAAGAGGGCCCTTGCCCTGCCCTGTACCAGCATGACTGACCGCATATGGTCACTGGCTACATGATCAAGCCCAAATGCATGTGTCTTATGTAGCTTTCTAGATGACAGACTGAATATACAGTTTATGTTATACAACATTATCACTGTAGGACTCCTATAGCTACATTCAGACATTTATAATAAAAATATTGTAAAAAGGACAGTATGACAGAATCTTAAAACCATGCGTGGGAGAGATGGGATTACTTAGCTCATGTAATACCTAACAGCTTTACAATGACTGCCAGAGGAATACATTTACTGCTCTTATTAAGTGTGCTGTAATGGAAAACGTTAACCCCCACACAATGTTTTTCGTAAACAACAGGGCTATTTGTGGCTTATAAATACGGCAATTAGATTAATTTAGTCTATATCGATTCAGAACATGTGTTGTGGAGGTCTCAATATTGATGCTTTTTCTACTACACAGTTGGCATATAGGGAATATGTTATGCAATGTTATTTATTTACCCCAACTGAAAAAGTGAAGGAAGAGACAAATTTATCTCCATTTAAAGCCTAGTCAATTTGCATGGCGAGTGGAGCAGAAAATACAGTGTGTGTCTATTTTTATCCACAGTGCTGAATGAGAAGCACTGTCAAGTAATCTGTCAAATTCTACACACTGTCACCCTCACTGTGAGTGCAGTCATCTTAACTTCCATGTGACACATATCTTACAATTGTAAAGGGCATAACAAGCCAGTAGTTGTTGTTCAAAAATGCATTGCCTGTTTTTGTATCATGTACAGGTGTTACAGTTGTTGCATTTTTTGGTCTGGATGAAGACAACGCAGTATTGTTGTTGTTTTTCAATTTTCCTAACCTTAAATATTATAGACTTCCTAACAGAGTTTGGTAGGTCTCTTTTAAAGTTTACAGTCTTCTGACATCTCTCTGCAGTCCAAACAGGAAAGGACAGGTGGTGTCTAACTTTAGCCCTGTAAAGAACTGTCCTCTACTAAAATATACCCTCGCAAACTCACTACAACTCTCCAAGAGCACCCTGGTGGAATTATATTGCTACACACAGGGAGCCAGCTGTTGGATTGGGTCTCGTGTTGTGCATACCTGATCCGGTTAAGTCACTGATGAAGCTACATTAGGTTGAGTGCTAGCAATTTCTAGGACTCTACATTCTGCCAAAATCTTGGTCCAAATACAACATGTGCTACCACTACTGTTATTATTGCTAAACTTTATTCTCATTTCAGATTATGACCATGTAAAAAGTGAAAACAACAAGTCAGTGCTTGTTTGCCCATAATGATCCTAATGATCCTAACTCAGTTTTTAATGGGCAATTATGATGCACTTTCCACACATCACCACCAGCAAGTAGGCATTTTAAAGCACGTTTGGGGCCCATAAGGGGCCTGTGACTGTCTTTACTTTTTCTTTATATAATATACTTTAATTAGAGTTTATGGTGCAGTGCTATCAGCAGGAGTGTTCATGAAGGAATCACACACTGTGCAGGGCTGATAACAGATTATGCAGTCTAGATCAGATAGCATCTCTGAGGCTCGCCTTGTTTAGTTTGTGATGTCATGAAGCAGGAACTGGTCTGTATGGGATAGTGGGAATCAGTCTAAACATTATCAGGGTGGAGGTCTGACTCAGTCCCTTCATCCATCTTGTACTTGAAAACATGTACTAATTTCATTATAAGGCAAAATGCTGTAAATTCAGTTTTGAGTATGAAGGATTTGCGCTGCTGTTGACCTTTTGAGTATTCAAAATATGTATCTTGTTTGGAGAATAGTTGCATTCAGGGAAGTGATCATTTATTTGTGAATGGCAATTAATATCCTATGCCCTTACATAGACACATCTTATGTCACATCTTTAGTCCATGGATAAAAATGTATCAAAAATGCCCTCTCTGTTCTTTGTGATTCCCCTGCTATTAGTATGTCCTTTTCCACACTTATGTCTGACCCTTCCTCTTTGAAATGGGCAGCTGTATCGCTCCAAGTGCCTCTGAGGAATTCCCCACCTCTTCCTGAGCCTCCCCTGAAAAGACCAGAAAGGCATCCCAGGGCAGAGAAGTGAGAAGGGTTTGTGTAGACAGAGAGGATGAGGATGTGGTTGGTAGTGTTCTGGTGGTCAGAAGATGGGACCATGTGGTGTCTGCAGTGTACCTCGCATGTAGCATAATCACATCTGGACCTGGAGACTTGTAGCTGGTAAAAGAGAAAGCTGTTGAGGATTGTGAGTGAGTGCTCAATATACTACTCTGAAATGTTGCTTGACTAAGCAAGGCCTTGTACCCGATAGTGAACCATGAGTGAAGAACATGGTTCAATATTAACTGCTTTACTTTATGGTTCTCATTCACTACAATGCCTATTAAAATGTGTAAGTGATATCACAGTATTTGATTTTATTTTTAATGTTTACTGCATGGTTGCAAATTGTGTTTTTTAACTACAAGAATTAAAAGTCAGGTACATGACCTTTTAATGCTACACAAAAAAATAAATTTGTGTATTTATAACTTTGATCAGATAAATTTAAATAATAAGAAATTAATTGTGATTAGAAGAGATAATCTAAACCAAGCAAATGCTACATTTTGCTACATATCTTTGCAATGTTAACAGGACACATCTTCAGTTCTCACTATAAGTTTTATAAGGGGCATCTCACTTCACCTCCTAAATTGCATGGCAGACCTCCTCCACTAAAACAAGATTAAAGTCCCATCACCCTGCTTCGTGCACTGCTATGGGCCCACACTGGCTCAATGGCCTCCTGAAGCGGATAGATGGTTGCAATCAAAGTGAAGAGGTTGTGGAGACTATTACTCTGAATGTGGGAGTGTAAAGTTGCTGAGATCAGAGTTGTTCTTCTCTGTTCACACTCTGCACATTAGTCTGGGCTGCTTTGAAACAGGAAAAAAACTATGTGAATTGTGAAATACATTTTACAGTCTACAAAAGATAGCGAAAGCCTCGACTAGCAAGTTATTTCAATTTCAGGCCTGATGTAGACCTGGTGTCCAAACATGATGACTAGGCTACAAAAGAAAGTATTTTAATTGTACTTTCATATGTGTCTTTCACTTTTTTCAAGTGCCTGGATTTTCAGGATTGTTTATTGCTCGGAGTTATTTGAAAATATGATGCACAAGCAAAACAGTTTTTATGCTTGGTATTTGCAGCCTCTGAATTTACTTTACTACTACAATTTTAAATGCCTATTCTTTGTACACAAATTGGCTTTATCATGATCATTATCACTGCTTTCACTCATGAACAGGAGGTCATTCCTTCTGCTGCTTTTATTATTTTTGTCATATTGTCTCTACTGTTCAACCATTTGACAAGGTTATTGTATGATAAATGTCTCCTAACTCATATTCTTGTTCAGTATGCTTATGTAGCATCTGGCCAGAAAGAAAATAAATAAGAGGCAACAGATGTTTGTATGATGTATTGTTTGTCACTAATAATTGGTCTTAACTTAACCTGTATCTGAGGCAAATCTAAACTGTGCTGGGAGTCAATTATTGTACTGAATTATTGCTGAATTTAAAAAAAGACGTGAACAGTTTTGTCTTTTTTTGTAATATACTTTTCAAAATAAAGTGTTGTTTGTATTAGTTTTTTTGGACGTGTCAATATTCACAGTGACCAAAATAATCTAATTAATAATTTAAACAATTACTGTGGGTTTAGATTGAATAGTGGAATGTACTTTTTTCTTTAGTGAGTTGTAGAATTGAATGTTTTATCACACAAATTTTAGTTGTACTGCTGCTATTTTGGCACAAATCTCCTATGACCTACGGACATAGTGTTGGAGGGATACACAATGAAAAACACTCAGGAGAAGCTGACATGTTGCTGCACCATGAAGGCACTGACTGCAGCTATAAATTCCCCTTGTTGTATTTATACCAGCCAGCAGTATCAAAGTTCACGTCCCAACTGGTCACATGACTGTCCCGGAAATAGTAGAGCAAGTGCGCTATTGGTAAAGTGACTCAGCACTGACCCAGTGTCTGTGTCTTTCTGCAGTGTGGAAGCTGATGCTCCAGGTGGTGAGGTGGGCTCAGTGGACCCCAGCACTGGGTACTCCTGTGTGCCAGTGACCCACAGTAGGGGCCTGGCTCAGGAGCACCTGGACAGTCACATCTACGGACACATCCTCTTGCCTGGGCACCAGAGACCACGTCGATCCAAACTACAGCACTCACAGTCCATCCTCCGCAAGCAGGCTGAGGAGGAGGCCATCAAACGCTCACGCTCACTGTCTGAGAGCTATGAGCTGTCATCGGACCTCCAGGACAAACAGGTGAGACAAGAGACCCTCACAAACAGTTCAACCAACATGCAGACCTCAAATCAAACTTGAATCTTGACTGTTTTATGCTGAGCGTTTTATTGTTGTTTATGTATTTAATGAGAGATTGTCTAGAGCCATTCTGTGTAGTGTGTAATGTGTGCAAAAAGGCTTCTGCTCCAGCTTTTAACCTAAAACCTTTAATGATTTGCCCAAATAGCATTGAATGATGAGGCACAGACACCCATCCAAAGTACTGATGTATGTCAGTATACCATTATATTGCTAAATGTAATTACAGTCCCTGACAAAAGTCTTTGTCGCTCATCCATTTTGTAGAAACAAAAGCTTATAACCTGACTTTAAATTAATCGATTGGTTGTAGAAATGTCTCATATGAAAGCCAAAACCCTCCCAAATTATGCTCAATAAACTAAAATAAATTTGCTTCACTGAAGAAAGATTGATCATTTAATGAACACAGAAAGGTCAGATTTTGGCAAGACAAAAGTTTTGTCGCCTACAGAAAATTGAACAAATAATTTACTTCAAATACAAAAATATGTTACATAATGTCAGTGAATTAAGTCGTGGTGCTGTGAGATCCATATTTAATATCTTGTATGACATCCATGAGCTTGAAGGACGCATCCTTGCGGTTTGACAATGATTCATACAATTTGTTGATGAAGTCATCAGGAATAGCAAAGAAAGCGTCTTACATGCCTCCCAGAGTTCATCAAGATTCTTTGGTTTTGCCTTCCATGTTTCCTCTTTCATTCTACCCCAGACATGCTCAATGATGTTCATGTCTGGTGACTGGGCTGGCCAGACCTTGATCTTCTTCGCCTTGACAAACTTTGATGTAGAGATAGAAGTATGCGATGGAGCACCATCCTGCTGCAAAATTTGATCCCTTTTATGGTTGGGAATGTAAGAGGAGCTAATATGTCTTGATATTTTAGGTTATTGATATTTGCCTTCCACCCTGCAAATGTCTCGCACAGCCCCATACTGGATGGAACCCCAGACCAGGATATTTCCGCCACCAAACTTAACTGTTTTCTGGGTGAATCTTGGATCCATGTGGCTCCAGTAGGTCTCCTGCAATATTTGCGGCGGCTGTGATGTAATTCAACCGAGGATTCATCTGAGAAATCCACCTTCTGCCACTTTTTCCATCCTTTTAACAGGCTGTGGGCCTTGGCAAATGCCACACGTTTTTTTAATTGCCTTTTGTTTAGTGCTGGTTTCTGTGCACTGATTTGACCATGGAGGCCATTTCCAGACAGAATTCTACAAACTGTTGTGGTTGACACAGGGTCTTGAGGTGACCAGGCCTGGTGGAGTCTGCTGCAGTGGAAAAGGGGCTGGTCTTGGATTTTTGAATCAACAAACGGTCCTCCCAAGCAGTTGTCTTGCGGGGTCTGCTGGACCTGGGCTTGTCAAAAACATCTCCAGTCATTTCAGATCTTTTTCTTATTCTTTGTACTTGATGCTGAGACACATTGAAGGTGTCACCACCTCAGCAGTGGATCTGGTCTTCAACCTCTTGATAATTAAGGCTTTGGTCTCAGGGTGGATCTTAGGCATGTTGTCAGAGGTCAAGTTGCAGTTGATGTGAAGGTCTGGTGTGCTGGGCTTCTTTTTATACACACCCACTAACTGACTGATCAGTAACTGATCACAGGTGAGGCTGTAATCTAGGATTGGGTGCATCATATGACAAGGCCACAAGACTTTTGTCTTGCCAAAATCTGACCTTTCTGTGTTCATTAAATGATCAATCTTTCTTCAGTGAAGAAAATTTATTTTAGTATATTGAGCATAATTTGGGAGGGTTTTAGCTTTCATATGAGACATTTCTAAAACCAATCGATTATTAAGTCAGGTTATAAGCTTTTGTTTCTACAAAATGGATAAGTGACAAGACTTTTGTCAGGGACTGTACATGTCCACCAGATCTTAAGTTAACAGCAACTAAACTGAGGAATAATACACTCTCACAATAACCAGTAGTCAACAACAAAACTATAAACTATGACTGTGAGAAGTAAGTTTAGCAGCACAGAGCTTTCTTTATGCCCCACAGCTGAACAGTTGAAGGTTATGGCTGTGGGCTGCTGTCAGGCTGCTGGCCCTTACAGCAGAGAAAAGCAGGTCATATAACAGCAGTGGAGTGTGACCCAGTGCTGGCTTTTACTATGAGAGTGTATTGCCTCTTGTTAGGCAGGGAGGTGGTTGCCTGTCCAAGTGAGACTCACTGTCATGGCTGGCGGTTCACGCTGGAGTGCTTTAGGCTGCTCTGCTCTCCCATAGCTCAGAGAAACATGATTAGTCCTATTCTGTGCCCTGAATCCAAACCAAAGGTAGGAAAGTGGGTCACAGCACATTGTCTGACCTGAGAAAGTTGTATTGCACTGGCCAATCGTAAAACTTCTACTTAGATTTATATTTGTATAATATATATATAAGAAACAGTATATGTTTTTCAGACAATTAAAATTACTACATTCTTACATATATTCATCAGCTTTGTTGTGTAAATTATGTTTATGGTACTACAAACAAGTGCTCTACTCAAATTAACACTGAATACATTATTATTCACTGCATCTATTATCTAGTTTTACACACATGTGAACCCAAAGAACAAGTTGACTCATATTCATTACCATTTCTCTGGTTCTTGCAGGTGGAGATGCTAGAGCGCAAATATGGTGGGCGTTTCATAACCCGGCACGCCGCACGCACCATCCAGACAGCGTTTCGCCAGTACCAAATGAACAAGAACTTTGAGCGTCTGAGAAGTTCTATGTCTGAAAACCGTATGTCAAGACGAATTGTCCTGTCCAATATGAGAATGCAGTTTTCTTTTGAAGGACCTGAAAAAGTCCACAGCTCTTATTTTGAAGGAAAGCAGGTGTCGCTAACAGACGATGGTACAAAGATGGGCCCACTGGTGCAGTCGGAGCGATCAGGGGACATGAGTGTTCAGGCCAAAACGCCCACAACACAAAATGACTTTACAGACGCTATTACAGAATTGGAGGATGCGTTTTCAAGGCAGGTAAAATCTCTGGCTGAGTCCATAGATGATGCATTGAACTGTCGCAGCATGCATGGGGATGATGGTCAGTCAGAGCCCAGCAGGGGGCACCAGGAGAGGGAGGCCAGCTGCCAGGTCAAAGCCCCTCTGACCAGCACTGACCACAGAAAACTAGATGAAATGAGCGCTTCATACAGTGATGTTACTTTATACATAGATGAGGATGAGTTGTCACCTCCTTTATCTCAGTCCGTTGACCGGCCTTCGAGTACTGAGTCTACTCTCCATCAGCGGTCCCACAACTCCTCACAGGACTATTGGTCTCATGTTCACAAAGATGAGAAAGGAGATACAGACACAAGCTGCCGGAGCACTCCATCTTTAGAGTGCCAGGAGCAACGTCTCAGAGTGGACCACTTACCTTTACTTACTATAGAGCCCCCTAGTGACAGCTCAGTAGAACTTAGTGATCGCTCGGACCGGAGTTCTTTAAAGAGGCAAAATGCTTATCAACGGAGTTTAAGCAATCAACAAAGTAGTCCGAAAAACGTTACCCGTGGACTTCCACCGAGAGGACCCTCAAGAGAAGATCGTCCAAGGCAACTGGAACCACACCTGGCTATCAATGGCACAGCAAACAGACAGAGCAAGTCAGAGTCTGATTTTTCTGATGGGGATAATGACAGCATAAACAGCACATCAAACTCTAATGACACTATTAACTGCAGCTCTGAGTCCAGCTCTCGTGATAGTCTCCGGGAGCAGACCCTCAGTAAGCAGACATACCACAAAGAGACGCGCAACAGCTGGGACTCACCTGCCTTCAGCAACGACATTATCCGAAAGAGGCATTACCGCATCGGACTCAACCTCTTCAATAAGTAAGTAGTCTTGTATGTTTATGTAAAACTGCTACAAATACTTAATTTTTCACCATTAAAGTACAACAACTTACGTTAACATCCATCTAACCAATACTGTGTTGATATTGTCGCTGAGCATTAAATACAAATCTTACTCAGACCATGGGGCATCTTATCATGGCTGCTATGCAAGATGTGCATTACCACATACTATAATGTCATTCATAACATTCACAAGATCACGTTATTTCCACAGTGTATTTTCTCTCAGTCCCATCTTATACTGTCCCTCATTTTTCTAAAGCCTGTGTGTGATTTGACATAAATTTGGACAGGACACTGGTGCAGTGGGATAATCACAGATTTGGCTTGTAAATCTCTCTACTCTTCCCATGTGACTCCAGGAAACCAGAAAAAGGCATCCAGTATCTGATCGAGAGGAGCTTTGTCCCGGACACACCAGTGGGAGTGGCTCACTTCCTGCTGCAAAGGAAAGGCCTGAGTCGGCAGATGATCGGAGAGTTCCTGGGCAACAGACAGAAGCAGTTCAACAGAGACGTCTTAGAGTGAGTGGAGTGATAGCTCTGTATTTCACAAATAAATCATCAGCATGTTGTTGTGTACAGTATCTTGAGTATCATCTTAAATGTGAATGTCTATTTAATCCCCCAGTCGTAAAAAAATAAAAATTCATTCTTAAACTGGACAAAAATTTTAAGAGTGAATCCACCACTCTCATCCAGTTAGCTTCCTCAAGTCTGACAGAGTTCTTGGGGGTTTAAGGCAGTCTCCAGAACCCTGTCAGAAAAGCCCACACAACATATACAAATAAAAGGCAGTCATTCTTTTTATACAGTAAGTAATAATTTAAAGTATGAGTGCTGCTTTTGATATTCAAACTCTTCAGAAATAATCTGAAGTTACTGAAATAGTTCAAAACTGACTAAATCTCCTTAGGAAGTGATGTGAATGATTTCAATTTAAATATATTCAGCTGTCTCTGGAATGTAGAACTTTTTACCAGTTGTGATTCATGCAGTGATTGAAATAAAGTTTAATTGACTTGATGCCGGTGTATTCAGAGTGTGCCGGGATGAAGTGCAGGATAAGCACTCGGTCTGACAGCCAAATCTATAGACTTCTGAGGAAAACATCTCCAGCTCTAGACACGCTCCATTTATCACAGGAGACACCCTCATATCCGTTTTGTCAGGGTTATTATTGTAAACAAAGTAGAAATTCCCAAAGTCTCATCGCAATGCAGCATAACTAAACACATGATTACGTTACAAGGTTATTGCAGAGTGACTGAGCTGTGATTATTACACTCTTATCTATGATTAGGTTTCAGTTATAAAAACATAACCCACTGATCCTGAAAACACTGAAGAATGGATTGGTCAAAATAACTCCCCTTGTAGATCACCTTAATGGTGATTATTAATTCATATTATAACAATAAAGTCTATGTAAGTTTTCTATTGGAGGGAACACTACCTGATTGTATCCATGGTTATTTTATTGGTTTGCCTGAAATGTTCCACTGTATGGTGTAAGCAAATGACAACACAAGGCCAAGTTATGGCTAAGCTCTATGTAAAGGTGACCCTGCACACAGTGAAAATGTATGTTTTTCAATATACTTTTGAGCAATAAAAGCACAAAATACAAGCTAAACAAGTAATGCTGTATGAGGGCGATAACAGTTACCAAAGAGACTCCCACCATAAAAAGTTATGTAGTTCACCTTTAGCCTTAGGTAATATTAGTCTAAAATTGTGACAACATTGGATTCTGTATTCTTCCTTATATTTTAAATATCAGGTTGTAAAGTGCACAAATGAGAAAATACAAAATACCTGTGTCTCTGCAGCTGTGTGGTGGATGAGATGGACTTTTCGGTGATGGAGTTGGACGAGGCGCTCAGAAAATTCCAGGCTCACATCCGAGTTCAGGGGGAGGCCCAGAAGGTGGAGAGGCTCATCGAAGCCTTCAGGTAACACCACATTTTACGAGATAACCTGAACTCCTAGCGCCAATATCTCCAGGTTAATAAAACAGCTACCAGTCAAACATAAGAACGTCATAAAATATATCACATATAATAAGTTTTCATTGGGGCATTGTCCATTAATTCAATCACATATATTTACAAAAGTAAGAGTGCATTATCCTATTTTTATAAGCTGTGCATACCACCACCTATTAAGATATATTTTAAGTTTAGGATCTGCTTGGACTCAACACACAAGAGACACATTTACCCACACCTTCACAACCCGCCTGAGGCCACCTTATTAATTTACTGCATGCCAACAGTAGAAAAGTGCTATAATGTCTATGAGAATGTGCTTCCTTCAGCAAGGAGCAAGAACAGACCATTCCAGAGGCACTTTAAGGATCAGGAGCAGCGTGCAGCCCAGTGCACAGTGGGTCAGCTGGACTACTGGTGCTTTTAACTGATCCTGACTCAGTGTTGTGTGACAGTCACAGTACAGTGGATTACAATGTGTCTGATAAAGCACAAAGAATATGTATATAAGCCTAAGCATATAAACATTGATTATTATTTATTTTTATAATAACGCCTTTTTCATTATAGGTTTTAGATAATTATTTTAATACATAAATGTCTTTATTAGATATGCACACTTGGGAATACAATACAATTTTTTCATACAAATTAATGTCTTAAATAAAGTGACATTTGGTAATAAAGTAGAACATTTTTCACAGACCACTTTTTTTTTATGTATCCACAGTCAGCGGTACTGCATTTGTAACCCAGGTGTGGTCCGGCAGTTCCGAAATCCAGACACCATCTTCATCCTGGCCTTCGCCATCATCCTCCTCAATACTGACATGTACAGCCCTAATGTCAAACCAGAACGGAAGATGAAACTAGAGGACTTTGTCAAGAACCTTCGAGGTACCCTTCACCTTAATATGTCCACAAACCCCTTCCCCTCACCAGCACCTAAGATACAACACAGCAGCCACAGGGATAAACATTCATCTCCAGTAGACTTTGTGCATGCTCTTTGCTTTGATTAATGGCCTTGTCATCGTACTATTTCTGGACGTCATGGTCAAAGAATCTCAGTAGCTAAAGCCAAGCACATTTTAGAGTTGCTCTCTGCAGATTATGGAGGTATTAGCAGGGGTTTTGGTTAACTAATTTCTTTGCTCAAATGGGTGTAATTAAAGAATAGTATTAAGGGCAAGGAGAAATGAACAACCTTCTGACAGGGCATAGTTAAACTCAGTCGCTCTTTATTTAACAGTACTTGCAACTATGTTACTACATGTCATGTAATTACATGGTATTTAGGGGTTGGGCTACATTGTCCTTAGTAAAGTAGGTAAGTAAAATTAAGGAGAGTGTAAAATAAAGTGTTTCCTTTAGCATAAATTCTGTCTGCTCTTATAATCTTTCTATTGTTTGGTATGTTTATGCATTAATTGCTTTTCACCCAATAGAAATTACATTGATTACTCACAGTTAGCCTTTCTAATGTTGTGCTTTGACAGGAGTTGATGATGGAGAGGACATCCCCCGTGAAATGCTGGTTGGAATCTATGAGCGCATCAGGAAGCGAGAGTTAAAGACAAATGAGGACCATGTGTCTCAGGTTCAGAAAGTGGAGAAACTCATAGTTGGGAAAAAGCCGGTACGTTTGAAAGTGCCCTAGGCCAGGTCTCTCAGACATCTGCCGTGTTCTGTTGCACTCAGGAGTAGATTGTGTGCAGAGCCAATTTTCATGTAATTATGATCAGTGATACGTAATATTAAGGACATACTTTAACTTGGCAAATGAATAAAATGGCAATTACATTCCAAAGTCGATATGCACACTATCTCAGTCATTTGTTCGTGGTCAAGTTATAACGCTTTAAAGCCACTATGTAAGTTTTCTGGTGGGGTCTGGAAACAAGCAGGCAACACCAGATCAAGTCACAGGTCAGATCTGTGGAGAGGCAATCCTGCTCACAGAAAAAAAAAAAATGTTTTTCAAGGTTTTTCTGAGCGCATGGAATTGTATTAATGCATATTAAATAAGTTTAATGCCCTACTGTGGAACATTCAAGGCAAATCTTCATGAAGGTAGTTGACCCTCCACCAGAAAATGTATAGTGCACCTTTAAACACTGAACATTTAAATTTCCCATTTATAATAGCAAATTATTACTGCATTGTCATATCTGCTGTTATTATTATTGTCACTCAGATGTTATTCAGATGTCAGATACAAGTACATGACATTTACATTATAATAATATTGTATAATTTTACTAATCAATATTTTTTTCTTTCAGATTGGGTCATTACACCATGGACTTGGTTGTGTAAGTATTGGTTACTGTATTAAAATACTATACAGTATAATTAAGTACTTAATTGTCATGATTTTCTACAAGTTCTGAATAGACTGCATTATTTCATCCACTGAAGGTGCTGTCATTACCCCATCGGAGACTGGTGTGCTACTGCCGACTCTTTGAAGTTCCCGATCCCAACAAACCACAAAAACTGGGCCTGCATCAAAGAGAGATTTTTCTATTCAATGATCTGCTTGTGGTATGAATGGCATTCTTATTCCATCACACGCAGCATCAGTCACTTGGCACTGAAATATATCTCAAGAGCAGTTCTCTTCCCTTTGTTCATAGGTGACGAAGATCTTCCAGAAAAAGAAAAACTCAGTGACGTACAGCTTTCGGCAGTCGTTTTCTCTCTATGGCATGCAAGTGCTGCTCTTTGAGAATCAGTGTAAGTATAACAACTTTCAGTTGAAACTTGGAGCTATGTTAATTTGAAATATTGAGTAGCACTTAAAATGTGGCATGCCTACTGCCATTGCTGTTCTATTGCACTCTTGATTTTGTTTTATTTATTTCGTTGTAATTTGTTCCTGTGTTAGTCCTCACTTACCGCAAGGTCTAGTTTGGTTATTTAGACAGCAAGTGTTGGTGTGAACAGCTTAGTTAAAGTTTTGTTATTTTTGTCTATCCTTGCAGATTACCCCAATGGAGTACGTTTAACATCAGCCATACCTGGAGCAGAGATCAAAGTCCTCATAAACTTTAATGCTCCCAACCCTCAGGACCGCAAGAAGTTTACAGATGATCTGCGGGAGTCAATCGCAGAGGTGCAGGAGATGGAGAAATACAGGATAGAATGTAAGAATTCAAAATATTTGTTATGAAGAAGGAAAACGAAGCTGATTTTTAAGTCAGTGTCAATGGTTTTGTTTAACAGCTGAACTGGAAAAGCAGAAGGGAGTGGTGAGAGTCAGCATGTCTCAGTGTTCGGGGCTGAAAAAGGACACAGGAAATGGTAATCTAAGTCGAGCCAGCCTTGATGACAGCTATGCCATTGGAGAAGGTCTGAAGAGGAGCGCCCTGAGCAGCTCTCTGCGGGACCTTTCTGATGCAGGTACATGCGAGGGGGGGTGTGTGAAACTGACATGTTTGTCAGTGTTCAAAAGTAGTTTATAAGAACACTATGTGCCTTCCCCCGTCCTTGGTGTTGAAGATTAGAGGTTAGATTTTTGTTTATGAAGCTATTAGTATGGATTATAAAATGCTAAAAAGCATATGAACCAAGAAAATTACTTCATGTTGAGCTATCGTTAGCACCATATTGTGTGATGGTTTATCTTCATTACTAATCATTGTCTGTTGCCAAACAGATGAGCTTGCATGGCATGGAGTGGCTGTGTTAAAATGAGAATGATAATGGCACATTTAATTATTATGCATATTTGCTGTCAATAATCAGGTCAACCTCAATTTGTCTGTGATTGTTCATTGAATGTGCCTGAGAGAAGGAGGGAGTGCAGTTTATTATGTCTAACTTTACTTATTTATTTATTTATTTATTTATTTAGCAGTTTTAAAAAAATACAGTTCATAGAAACAGGTTTAACATCAAACAGTTAAACAGTAAAAATGCATTTGTATATTGAACAATAGTTATCATGTGTAGGAGTAGTAGAAACCAAAAAGGCTTTTGAAGAGGGTAAAAAACATATTTTATCATCAAAGATTGTGATCAAGATTAAAAAAAAAAAAAAAAAAACTTTTTTTTTTTTACACATTACATTTATCACTTGTGTCAAATAAGATGACCACTCAAATATTGTAACATACTTAAATTTTGATTTAGATTTGTACATCAGCAGGGACATTGAAGTTTCAAGAATCTGCTTGTCTAGTAGAATAATGATGGAACTGGTAATTATAAATAAAATAATTTTAAATGAAGGAAAAACAGATTTTTTTAGCCCACAAGAAAACCATGAATTATTTAGTTTTCTTGATGCATTCCTGTCGCATTTTTTGGTTGAAAAGGACCTCTTGAAAGGAGCTTTAAATAGTTATATAAATACCTGGTAATAGGAACCTTTTCTTTTAAAACATTTGTAAAGGAAATTTTCTGTACAATTATTGTTTAAATAAATTTTTTATTAGTATTCAGATTTTGATAAGTCAGATCAAATGTATTATTTGGCTTGAAACTTTTATTCAGCAATGTGAAATATTGGGAAGTGTATATCAGCATATAATACTCCTGACTTACTTTAATGGTTTAAGAAATAAAATATTATGAATCAGTGTTTAAAGGCCTGTAAATGTTACTAATGATAAGATGTTTTGTCTTATTATTTGATAATATTTCTATGAAGACTGATTCAATTTTTGTTTCATCAATAGCACCACAAGATCTTGTAGGACACTGTAATCCAACAATGACAATTCATAGAAGACGAGGTTTTTGGGTTGTTCAGACAGCCAATTCTCTGTTAATGCAATTACAGAAAACTCAGGATTTAGGGGGGGAAAAAAGTGTCATCTTATTATGATTCTTGGGGCATATTCTTGGTAGAAGCATTTTTGTTGAAATTGTTTGACCTCAAGCTGTAGAAAGCAAATAGCTGTTTTAAATGTTTACACTTATACCACACTGAGATATTCCCTGTGAAGGCTCTGTCTCCCTGTGGATCTGTCGAAGCACACAGATTAAGATGGCGTGTTCTGTAATGAGTGCAGGTGTAATATACTTCAGGCGATCATAATAATAATCCTTCATCACTGGCGGTGGGAGGAGGCAGGGCTAATGTAGGTCACAGCAATTAGTTTGAATGTCTTTGCAGTAAGATGTATTAACAGTGCACTGTTGAGGGAAGACACAGACTCAGAGAATGACCTTGGATCAGTTCAGGCTACTACAGAAATCATTTTACCATTTAATAATGACATAACAGTACTGAAAAGGGCTGCTTAATTACATTAGGGGTTGCAGGAAGATCAAGAATATACCAGCCTATGTTATATTTGCACTACAGAGGGACACACTCTTGTAATGATTCTCTAGAGGAAATTGCAATTCACCGGTACATGTTTTTGGTGTGTGGACAGAAGCCAAGGAAACTAATGATGCAGCTCTGTCCAGTTTTATCTCCTTTAGTTTGTGTCTTGTAGTATTCTTGTAGCCACCCCAAAGTGCTACCCCCCCCATAGACGTGTGTAAATTTCATGTATTCAAAAAGTGATGTGTGATGTTCTGGGCAGGCAAGCGTGGGAGACGCAGCAGTGCAGGATCACTAGACAGCAATCTGGAAGTAAGTGGTAAAGTCAATAATGAGGTGACCTTTGACCTTAGCATGCACGCTTATGTTGCGTTTCTCTCTCCTGCTTTTAGAGATTCGAGTGATACTGCATGCATTGGAAATATTTAGAAATCTCTGTAGCATGGCATGGATACTAAACTAGTGTGCCCCTTTCACACAGGATGTTGTATTTGCCACAGAAGTCATTCTGGACTTCTTATACTATTCAGCCGCACGAAAAGGCTGTGTAAAGGGGGTCTTCTTTTGTGTAGTAGTGTAGTGTTGTTTTTGTACTGTTGCATGAACTATTGGCATAACTGTTCTCTTACTTTCCTTGTGTGATGCTTAGAAATTACTTAAAAAAAAAATGTTATATAATAAAAACAAATTTATAATTAAGCTATTTAATGTATAACTAACTGGATGTGTACTAAAAGAAACTGACCTGAGTTAGATTATCTTCAACCACAAGATACAACTGAAAGGTGCAGGACTGTCATGCTAATAATTCACTGAAGCATTGCACATTGCATTTCTAAGTGGATCTAGTGAGTTCAGAACTTATTATGAAGAAAGGACAAGGCTTTTTGCCACGTGGTGTGCACTAACTGTGTCTTATCTCATACAGGGGTCCATCATTAGCAGTCCTCACATGCGCAGAAGACCTCCCTCCAGCCGAGACTGTCCCTCCCGCCACAGCGGACAGTCCCTCCCCAACTCCGCATCCTTGCTGGGATCTCTGTTTGGGACCAGACGTATGAAGTCTCCCAGCCCTACACCCCAGAGCCCGCACCCCACGCTCATCTCACACACACCACACCCAGTGACGCTGCACCATACGGCCCGGGGAGAGTCGGAGGCAGCAGCTCCCGTACACCCCCACCATGCCCAGTTCTGTCCCGTGACACAGAACCCTCCGCCTTATCACCACCACCACCACTTCCACCCCCCACCGCACCTGCAGCACCCGCCCCACCAGTTCCACCCGCCACACCCCCACGGCCAGCACACCCTTGGGGGACATCAAGCACACCCGCACCACCATGGCCCACCCCCGAGCTCAGCACAAGGCTCCGGGAGCACAAAGCCCAAGCACAGCGGCATCAGCACAGTGGTGTAAGACCAGAGACAGTAAAGAGGAGTGGAACAATTCAGTAGCTGGTTTAACTCAGAATAAAGCTGGGGTGAGCTAAAAAAATAAATAAATCACAGTAGCCACTGTTGTGCCAATACAAGTACACAATGTAGAATTTATTGAAACATGTATTTCTTTTAGTCAACACAATGAAATATTTCCCCGTAAAGTCCTGATTTTGGGCTTTACAGATAAAATGAAAGAACGGTTAGGCTTTCAAAGTACCATTTGATTCGTTCATTCCTTTTTACTGTCCTGACCGCAGAGGAACTGTGAGAGTTGTGATTGGACAGTTGGCCACTTGGACACATCGCTGGGAATTGATGAGATCCAGTGCCTCCCTTAGTATCTTCATAACCATTTCAGGTGTTACGTCAGGAAGCTTCTCTACTGCTATAGCATGCACAAGACCACAAGTACTGTTTTCCTCAGTAATATGAAGAAATATATTACTAGTATTTCACAAATATGATGAATAAAATTTAACTTATATGACTATATCTATTCAGGGGATGGTTTTCATGAAAGAAATAAATGTATTTCCAAACACTGTTTATAAAGATGATGCAATGCCATTTGAAAAAAAGCAAAGACAAAATATTTCCCTTTTTGTAGCTTTTTAGGAATTGTTTTCTAGTGTTCCAAATAGTAATGTATTCACTCTCAAGCCGTTGTTGTTGTAAGATAACACATTTTTCAATTTGCATTTCTGTGTAAAGTAATATAACAGTATATATTCAGGTAATTCTAAACATTATATCCTCAAATATCTTCATACTTCCAGTCCACTTAGACTATAGCAAGATTTTTTGGCTTTGTTTTTTTTAGTTTTGGCTTGCTCAACTTTAAATACAGTCTATACAGAATGAGTGAAAACCTTTAATCGAATTTTTACAAGTATTTAATGTAGCCGTAGCTCAGAGTGCACTGTGATACTGTGATATCTCTGTTAGCAGTGATCAATGTGCCAATTATTCAAGCATTTAATAATTTAGTCATAAGAAATTGCTTTATGTATATTTGTGCTCAGATTTTAATTCACAAACTCCGGTATTATTATATTAAACACAGAACAAATGACTGAAAAAGTGGCAAGATTGTTCTCATATGTGTTGTTGTTTCACAGAAGGTTTTACAGTGTGTATCTGTAAATGGGAATCATATGCAGATGGTTGCCTTTGAGTTACAGTATTCTCAATATATTCTATTTTTAAGCTTTGAAGTTGCAATGAACTAATGGACTGTTTTGAATGTCAACCCTTTAGACTTGCTTGTCCTATATTGTTTTATTTTTGGAATATATTTTCCTACAGACAAGGCAGACAAAACACTGTAGTAGCATAAGTTTAAATAGTTCATTATACTGTCCAGAAAGAAAACTCAGCTGGCTGAGTGTGTAAATGACAGGAGTCACTGTGCATCTAAAATCAATACTAACAAGATCAGTAATTATCAAACTGTGATGGTTGTTGCGTTGCACCCTGCAATCATCACAAATGGCAGTTTTAATATCATTTTAACATATTTTGGTATTGTATGCATGCTGGAGACTGGGCTGGGGCAAATTTTAGCTTTTACACAGCACTTGAGTGTAATCCAACCTGCTTGAACATTATAAGATGGAGTTATGATGTATGTGCAATATATGTATATTAATTTGTCATGTTTTATTTATGTTAGTTAACTGATTTTTATGTATGTATTGTCCCCTCTTTTGCTTTTTAATGAAGTGTCCACATGGATTTAGAGAGACATGACTCTTGACCTTTTATCACCACTTACCTCCTGAATTATTCTCAATGTAGAAGTCAAAATTATTATTATGTTATGACCATTAGATTTGACTACTATGATATAAATTCTTATTCTTCGTCAGCAGCCTAGTATTATGAATCATGTATTACCATCCCTATACATATTTATTTTAGCCCATAAGCCTATAGTGTTATTTACTTGTGTGTTTTGTGAAATAAGAGACTGATACATGTTTACAATGGGCATTAAGCAATCTAATTATTAAAATTTTTGTATTTGCTGTACTCATAAACATTTCAAAGTAATTATTTAATTTCTATTTAGGTATTTTTAATGTCCCCAAACATGTATCATCATTCTACAAACATTAAGTGATTTGGAATTTTGTTTCATGTCATGTAAAGGATTCATGTGAGATACTTTGAGACAGCAATTGTGAATTAGACTTGGGCAGATAGATGGTACACAAAATACAATTTAGTATTCTGAATTCTGTGACAATTTGTAATCTTACCTTTACCCGTACTTTAGACATAGTCAATAACATACTTTAGATTTCTACTATGTTAACACCACCCAGTGTTCTAGAGTCCATGTGAGGTGCTTTGTTGCATGCCATTGATGCCTATATTGTATTTTCTTGTTCTTTTTTTTTTTTTTTTTTTTTTTTTTATTATTCTACCAAGTGGAGGGTATGCCTACCTTAAACCTTCAGCAATGCTTGTTTACACTTAGAAAACATCTGGCCTGCCCCTCCATTTTTATTTTTCCATTCAAAGTTGTGTTATTCTCCAGCATGCATTACGCCTCCATTGTACAGTAACACTGTAAATACAAATCCATGTGGACATATGTAAAGGGGGCTTTTAAATGTTGGGTGGGAAGAATATATGTAAATAAATGTAAATTATTATTATATAATGATTATATTACTACTCAATGTGTGCAGTTACATTGAATGTGCGTTCCAGCTCCCCTTTGATATTTAACATAATCATCATGCTATTCTCAGAAATATCATAGGAACAATTCTACAGTACAGCAAACCTACTCACAGTTCAAGTCAAAGGGGAGGGACAAGAGCAGTTATTTTATTATGCATTCTGTTTCTAAAGTAGACAAAACCCTATTGATGTAAAACTAGTACTGTGACAATGTTGAAAACACAAAATAAAATAAATTATACTGTTATATGGCTGGTTCGCCTCTTTTCATTTCTGTTCAGAGTAGACCTTTACTGCAGCATCCATCAGTGGCGTCTCTTGGGCTCTTTTGCCATTTTGTGTTGCTCGCGATGTTTGAACATGAACAGTAGCTTCATTTCTAGTCTAGTTTTGCCTCATCAATAGTTGACAGTGGTTATACTGACCAATTTATATTTTGCATGCATGTCATAAGCACTCCCTTAACGGCGCGTATAAGCCGTGAACTAAATTGACCTAAACTGTGTTGCTATTTTTCCTCTCCCTCAATAAGGAATGCTTAAGGCCTGTGGATGTTTTCTGAGATAATGAAGGGCAAAGCAGCAGTGCACTCATTTTTAATTCAGCCCGTGCTCAGTAAAAGTGCTTGGCTGGCTGCCCGACTGTAGCAGGTGGTCTGACTGACAGTTTACCCTGGCTGCTGCGTTCGTCTGGCCCTTGAGCTGCTGGAGCTAAAAATAGCTGACAGGGGGGAGGGGCTATGCTATGGCTCGCTATTTGATATTTCTTTAGTCATTTAGCTTTTATAATAGAAGCTGAATAATAAAGTTCTTGGTACACGAGAGCCACGAACTAGTCAAATAAACACAGTAGGGCTGCTCTACCCAGATACTTTTTAAATGATAGCTTATAATGTCTGTATAACAATGGTATAGGCTATAATTGTATAGTGTCAAATAAACCAGTTTTAAAATGCTTTTAGTGGCATCTAGTGTTTGTTAAGCGGTACTAACAGTACTGGCCCGCCGCTGTCCAATGCATTGAAGTGTCGTCGGAAATATTTACACCCGTTATTAAGTTCATTAACTACATTGGATTCTACATCAGTAAAAATATGCATAGGCATTTTATATAATATATCAGTAAGCTTTTAAGAAATTTGAGCAATATACGGTATGTGCTATTTTTCTTCAGTCTTTTTCCGTTTTACCAAGGAGTAAATAAATACATCTATTTAAACCTAACAACTCAGTGTCTGTCTAAAATAAGAACACTAACTAAAATAACAATTTAACATCAAACTAATTTTTATTACATTGCCCTTGCAAATCCAAGACAATTAGTCTTACACAGAAATACGAACATTTTTGAACCTCTCTGAACGTATAATTCCACGTCATACTTCTGCGACAGAAAGGGGTGAAAGGTGGGCAGTTGTCGGCAAACTTGCGTCCACATTGTTTACATTTTAGGTTGCTTTATTTAAGAATAATAATAAACATGAATAGAATACTTGTTTTATCATTATCGGTGAAACAGGCTGGCAAACGTTTTTTCGTCGGTCATGCCGGGAAAGAAATGGTACTTCTTCAACAAGAGCAAAGAAGGTCCTTCAGAACTCATTCACGGCAGCTTGCATACGCCAAGGACCTGTTTATGGGCCAAGTAAATAAGGTAGGACTAGAAGGACACTGTTTGACTTGTAGGACGAGCTCGAAACGATGGAGTAAATAAAGTGAACATAGAAGCTTAAGTCAAATTAATTTCTCAGCTGCACAGGGCACTTCATAGAGCTGTCCCTGAATAACCTGTGTTTCCCAAAGACTAGAGGGTCGCAACCAGATGATCAGAACTCTTGATACTATATTTTGCAAAGTTTTACGCGCATTAGTAAACTGAGTATACTGATGGTTAATTATTAAACATCAATTGCATGTGAGTTTTGGCTGTAACTAACTTAATTTAATAAATGGGCAACTTACCCCAAATTTTACCTCTTTGATTGAGCAATAGTGGTTCAGTGTTTTAAATGCAAACCGTCCTGAAGATGTTAGGATACTGGATATTCAACATAAAGGTTGTATGGAGGATTTTTTTTTTGTTTCAAATTGCCAAAGAAAGTTTAAAATACCATTGCAGAGATGCAGCATCCTTGTAGTTATGATGATCAAAAAAAAAAAAAAGAATGAAAATCTGTCAACTGTGGACATAGTGAGGCCAGATAAACATCAGCCAATAGATAACGAGGCTTCCTCATTTTCTATTGGCTGATAGGATGTCATTCAAACTCCCTACATTTCTAGTGTAACTACTCGACAGCGTGTGGGGATTATGTGGTTTATGCAGCGGTTCTTAGAGGCTTTTTCAAACTACCTTCCTCGCATGTCGCACAAAGTTTGTTGCGATGGCGGATGAGAATCCACGACCAGTTCGCCGCAAAAGAAAGTCCGTTTTTGAGGTCGCTGATAGAAGAAGAGAAGGGGAAAAGGAGCGAAGCCAAACTGAGGTGATTCTTGGATATTTCTTCGAGCAATTGCGCGACTGAAGCAGATGAAGGATCTAAAACTGATGCGTCGGCCACGAAATACTTCTAGACGGGTCACTTCAACAGTAATTCTGAATGCGCACTGTCTGTAAATAAGCATGATTTCTAGAGTAAAGAGGCGGGAGGAGGTGTTTCTACTGAGGCAGCTGTGGAGGAGGAAGGTGGTGTCACGCAAACACAAGGACTGTCGCTGTAGTTCCTTTCTCTTTAAAAAATCCTCTATACAACCTATAATGAACATATTCGCTCACAACAACTTGTGGGTAGTTAGGTAGTATTTCTCACCTGGTTGTATATGTTTACTGAGTTCATCCAGCAACTTTTCTGATTACTAAAATTATTGGCAATATATCATTCAGCCACTGATATCCTTGCCCACTAACTAACCTTGCTGTTTTTGCTTTGCAGAAAGAAGTTTTCCCTTATCCAGAAGTCTCTAATGACGAAGTGGAAGAGATTAGTCAGCTAGTAGCACCTGTTGAGAAATTCTTTAGCGAAGTTGGTATGTACAGATTTTTTTAGATTTTATTTTAAGTAGTCAAGCCTTGCATACAACAAATCCTACAACTTTTTTTGTGTCAACAGTGGACTCCGCAAAGATTGACAGAGAAGCCAAAATCCCCCCTGAAACACTTAATGGACTCAAAGAACTGGGCCTGTTTGGGATGCAAATTCCAGAGGAGTATGGTGAGAAGTGCTCTTCATCACTATTTGGATGGCTTCTAATGCCTTTGCGAGATTTATGCCAGTATTTGTTGTCCTCAGGTGGTCTTGGACTGTCTAACACAATGTATGCAAGACTAGCTGAGATCACGGCTTTAGATGGCTCCATTGCGGTTACATTGGCTGCACATCAAGCCATTGGTCTCAAGGTAAAATAGTCATCATACTGCTAGTGCCAATCAGTAATAAACATGTTTTTAAAATACATTCACATTTATTACTGAACTAATGTGTATAGGGGATCCTCATAGCTGGAAATGAAGAACAGAAAAATAAGTATTTGCCGAAACTGGCCACCGGAGAACACGTAGCAGCTTTCTGTCTCACTGAGCCAGGAAGGTAAAAAAAACCTTAACACTAAATATGTCTTCAGAAAATAACAAAAGTATACAATCATGCATCACTTTACTGTCTGTTATGATCCGAGCATAAATGTATATAAATGTATATACAATATTTCAAGTGTGTTGACCAAAGGTTGTCTTTATATTTTACATGCATCTATGTTCTTTTTAGTGGAAGTGATGCTGCCTCCATTCAGACTCGAGCCACTTTGTCAGAAGATGGTACACATTATCTGATCAATGGTTCTAAGGTGAGTTCTACATGAGCACCCTGTTTTTGGTCTCCTATAAATGCTATTGTTTACTCTCTTGTCTTGTCAGATATGGATTTCTAATGGAGGGTTTGCAGACATCATGACAGTCTTTGCACGCACAGAGGTAGAGGAAAATGGAGTGAAGAAGGATAAGATAACAGCTTTTATAGTGGAGAGGGCCTTTGGGGGCATCACCAGTGGAAAGCCTGAAGACAAATTGGGAATCCGGGGCTCTAACAGTAAGCCAGAAACCATCACCGTTCTTGGTCGGCTGCATTATTTAGTGCACCTGCAGTTTAATTGATGTAGAATTAGGTATTATGCCTTGGCACTTACCTATGAACTAATGCAGCTGTTTATTTATTATTTCTTTTTTAATTTTTAGCTTGTGAAGTTGCCTTTGACAATGTCCCAGTGCCAGTAGAGAATGTCATTGGAGAAGTGGGAGGTGGATTCAAGGTACTTTTAAAATTTGTGCTTCTTGTTGTTAAATGCTAAATGTTCAAACCCAATTTATGCTTTAATGTTATCTCAGGTTGCTATGAATATCTTGAATTCTGGAAGGTTTAGTATGGGCAGTTCATCAGCTGGAATGATCAAGAAACTCATAGGTAACAGAGCCATCACACTTACACTGTTATTGATGAAGTAGTGGTGAGAATATTGTGGCCCTTAAAAATATAAATGAAACATTGTACAGGCTGGTTAGTGAAAGGGATGATGAATTTTTTCACTCTCCTCTATCACAGTTATCATTATCATTTGTCACATAATGTATTTTCTAGGGGTGTCAAATTATCGCGTTAATTGCGATTAATTAATTACAGTCATATTTAGCGCGTTATGTTTTTTAATCGCGTTAATCTCTTAACTTTAGTGTTTCTGTATGCGAGTTGCTTTATTATAAAACCTGTTTTTATGTGTTGTTGGGACAACAACACACACACACACAAAAAAACACATTTATACATTTTTTTATTTCGGTAATTCCACTCATTGCCGGAAACCCACACAAAACGCGCGCAGTAAGAGCGATATAAATGTCATGTTAACGTTGGCGGCATCAGTCGCACAATGGACGAGGTCGAAGAGCCAGTAGAACAGAGGCAGCAGCGCACAGGTAAAAACACATTCGTGTTTTGGAAATTATTCTCCCGACGTGAAATATAAAAGAAAATAACAAATATAATATCGCCTGAAAACAACCTGCATAGGCTCATGATGACTGCACTACTGTCCTATAGTGACCTGCCACATGAGGGGACACGCACACAAACACACACAAACACACACAACAAACACACACACACACAAACATCATCGTCATTAACCTGAGAACGCGCGGACCACGTTTCCTTCCGTAGATACTGCGCGTCCTCCTGTGCACCTCTAAACCAGAACTAACACCAAGACTAAAACCAGGACTAATCCAGGCCAGGACTAAACCAGAATTAAAACCAGAACTAGAACTAAAACCAGGTCTAAACCAGGTCTAAACCAGGTCTAAACCAGGTCTAAACCAGGTCTAAACCAGAACTAAAACCAGAACTAAAACCAGAACTAAAACCAGAACTTAAACCAGAACTTAAACCAGAACTTAAACCAGAACTTAAACCAGGTCTAAACCAGAACTAAACCAGAACTAACACCAGGACTAAAACCAGGATTAATCCATTCCAGGACTAAACTAGGACTAAAGTAGGACTAAAGCAGGTCCAAACCAGGACTGAAACAAGGACTAAAACCAGTGATCTCATATATAAAGCATTTCTCTATCAATAATATTTTTAATATGGTGAAGGAAAGACTGGACTTTTTATTGTCTTTAAGTAGACAAAGGTTATTATGTTCAGATTTCCTCATCTTTGCTACTTTACAGCAAACAGTTTCTTATTCATGGAGACTTGGGCTCAACAGCCAATTTGGAGAGATTTGTTAAACAATAAATGACTTTATAAAATCAATTTTTAAAATCTATATCAGTCTTTTGATCTGCCACAATAATGTAATAATGAATTTAAATGAAAATACCTCAAATTGAAGCTTTTCTCAGCAATTTTTAGGTGAGATTAAAATGAGATTAATTAGATTAATTAATTACAGATCATAATTAATTAATCTCTCAATTTTTTTAATCGCATGACAGCACTAGTATTTTCTAGTACAGCAGGGATCAGTATCCTGCTGTCTGAAAATACTGTCTCTTAACAGAAATGACGGCTGAGTATGCTGCCTCACGGAAGCAGTTCAACAAGAACCTAAGTGAATTTGGAATGATTCAGGTATAATATCTAAACAAGCAAATTTGATTATTGTACACAAAAAAATCTTCAAAGTGTGTGTATATTTGCAGGAGAAGTTTGCTCTGATGGCCATGAACGCCTACGTGATGGAGAGCATGGCATACCTCACAGCAGGGATGATGGACAAGCCAGGGCTTCCTGACTGTTCTGTTGAAGCAGCCATTGTGAAGGTGAGTCTAGGAATAACCCATAAATGGCATTTCCTGCTGCTTTCCATCATATTACATAATGTGCCATGTGTGCAGATATTCAGTTCAGAGGGAGGTTGGATTTGTGTCAGTGAAGCTCTGCAGGTCCTCGGGGGTGTGGGTTACACCAAGAATTACCCATTTGAGCGTTACGTCAGAGACTGCCGCATCCTGCCTATATTTGAGGTATTCCTTTTTTTCCACATAATGTTACTCGTCTTAAATACAAAAAACACTTGTGGGTGAATTACTTTAAGAAGGGCCAGAATTTAAATTATTGGACTTAAATGCTTTATATAAGAATACATAAATATCTATCAGTAATTAATGCTTTTGATTGATGAGTTTATTGCCCTACTGGCCATTAGATTAGATCTCATTCCTGTCAGAGAGGATGAATTCCTAAACTAGGCCAGCAGAGGGCTTTGTTGTGAAGACTGTGTGGCTCACATAAGGCAACACTTCCTCTTTGAAGTAATGGACTGAACAGATTTTCAGATGATCTCTCATAGATTCTCTATGTGGTTACATAATAATCTGTTGTCAGGGGACCAATGAGATCCTGAGGATGTACATCTCTCTCACTGGGATGCAATATGCTGGAAAAATCCTGACAGGAAAAATCAAGTAAGGAAATAACATGACACTGTAATTCAAATGAATAACTTTGAGAGTAACTTCATAAAATATGTCGGTATATTTTTTTAAAGATGTGTGTATATGCCTTTAGAGAGATGAAGAAAGGTAACATAGGCCTTGCTTTGGGGATGGCAGGCCAGAAACTGAGGAGTGCTCTTGGTGGCTCTGTAGACTATGGACTGACTGGGAAAGATGGTGTGGTTCATCCCAGTTTAGCAGTAAGTCAACTCAGACATTATTAACTTGTTCAGTTAATTTGGTGTAACTGTTGCTGTGTTCCTTCTGTCATTAGCATTTCGGGGTCCTGGACGCAAACCCTAACTTTAAATATTTATAATATTTTCAAGAGATACTTACGTTGCTAACGTAGTTAAAGTAACCAGGAAAAAACAAAGGAGAATCTTGTGACTAAACACATCAACCTGTTGTGTATATATCAATTATTAACAACAGTTTTACCTGTTATTTACTCATGATATGTAAAGTGTATATACTGATAATACCAACAACTAAAATATTTCTTGTTTTTAGGACAGTGCAAAGAAGTTTGAGCTGAATGCGTCAATGTTTGGGTCAACAGTGGAGAGTCTGCTGTACAGATATGGGAAGGTATATGACTATAATATAACGTCAGTATCTCTTCACATCTTCCAATATATGTTTCTGTGCATGTGTTGGATATGGCTGCCTCCACCTCCCCCTGGTCCTTTTCTCCTCCTGAGTTAGCTGTACTTTCAGAGTCCAACATTTTCCAAAGAAACAGTAAACCTTTTGGAAAGAGGTCAGAATTCCAGACTTCCTGTATGATGTAAATCAAAACTTGGGAAGTGTCCTCAGAGAGCTTTAATGCATTGTACTCAACATCTGTGAATAGCTCAGTTCAATATGTTTAAAGAAATGCTTAACACTGGGTTAGCAAAGACAGCCTTACCAGACACTTGAAATTCACTTCGGGCTTAAAGTGAGATTTGTCCAATTCTTCATGTGTTAATGTGATCATTGAAATACAAAACTGTATGAATTTCAGACCTTGAACTGGCAAACCCATAGTGGGACTCAGTCTGCACAGTAGCAGATGGTGTGTATCACCAGAGGGTGAAAATAAGAGTAGGTTCTATTTGTGTTGGCAGACCATAGTGGACGAACAGCTCATCCTGAAGAGAGTGGCAGATGTGCTTATTAACCTGTATGCAATGACTGCGGTCCTGTCTAGAACCAGTCGCTCCATCAGCATTGGACTGCGCAACCATGATCATGAGGTACTTCCCAGAATAAATATATATCAAAATATTAATCACCAGCTCCCTGTAAGTTAAATGCCAAACCAAAATGATAACGAATTTCCTTATTTTATTTGTGCTGTTAATCAATCATGCCTACTGGATTTTGCAGTTGTTCCACCTCTTTAGTTAGAAAATTACAATTATATTCAGTTCTTTTTTATGCTGCAGGTGTGTGGGGATTAAAGAACTTGATCATGTTAATGCTCTCCAGAGTAGGTCTATTATAATCTTCTTGGGTGTGCATAAGTTCTTTACTAAACTAGCTGTAGAGGGCGACGTGATGTGGGACCCATGCCTCATAAAGTTACGTTTGTGGAACCGCCTCACCCAGCTGTCAGAACACAGACTCACCAAAAAGATTTTTAGATGTGACTGCTCAAATAAATCCTTTGGCCAAATAAATGGGAATGATTTTTCAGATTTTTGTTTTTTTCCTGATTTAAACTACATTTACAGAAATGGACTGAAACAAAAACTGCTAGCCAACTTTGATATTTACAGAAAAACATAATTGAGAAGTTATATTTATCTTAACAAGTAGCACCAAACAGAGCTGTATATAAATGTAAATGTATCCAGAAAACAGCGGTCGCACTGTGCCCAGCTGAGGACTGGCACATTGCCCCTGGCAATGGAAGTTCAGAGTCTGCACTCTGTGTGACCTGGGGGTAGTAGAGGATGAGTTTCATTTTGTTCTTTACTGTCTACTCTATTTTGAGGAATGATTACTTGCCTGATTATAAAATTATGAGTTAGCTTTATAATGAAGACGTTTTTGTTTTAGTTTATTATATCGCTAGAGCCTGGGAGTGTACCCTGTATCACTCTATATTATGTTTTGTCAAAGTGGTTATTTCTTTTGTCTGTAGCCATCTGTGAAACTGTTTACAGTGTCTTGTAAGCCCATGCGGGCTGGGCACAAATTTTTAAGACACTATAATAATAATCATTTTTTTAAAATCTATCAATCATATAAGGCAATACATTGTCTCGAAACAAATACCTAATATGACAGAGCTTACTTTGAGGGTCTTACTATGTCTTGTCAGACCAACAGCTCACATCATAATTAAAATGAATAGTTTTATGTGCCCTAATAAAAAGCATGCAAGGAGTTTGGCTTCTGTTAGCAATCAAAGCAACATGCTCTTTTATGATGCTCTTAATGTGCTATGCTTTATTACAGGCGGTAGCAGCTGAGAACATTAGAGAGTAGAAATCTAACTTCAGACCATGTCGTGCTTCTTCTGTATCTAACAACCCCATCCTATTAGAAATAAAACATTTTTTTTATGCCACAAAATATCAGCAAAAGAATACAAAGTGTGCAATTCTTATGTAATCCAGTATTGGATATGGTAGAGACAAGTAAGTTTGATCTAAACATATGAAGTTGATTATTTGAAAAACTCCCAAAAGAATGTTAATGTTATCAACTGGTAGAGGTCATTGTCAACAGGAAGTTAAGAAATTAAATCATAATTCCAGAGCACACAAAACACATTTTGGCTGTAGCACAAAGAGCTGAGCATAATTTTAGCCAAATGTAAACTACAAAAAGGCCACTATTACATTTTCTATATAAAATGTCAAACTAGTGCCACATGGCTGAGTCTAAACACAACTGTGTCAATGTAGCAGTGCTGTTTATAATCAGGAACATGAAGCAAACCAAACCAGAGCTACAATAACGATGGAAAAATCACAGTTTGGATTTATGTGGATTTCATTTTTGAAGATGCATTTGACTTCAGGCGTAAATAGGAAGGAAATATAAACAACACTTGTATAGTTTAAAGTGTACTACCTTTGAACAATGGATTGTCTTCTCAATGACTATGACCAGAAGACATGGTCCACTGAATCTGAGGCTCATACACAGGGCTGCTTTCGTGTGCTGTTCTTACTGTTCCTGTGATATCAGCACCACCTGCATCAGATTTGGCCCTTTGTCCCTCATATGTGGCCTCTAAATTGTTACTTTTTGATTTTTCTAGGTCCTGCTTGCTAACACATTCTGCACTGAGGCACATTTTAAGAACAATTACTTGATGGCTCAGTTACAAAAGCGTAAGTACATGTTAAAATGATAATTGAGAACAGAATCTTTCAACAAAAGCACCCAGACCAACCCTTCTATTCCCATTTTGTGTGTTTTGCCAACATGCATTTGTGTTGCTTCATATGGCCATTGCCTATTTGAGTACTTACGTTTTTCCCTGTCACCAGACGCTCCGGAGAACAACGACGCCAACATCAAGAAGATTGCAAAGCAGGTTTTGGACAACAGAGCCTACATCTGCTCTCATCCTTTAGAAAGAACATTCTGACCTCCTGACCTGTCATAATTTAGGAAAATAACTTATATTTACGAATTCATTTAGGAAAATAACTTATATTTACGAATTCATTGATCCTGTTGAATTTATTGACAGTAAACTGTTGTGGGTTAAGCCTGTGTACTTAACAAAAGGACTGCATATTTGATCCATTTGATTAACAAGCTACACTGTCCTCAGTAGTGAGTGTACTGTTTAAAATATAAGGAAGCTACTCCTCCTTGATGGCAATCGCTTATTAACAGTCCACTCCTTTTACTGTGTATGACAACTGTTTGAACTTTGTAAGATTTTTATACAGTACACATTTTGAATGTGTATCAAACTTTTGTTTAGATGTCAGATGTCCAACAGAAGTGCTCCTTATTTACCATACTGCTTGCTTGATGCGTTTTTAATTCCCAATTACTGTTCATTTCTGTTCCTGTTTCTATTGATTTATTTCATGTGACATTTTAAAATAAAAAAATTCCTTTTCTTCCTCTGTCAAGGATGGAGCTGCTCGCTTGTAAAGAAATGATGATTGCTTGTCAAATCTCCTGTAAAAAATAAATAAGAAGAAGAAAATAAGAAAACAATAGAAACCACAATTTTGTAGTACTGATTATTGCAAAATTATACTTGCATGTAATTGTATTTGTAAAACTCTGTGCTGTGCCTGGGGATGGCGTTGTTCCTGCTGCTCAGACTACAGTCCGTGCGGGGCCCCGGGGCCAGAGCAAAGCTCCTTTGTACATCTGTCACATCTCCAGAGTGGCTGGCTGATCACAGACAGATGAGGTACAGGCTGCAGTGTTGAGAACAAGATCATTAAATAATGCATAGGCTCCAACAGATTGGGTGAAAGCACATGTAAAGTATTTTACAAATTTTGAAAAAACAAAGTTGCTGAAAAAATGCCAATCAAATTAACTATAACTTTAGCAATTACATGGTCAATTTGTTAAATATATGCTTAGTGAACAAAGTGAGAAGGAAAAGTGCACATGTGTTTTTGGCATACTGGGCAGATGATCTAAGTGTCACTGTACCTTTAAAATCATACCAGGCTTCCTTAAAGAATATTTTTGGGGTTCATCTTTTAAAAGGTTGTGAAACTTGTCTGTGTCTGCCATGTGGCACTTAAACCCAGGTAATGGGCCAGTGCTGCTCTCACGCCTGTGCTGTGCTTTGGCGGCTAATGTCCTCTTCTCCTGGAGAGATATTCCTGGAAACAAATACATAAAGAATTTTAATTTGTCTAGAAGATGTGAATAAATAATGTTTTTTTACATAGTTTACATAGTTTAGACTGTTAAACATCATGATATCAGCAATACCAAGATTGCAAAGAAGCACTTGCCAGTTGAACTAAAGTGTTCAATATTTATCTTAAGTTCATTATCACCTAAACAGGAAAAACTAAAGTGTGGTCTTCTTGTTGATCTTGTAAATATTTGTTTCTTTCTCCTCACTTAGACATATTTATAAACAATAGGTAAATCACTCAGATGTTTAACTTTTGACCATATTTTCTCAAAGCTAATTAATTCTGTTCTATTTTATGGTAATCATGACATTCTCCTCTATTTTAAGTTCCTCAATGTAATTTAAAGGGTGAATAAAGAATAAAGAGTACGCACCATCGAGGTGGACCCTCACTGGCCATGTGCTGAAGAAAGGCGGAGCTTTACGATAGAGCTGGAAGTCTTGTGAGCGCTGACTCCAGCACCATGGGTCCCGGGAGAGAGGAGGCTTTAAGATGTTGCCATGAAATATATTCTCTTTCCATGGCTAAAATCATCTCAATGTAAATGAGAGTATTGTGCAGTATTAACAGCAAAATAGTGGTAAAAAAAAGGAGATGTCTTTGTGAGTAACTGAATAACGTAATATACATATTAAAAATAACAAATGAAATAGTGGGGATGTGGCAGTAAACTATGTTATTATTTAGAAAGTTTTTTAATGTATGATGTAGTTTTATAGAAACCCATGCTTAAAATGCAATACTCACTTTTCTTAACTCTTCTACGCGTGCTTGATCTGGGGCTTTGGGATGCATCTCAGGCCTTCTTAAACCTGAGTTCCAAGTTTTATGATGTGCAACATATCTGTAACCACACTTAGCAGATGGAACTTTGGCCTCTAAAACTGGCACCTGTATTAGGGAATATTTATCTTATGTCATTAGGATTTCAGTTTAGTTTTTAAGTGAAAGGGCAATTGTTACATTACCTGGTCTTTGAGTGTGAACACCGCAGCTGGGTCTGGAGGACTTTGTTTGGTTCGGGTGGTCACAGTATACTCCCGTGGTTCGACAATGCCGCTGTAGTATTCCTGACTGTAAGTGAACCATCGACCTGGCAGCTGGTCAATGATGAAATTATATTAGAATATATCAACTACAGGCTCTTACAGCTCCGCTAAAACAGTGAAAGATACAGGATTCATTCATACCATACTTCAGACAAATGTACAACAACTCACCCTGTGTCAATCACTATTTCATCTTGCACTGTTTCTCCTTACAACCTCTTGTATATAGTCCAGATACATTTACTATATTTAACTTGTACAATACTTATGCCTTATTTGACATCAGTCCTTTGCTAATTTCCATTGTAGATCAATAAAGTTGGTCTAAGTCTAAGTCAAAGTTATCTGCTTTGAGAACATTATATACTTTCACATTAGTCTTGTTTAGTCTTGTTTCTTCTTGTTTAATTAATTTCAAGTAGATCTCAAGCATGTATCCCATATTTCCCCGACTGACCTTTGCCATTTGTCGTTGAAGCCATTCCTTGTTGAGTACATTTGTATTGAAAGTCTGGATGCTGTAATTGTGCACTGGTGTGTAATCAGCTGTCTTCAACCTTCGTATTGACTGACTTCTGTTGACAAGCGCTGTCCTCATGCACTTTTCTTGTATTCTTCTGAGGATGATGATAATAATAATTAACACTCAAAGCTAAGATATACTTTGTAAACAGTTTTCATATAAAAAAAATAACATGCCTGGATAAAATCTGAGTTTTCTGAATGTGTCATAGTGTTTGTTGATATGACAGTGGATATCTTCTTTTGTGTCTGCAGTTTGACTTGTGGATTGACTGTCAATAGGAATAAGGATCTGCTCATCCCTCTGGTCAATCACAAGGACTTGTTTCCACTGTTGTATAGATGTTTTGTATTGTCTGCTCAAGCTTTGAATCATATCTGCTGAGGGGAAGACATTGTGCTGCACGCCGTCTGTGAGGGACCTCACCTGGCAGAGCTGTTGTAGCCTGAAAATAATTCATTACACCATTATCCAAGGCAGTTAACAGCTTTGGACAGGTCATTTTCTTGCTCCGCTATCCGTCATAGTAACATTGTGGTGACATTTTAAACAAACATCACTCCCAGCTGGTCCACTGCTCAATGCTCTTCCTTTCAGGTGTAATAACTCCTTCATCAGTCATCAAACTAAATTACATTGGAATTACAAACTTTTCATTGTCTTGTATTTAAAAAAAAAAAGAAAAAGAAAAAAGACCAGATGCCATTCCTGGTGCTATCCTCCTCCCTGTCTATAAGGATTTGGATCTAGTACCTTATGTTTTTTGGCCAGAGGAATGCACCTTTTAGCGTTTACAGAACAACACAGTCAGATAATACAGGGCATGTGTGAATGATGCTAAACATGCACCCTTGACTAGAGAACATACAACAAGATTTGTAAATGTTGCTTAATGTATCCTGAAGTACCTTAGTAAACATTGCAAACACAGCTGGGGAATGGTGCCTTTGACATAGATTAGTGGCTCCATCAGGATGGTCTCCAATGACACAGGGAGAATTATTGGTGTCAGGCTGAGATCCAGTGTATCATAGATGCGTTTGAAGAAAGGCAGTTTTGAATTGTAGAGTACTATCACCTGCTCCTCCTTACTCCCACTTAGCCTGAAACCATTGAAAACACAGAAGACTCAATGGAATCCAAACACGAGCAGCTGAAAAGTGTTAGAACAAGATGTTGGTCATGCGCTTACTTCATAGCAACAGTTTCCCGGAGTTTCTTCACTGCCTTATGTCTGAGGCCTTCAACTACAACAATTTGTGTCTTCTTATCTACCAAATGGAATCCGCTAACAAAATCCAGATCGGGGGCCTGACTGTGTTTAAAATAGGTGGTGTAGTTTGATAAAACATTTTCTGTATTTTCTAATGTATGTGAACCCAACTCAAAGACTTCTGCATTGTTCTTCAAGATCTCCTGTCTCAGCTTGTCCATCACTGCAAAGTTATTATGGTCAAAAATACAGACTACACGTCCAAAGAGAGCTTCACACGAGCTTATTGTGCTACCATTATTGTTAGAGAAGTTAAGAGGGCAAGCTAGTTTAATCCTTGCTTTGAGTTCTGAATTTGCATCAATGTAATGGCCAGGTAGAACTGACAGACCGGTAGCCTTGTCCACATCTGGAGGTACTGTGCAACATTTGATTGGTAGACAAACTTTAAAATGTGTTGTACCAAGTAGCAGCTCAGATAAGTTAAGGCTTGCAACACCATGGTAATTAAAATGTTTCTTCCTTTTCAAAGTTGCACCACTGTTAATACCATCTGTAGGAGCCATTTGTGGGTTTTCTATTGGTTTCCTCACGTGACTAATGTGCACTACACTGCGGTGTCTGGGGGTGGCACGGTGGGTGTGGTGTGGCCTATATATGAGCGCGCTCACCTGTTGAGTGTAAGGCCTTGGATCATGGCGGCGGGGTGAGCACGGTGAGCAACTTTCTGTTGACCGTATTTTAACAGGAAAGATTTGCATATAGAAGGTATCGGTGCATGGCTACGGACGGCAGCAGCTTTAAAGTAAGTGCTCTAACGCGTATGCCTACCATTACAAACAAGTACCGTGTATATGCATTTGTTCCGAGTTACGCGTCCACAGTGTTTTACCCCGTGGCTTAGCCCGCCGCGGCGTGTGGGATAAGCATTGGGCTACATACGCCGCAATATTTTGTCAACAGAAACGTTGTTGAAGCGTGGATTTCATCGTATTGTCGTGCTACTATCTGGATGTTTTGGATCGCTTTCGGAGTTGTGAACGATAGACGTGAACGCGCATGGATTTCTCGTGAGCCCATTCATTCACAAATTTGCTGCGCTACACGACGTCACAGCCACTTTGATTAAAGGTACTGCATGTTGTTGTAAATATTTTGGATTGATTGTTAATCATATTCCCCGGCTAGGCTTTAGTGGTGCTTTCACATAAGGTGAAACACTTTCGCGTTGTTCTGGGACCCGGTTAGGGCTTCGCTTGTGCGTCAAGCGGGTGAAGCATTGCGCTTGGGAGTGCCGCCGTAGTTCTGGTTCTGAGACAGTTTGTCTGGTTCCAGTCTATCGGTATATCCGAGGTACATAACAACCCACCGCTAGTACGTGCAGAAGACTAGGGCTGAGTTAGCTTAGCGCCGGTGGATAGTTAGGGGGAATAAGATTTCTTTCAGCAACTTGTACCGTTTTAATAAAACTTATAAAATAATAAAAAATAATAAAAGTAAATAAGAAAATAAAAATAAAGCGCTGTGTTGTGTGTGAGTGCAGACTTTTGTGATTATTGTGAGTTTGTGACTGAAAATGGAAACTGATTCCAGGTCAAATGTTGGAAATGAAACAATTAAGAGGCAATCAAAACTCACTCCCAAAGCCTTGGAACATAAAGTGGAAAAGCTTCAAGATGAAAGAAAAGCAAAAATGAAAAGGATTAAAAGTTCAATACGGGACATTACAGAGTTGAAGAAAAATCCTGCAAATGTTGAAAAGGTAAGATCATGTCTTGAGATTGTGTCCAGTTTGTACAGTGAGGCCTGTCGGCTGCATGATCTAGTTGTTCCTATGCTCCCTCCTGATGAACAAAAGAAACAAAACGAGTGGTTTGATAGCGTGGAGGAGCATAAAAGTACCTTTGTGAAGGAGACAAATAAATGGCTCCTGGAGGTGCCAGCTGTTTCGGATGTCACACATAGACTGGCAGAGGGCGCCATTGAACCATCTGCTCCATCTGTAGATCCTCCTCTGTCCAATGGCAGTGGTGTAGGCGCACGAAGGGGTTAGGAAAATACAGCTGAGGAAACCAGGCCGAGTGATAGTGTCTCTAATGTATCCAATCAATCAAAGAAGCGCAGCACGGTGGTGAGTAAGTGTGTGTCCTCCACTGTGTCTTCCACGTCCTCTGCCAGACTGAAGGCTGAGGCCGAGACCGCCGATCTTATGGCTCGGCAGAGGCTTCTGAGAGAGAAGCATGCTCTGGAGGAGCAGCTGGAGCTGTTGAGGAGGAAGAAAGAGGAGCTTGATCTGGACATAGAGTTGGCTGCCTCTATGGCCAGAATAAGCGTATTTAAGGCCTCAGAAGGATCTCACACTTCTGCTAAATCAGATGGGATGAATTCCTATTTGAAGAAAACAAAAACTGTTCAGTTAAATGTAGATGCTGCTTCATTCGTGCCTGCATTTGCCACCCAGCCATCACAGATAGAAGCCGCGGGGAGTACTCTGCTTTCAGGTTCTGCCGCTACAAAGCCTAAGGTGAGTTACCAGGCTGAGCTCCAAACTGCTGTTAGTGGGGCCGGTCTGTCAGTGCTACCCAGCAGGGAAGTATACCGAGACGTTCCTTTCACCCAGTCTGATCCACCCAAACTTACGACACAGAACACTTCTGATCAGCGTTTATTTACGGTTCTGGAGAAACAAAATGAGATCACATCCTTATTGGTTGAGCAACAGTCACTCTTTCTCCTGCCCAAAAGGGACTTGCATGCCTTCGACGGAGATCCTTTACAATATCAGACCTTCATCAGCGCTTTTGAGCACAATATTGAAGCCAAAACTCAAAACCACAAAGACCGTTTATATTACCTTGAACAGTATACTCATGGTCAGCCCAGGGATTTGGTCCGAAGCTGCCAACACCTGCCTCCTGCTTGTGGGTACATTCAAGCTAAGAGGCTGCTTCAAGAACATTTTGGGGACCCATTCAAAGTGGCATCTGCATATATGGGGAAGGTGCTGGCCTGGCCTGTGGTGAAAGGTGAGGACGTGGAGGCGCTTCGGGCCTACGGTTTGTTGCTCCGTGAGTGCTGCAATTCTATGGGAGACTGTGTGGGAGACCTGAATGTTCCTACCAACATGCAAACAATCATCAAGAAGTTGCCATATAAGCTCAGGGACCACTGGAGGAATGTGGCCTGTGATATTCAGGAAAGGTTTTCTCGTAGAGCCACATTCAACGATATTGTAAAGTTTGTCGAGAGACAAGTGAAGATTGCAAGTGACCCTCTGTTTGGGGACATACAGGACTCCCCAGGGACAAGAAAAGGGGACTTCAAACCTGTGACTCCTCGGACCAGTCTAAAACCCAAAGGTAGTAGTTTTGCCACTACAGTAACGCCGACAGAAAGAGATGACCCTGTGAATAAAGGAGAGAACCTGCCTGTAAAAATGTGCTTATTTTGTGGAGCTGGTCATGCTTTGGATGTTTGCCTTCTGTTGGATAAGAAGACTCAAGATGAAAAGATGTCTTTTGTGAAGGAAAACAAATTGTGCTTTGGTTGTTTGTGCATTGGGCACAGAAGTCGAGATTGCAGGAAGCGTCTGACATGTAGAGTGTGCAATCGTAAGCACCCCACATTGTTGCATGTTCACTCCAGATCTAGACAAGGTAGTTTGTCACAGGCAAGTAGCTGTTCAGAGAAGGCCAGAGAAGGCGCTGTGGTGTCTGTTCAATCTAGTGGGTTAACTGGGGCCGGAAAACAGAACTGTACATTGTCAATCCTGCCTGTCCAGGTAAAGTACAAAAGAGGGCATGAGACTTTGCTGACATATGCGTTTTTAGATCCAGGGAGCACTGCTTCATTTTGCACGGAGCGGCTCATGAACAGACTCAACCTCAGTGGAAAGAAGTTGGGAATTCTCCTCCGGACAATGGGACAGGAGAAAGTGGTGGACAGTTACATGCTCACCGACTTGGAAGTAGCTGGATTTGGCTCTGACCATTTCTGTAACTTGCCAGAAATCTTCACTCAACACAGCATGCCTGTTCACAGGGGAAACATTCCATGTACGAAGGACCTTCGATGATGGCCACATTTAAATCACATAAACATCCCGGAGATCAAGGCAGAAGTGGATCTTCTGATTGGGACCAATGTACCTCAGGCACTGGAGCCGTGGGAGGTTGTGCGAGCAGAGGGTGGAGGTCCTTATGCTATTCATTAAAACCATCCTTGGTTGGACCATGAATGGCCCGCTAAGAGGAGTATGTCATGCCAGTGGTGAGGGCTTACAACCTGATGTCACAGTTAATCGGATCTCGGTGGCAAAATTGGATGAACTTTGGGAAAACCAGCTAAAGATTGATTTCCCTGAAACAAAACGGGAAGAACAACTTGGCCTATCTAAAGAGGATGAACAATTTATGGAGTCTGTCTCGGAGTCAGTCAGGTTAGTGAATGGCCATTATTGTATTGCTTTGCCCATGAGAGAAAAGGCCCTCAACATGTCGAACAATAAAACCGTTGTAGAACAGCGTGCGCAGAGTCTTAAGAAACGTTTGACCAAAGATTTGTCTTTTCGTCGTGATTATGTTACGTTCATGTCAGGGATGCTTGCCAGTGGTTACACTGAGCTAGTTCCATCTGACCAGTTGGCTCGTCATGATGGGAGGGTGTGGTACGTACCTCACCACGGTGTGTACCACCCTCAAAAGAAAAAACTGCGGGTAGTCTTTGACTGCGGAGCCACTTTTCAAGGCACCTGTTTGAACTCCCAACTTCTTCAGGGTCCTGACCTTACTATAGTCTGTTGGTCGGTGTCCTCACTAGATTTCGTAAGGAACCTGTGCTTATGGCTGATGTTGAGGCCATGTTTCACCAGGTCCGGGTGCCAGCTGAAGACTGTGATTTGTTGAGATTCCTGTGGTGGCCTGACGGAGATTGCAGTCAGGATCTCGCGGAGTACCGAATGGTAGTACATCTGTTTGGTGCAACGTCCTCTCCGAGCTGTGCCTCTTTTGCGCTTCGGAGGTGTGCTAAGGATAATCGTGACCATTTCAGTCCTGCGGCTGTCAGTACTCTGTTGCACCATTTTTATGTTGATGATTGCTTGGTGTCTGTTGCCTCTGAAGTGGAAGCAATTGCTTTATGTCAAGAACTTAGAGCTTTGTGTGCCAAAGGTGGGTTTAAGCTTACAAAATGGGTCAGTAATCGGCGCTCAGTTCTTTCTGCTATTCCTCCTGAAGAGAGAGCCAAAGAAGTGAAAGATCTAGATTTAGACAGTGATGTCTTGCCTATAGCGCGAGCTTTGGGCGTGCAGTGGTGCGTGCAGTCTGACTTGTTTAAGTTCAAGATCACACTCAAAAATCGTCCGCTGATGAGACGAGGAATCCTGTCAGTCATCAGTTCAGTTTACGATCCTCTTGGTTTTTTAGCACCTGTCATTTTGTCCGCCAAGTAACTTGTCCAAGATCTTTGCAGGAGACGTCTAGGGTGGGACTATCCTCTGCCTCCTTCAGTGGCTAAAGATTGGTTGGCCTGGCTGGAAGATTTGCATCTCCTTGAACACTGGGAGGTCAGTAGGTGCCTGAAACCTATGAACTTTGGTGATCTTGCTTCTGCACAGCTTCACCACTTTGCAGATGCAAGTGAAGAGGGTTTTGGAACCGTGACCTATCTGTTACTCCGTGACATCAGTGGCAGAGCTTACTGCGCATTTGTGATGGGCAGGGCATGTGTGGCTCCACTCAAACCTGTTACCATCCCCTGTATGGAGTTGACAGCTGCGGTGGTGGCTAGCAGGATGGACAAGCTGTGGAAAAGGGTGCTGCAAATGGAGCTCAAAGAATCAGTGTTTTGGACGGATAGCACTTCTGTTTTGAAATACATCAAGAATGAGACCTCGAGGTTTAAAATCTTCGTAGCCAACAGAGTGTCTGAAATCCTCCAGTTTTCCGACATGTCCCAGTGGAGGTATGTGAACACAGTGGACAACCCGGCAGATTTGGCTTCTAGAGGTGTCAAAGTTGAGTCTTTCCTGAGAGCTGGTGTTTGGCTTTGTGGTCCTGACTTCCTTTCAGGATCGGAAAGCAAATGGCCGACAAACCCAGAGGCTGTGGCAGAGTCTCTTGTTGGAGACCCGGAGATTAAGGTTGTGTTGACGAATGCTGTGCAGGTCGAGCAGGAAACTCCAGTAGACAAGCTCATCTGTCACTTTTCCTCCTGGCTCGGATTGAAGCGGGCTGTTGGTTGGTTCCTCAAGTTCAGAAACTTGCTGTTGTCCTTGGTGCAGCATAGGCAGCAGTTGAGAGAGACTCTTGTGGGGTCAGACTTGAGTCCTGCGCAACTGGAGAAGGAACTGAAGATCCAGATGGAAAACATTAAAAGTAAAATGTCTAAGGACTTGCTGTCAGTGGAAGATATGATTGCAGCTGAGAAAGCCATTGTTCACTTTGTGAGAGACGAAGATATCCCGAAGAGTTCGCTTATCTGGACAAAGGAGAATGTGTCAAAAGGACGAGCCACCTCTACAGGCTGAATCCCATTTTGGACAATGGTTTAATGAGGGTTGGAGGGAGGCTTAGTAGAGCTGCTTTGCCAGCTGAGACTAAACACCCAGTTATCTTGGCTAAAGACCTGTACATCTCTGATCTTATTCTTCGTCACATCCATCAAGGAACTGGTCATAGTGGACGTAACCATATGCTTTCTCACCTGCGTCAAAGGTATTGGATTCCAGGTGCGTGTGCTGCCATTAGAAAGATCCTGGCTAAATGTATTGTCTGTCGCCGTTTGTCTGCTACACCTGGAAATCAAAAAATGGCTGACTTGCCTTCTTGTAGAATCACCCCAGACGAGCCTCCATTCAGTCATGTTGGTCTAGATTGTTTTGGGCCATTTGATGTAAAGCGTGGTCGTGCTATGGTCAAGAGGTATGGCCTCATTTTCACTTGCCTGGCGATATGTGCTATACACCTTGAAGTTCTGTCTTCGCTAGACACGGATTCCTTTATCAATGGTTTGCGAAGGTTCATTGCCAGACGTGGTCAGGTCCTGGAAATCCGTTCAGATAATGGTAACTTTGTGGGCGCTGAACGTGAATTGAGGGAGGCCTTGGAAAAGCTAAACCACACTCTTGTTAATAACACCTTGTTGCAAAAGGGCGTGAAGTGGGTTTTCAATACCCCTGCCGCATCGCACCATGGAGGCGCTTGGGAGAGATTAGTCCGTTCAGTTCGTAAAGTCCTGAATTCCATCTTGAAGACTCAGACCCTGGATGAGGAAGGGTTGGTGACTGTGTTTTGTGAAGCGCAGGCGATTGTTAACAGCCGTCCTATAACGAAGGCATCCACGGACCCTAAGGATTTGGAGGCGTTAACCCCCAACCATCTATTACTCCTCAAGTCACAGCCATCATTGCCACCTGGTCTGTTTGAGAAGGCCGATGTATATGCCCGTTGCCGTTGGAAGCAAGTACAGTATATGTCGGATCTTTTTTGGAAGCGCTGGTTAAGAGAGTATCTTCCTAGTCTTCAAGAGCGCCAAAAATGGAATCATGTTGGGAGGAATTTTACACCTGGTGACCTTGTCATGCTCGTGGATGAGATGGCACCACGTGGCTCGTGGATTACAGCAAGAGTTTTAGATGCTGTTCCAGATAAAAATGGACTTGTGCGCACTGTGAGGATTAAAACTAAGTCAAGTATTTTGGACAGACCAATCACGAAAGTTTGCCTTCTGCAGGAAGCGGAAGAACAGTGACCGCTATGGACTCTATTTCTTTTTGTGGTTTAGTATGGTTTCTCTTCTGTCTCCTACAAGTAGTTGGTGGTGGGTAATTATTACTAGTTAATAATTAGGGGCCGGTATGTAGGAGCCATTTGTGGGTTTTCTATTGGTTTCCTCACGTGACTAATGTGCACTACACTGCGGTGTCTGGGGGTGGCACGGTGGGTGTGGTGTGGCCTATATATGAGCGCGCTCACCTGTTGAGTGTAAGGCCTTGGATTATGGTGGCGGGGTGAGCACGGGGAGCAACTTTCTGTTGACCGTATTTTAACAGGAAAGATTTGCATATAGAAGGTATCGGTGCATGGCTACGGACGGCAGCAGCTTTAAAGTAAGTGCTCTAACGCATATGCCTACTATGACAAACAAGTACCGTGTATATGCATTTGTTCCGAGATACGCGTCCACAGTGTTTTACCCCGTGGCTTAGCCCGCTGCGGCGTGTGGGATAAGCATTGGGCTACATACGCCGCAATACCATCGAAACCACAGTTGAGCCCAACTGGGGTTTTATCATCTTGCTTCTTGTCACGGTCGTGAATCTCTATCCTCATCGGTGGTCCTGACAGAAACGCATGGAGGTCTTGGGGATTTAGTAAGCCAGTAAAGATGACATTGACATCTCTGAAATACATTTTGTCACCATGCTTTTCATAGCTGGTCCTGTGCATTTTGAGATTGTGGAATTTATATTGGCAATACACAGGCATGCACTTCTCCTGAGGAAAAGATAAGATGCACAAGATGTCATTTGAAAATATAGAATATAGTGTGCAAAAGATGTGAACTCAAACCTCTAGAATATGAAAAGGCACAGGGGTAGATGGCATTGAGGTGGCTGAATCAATAGTGATAGCCAGAGGGTTGAGTTCAGCTTTTAAATGGTCCGACAACAGAGGTGTTTCAAGGGAGATGTGTATCATACGCTTATTAACACAACAGGAACCAACCAAAGCCTAGGTTGTCAAAGACTGTTCACCTGGTGGACAGATTATGTAGACATGCAAATGTCTTGTCATACATTTACATTATTTCTTTATTGTATATTTTTGAAGGGGAAAATCACAACAAAAATATATTTTACTTATTTTAAAAATCACATTGACTCACCTGCTAAAAAACCTATAGGGTTGAACTGAACAGATGCCATACCAACTTCAGTGTCTGGGCCATATGAACTATTTGTCGCTGTTTGGAAAAGTATGATTCAAAAACATATCACATTTGAAAATGTATATGTAGATATACTGAAGTTGATATACCTTCTATTTCCAACTCTGAACAAAAGAGTTGCCCTTTGGAAATTGTCTTTTGACATAAAGATCTCATTTTTGTAACCATGGACTTCACATCACCTATAAATCAAATTTAAGTTCAGTGGGAGAAAAGTTACAGTGTATAGGTTAGTAAAGGGTGCTCACCACACATCTCTTGTGTCATCAGTCAGATCCTGAGCCAGTCTCAATGCTCTCTGACTCTCAAAGTGTGCCTGGCTGAACAGCTTGTCCCTATGGTTCCAAATATGGACAGTGATCTTATGGTGAAGTAACTGAATGGCCAAAGCCCTGTTGACTTTTACATTGAAATCCTGGGTCCATCCGACCCATGTTTGACCTGCTTCAGTCCAGGCAGTTATAATCTGTTCCACACAACCACATAATTGTCTTATTTGAGGTAGAAGCAAAGGACACTGTAAAAGGGGTATTACATTTTTATACTAAATTACATCCTCTACATTTTGTTTGTTATTTTTTGTGTTATGATTGGTGTATCTGATTTATCATTAAAATAATCAAATTTTGTTAGTTCTTCCAGTTAACAGAAATATATTGAAGGTGCACAACTAGGTTATTGTATATTTAAGTTCAGCAGGAAAACACATTCACATTCAGTAGAAGTAATTATATAAAGTAACCCAATCCAACCATATGTGACAGTCTTGTTGTTGTTGTTCTTTGCAGATGCTGATGCATTTTTTATAAGTGGAACTCTCCTACACCATTCAGGTCATGTTTACCTTGGATTGCTCTTCTTTGTATAGCTTTGCCACAGGTCCACATAACAAAAGGTCCAATTTAACCACCTCTATGTCACCTGGCAGCAACTTATACTCAATGTGGTAGCAGCCACGATCAGGGTGGGCCTTTTTCTTCCCTTTCTTGTACTCTTTGCAGACCTCACCCTCCTCTGGACATAGACAGGATTTGGTTATTGAATTTAAGTGTTTTCAATGTTGAACACAGAATAATTATCTTACCTGGTGAAAGAGCTAAAGCAATGTATACAGCCCATGTAATTTCATTCTCATACGTTTCCTTATTGAGAGATACGATTTCTTCTGAAATGTCATCTTCATGGGGTATTGCACCATTTTCCTCTATTTCCACAAACTCATAAGAAGGCATGCACTCCATCTCTTCAGTAAGATATAAAAAGTACATAATCATAGTTCATTGCCATTACCACCACAGATCATAAAAGATTTTTATAAAAAATGTATTTGGTCAAGTTGGTTAACTCTTTCACACTTATGACTAAAGATAGGCCTATTACTTTCCTTCCCCAAAGTGTGTAAAGGTGTAATAAACATGTATCAGATAAATTAAAAGTTTCATTCTACCCACCATTATTTGGCCGGATCGCAGTAACTCTATAAAATCCGAAGAGTTGAAGTTAGGCGTAACGCGTCGTCATAGGAACCTGTCATGTGACCGCGCACGGGTGCCGCGTGTATAAATGCCAACAAACTCTCCCACAATAAAACTATCTACATAGGCTATCTACTGTTTTCTAAAACTTACCTTATGTTTTGTAGATTGTTTGGTTTGACTTAATCAAGTCATTCCTTTCAGTTCTTGCGGAAATAACATAAAACACATTTTTATTACAACTACGTTGTAATTTCGAGAAACCTTTGTTAATTTGTTATTCACTGAAGAATTTTTGTAACTTAGAACTACAAAGTTACATAAGTCTCTAGTAGTACCTTTTACACATTCTTGTGTACGCATAGGCTGATGGTGTGCAGCTCACTCCCACTCGAGCACAAAACGTTCATGTAGGTCGAACTGAATGAATGAGTAAAGTTTAGACACCTGGTTGCAATTAGAGACTCGAGAGCCCGTCAGAACCGCGCTGGCGCAGAGCTGAGGTGGACCCCGCTTTTGGGGGCAGTGCTGCTGCAAGTTGTCTGTGCAGCATACGCCTTGTTGAGCTCCGCCAGTATGAACCCTGTAGGCGGGCTAACAACACAAACACATGATGTACGGACAGGGCAGGAGATAGGAGAAGAGTTACATATTTTGGGGGATGAATATGTTGCTTGTCAAATATTACGATGGATTTAACGGACTCTACTGACCCGTACAGCCGCCCAGCTCGAAGAACACAATGGATTGTCAGCACTTTGGCGTACCACTATGGACTGGACAGAGGAGTAGAGAACGAGATCATTGTTTTGGCCACGGGGCTAGATCAGTACCTGCAAGAGATTTTTCACCACTTGGACTATCAAGGGGCAGGCAAAATTACAATTGAAGATTATCAAATCTTGTGTGAAGTTTTAGGTTTGAGCGAAGATTCAGAACTCAGAGTTTTGGACAGTTTGCCCGACGAGCTCACTTTCAGACTCTTCCACGCCAAACTTTGTGGCTACTTCAGCACTAAGGCTGGCTGCCAGTATGAGAATGGCCGATTGCTGGTGGGTAAAGACAGTGAGCACATTGAGACTCAGATACGTCTTAGAAGCCCTCTAAAGCGCAGGGAGAAACTGCTGTCCGTGGAGGGGAGCGCGTCTTGCTCCACGGAGCGTCATGCCTCCGGCTGCAAACCAGGCTCCTGTACCCGGGAATGCTACGAGGAAATAGTGGCTCTGGAGGAGGCTGAGGACCGTATTGCCAAGTTGGAGGATGAGAACGCCAATCTGAGAGAACTCATTGAGGACATGAGAGCTGCCCTACAGAGTAGTGATGCGCGTTGTCTGGCTCTACAGGTCAGTGAGGACACTTGTGAATAGGGTGACCATCTGTTCATCTTTTAGGATTGTCCCACTCTTTCATTGATTTAATTATCTATGATCTTACATTTCTCAAGTCCGTTCCTCCATGTCTCACCACATTCAACAAAATCCCCTCTTTTTCTACAATTTGAAGTAGCTCATCATACCTGTGAATGAACTAATGTTTTCTAAATGTCAGTTTGTAAGACGTGCAAGATTTCGGAGAACCACGTGTAGAAATAGTATGTAGTCTTTTTTTCTTAGATTAACACCCCTGAAAATTCTCTTCTCTATCGTAACCATATAATTCAGTCAAAACTGCCTGGTTGTTTTTGTTTAGTTACACTACAGTAATTTGGTTCAGTTTCATCTACATTGTATCATTATGCCTGTACAATTATGTTTTATGTGAACATGTTTGTAGGTGGGGCTATGGAAAAGTCACTCCAGTCATAAACATGAGGAAGGTTGTTTTGTTGCCCAACATAAGCAAACCTTCCAAAGCAGCAGTGTGAGGAACAATATGGCCACCCTGAAGAGCATCATTCATGAGATGGAGATTCTCCGTGGTGCCAAAGAGCGGCAGGTAGAGGAGGCTCGACAGTGCGCCCAGAGGCTGGAGCAGGAGCTGTGGAGCTGCAGGGAGACAGTGGCTGCTCTAGAAGACTGTAACCGGGTTCTGAAGAGAGAACAAGGAGCCATGAGGAGAAAGGTGGAAGAGGCCCGGCAAGCGCTGCTCAGTGCCCTCAGCAAAGTCAAAGAACTCGAGTCTCAAGCCAGCCACGTGCAAGTGCTGAAGGGACGCGTCACTCAGCTACAGACAGAACTGCAGTGCTACAGGTAAACACAAGCTTGAATTTATAGTGTGTGGAATGTTTTACCATTTCCCTCATTAGATACAGCCACATCAGTATTCAAGTGGCTAAATTGGAATACCATCACATCTTCATTAACTTAATAGTAGTTACTACTATGTATGTGTGTACAGTGGTTTTTTGGTTGGTTATCCAAAAAGGGAAAATATCAACAATAAGCTTAAAAATGACCAAAGAGCCTACAATTCAATGTCTTTGTTTACTTTCACTAATGCACCCAAAAACCTAACCATTGTAACTATTTCAAAGAACTTTAATGTGGTTTACTTTTGCAATTTTCAGCCTTGTTTGCCATCGTGTGTGGCAGTTTGGTCTGTGACTGGAACCTTTGGTTTGCAGTAATTGGTCTGCAAACTACAGAGAGGATGGTTTTAGTGTTTATTTAAAATATATAAACACCACCACACTGCCCAGTCAAAAAAAATGGAAATGATTTGTAATATTGTTATAATGGACTTTTTCCCCACTTTCACCATGATCATTGTTTGCCATAATCACAACCAAAATGTATTTTTTTTGTACAGCCTGAGATATAATATTACTATCTGACTCTGTGTTACTGTTTCAGTCAGTTAACTCTCATCTCATATAATATGCATATTAGGTTCTTCGGTCTTTCCTGTAACCCCCATTGATGCCCCAGTGGCAAATAATTCACCTCCACAAAAGAAGTGACTGCTGTAGGAGAGCTGCATTGACAAAGAGGCTCAACAGACTGGCCATGCCCATCAATCCCACTGCTTTCAGTGAGTGCACAATAGCACATAGGAACCCCCATTCTATAGATCTTAGCAACGAAGCCCTTGAATAGACCCACAGAATGCCTTAATGTTTGCTTGCTCATGTTCTTTGGTGCTGATTTAAATTTTAAGCCTTATTGCACTATTTAAAACACACCAATTTAAAGTGTAGGTCTATTCTGAATCATTACGATTTCAACTTTGTATCCTGTAAATAGTGTATTTTTTCATGTTCCAAAAATAATTGGCAGTATTTCCTTCTTTTGAGAAAGGTCTATTGATAAAATATCTGCTACACAAAAACACAAATCAGTTTAATTAATTACCTAATAGTAAGACAAAATCAGTCCAGCGTTCTGCTTTCTGTTTATTGTATAATCTAAATTTAAAACATGCCTTGCTTGTGTTAGGATGCCTTAAGAAAATTATTGTAACACATGCATTTTGATTACATTTAAAATAGAACTACAGTAAACAAACAAAAATGGTTTTTTAGGCTCTTGCTAAATCTGAAGAATTTCAATCATTAATTTCAACCTCTAGACCTGTGGCTGTGGTTGGTGACAAATGCCTGGTTTTAACTACTAACCAGTTGTTGCAAACATGTGTCTTTAATAAAATCTAAATCCCACTTTCATTTTCCATCTGAATTCCCAGCAGAATGAAATCCTAGATGTGTGGGTGCTGTTGCATAACATGTCTGTGATTTCTTTGGACTGGAGGAGAGAAATGGAAGCGTCAAGGACTTTTCAATAAAATCTAAACAGTGCAAATGTCTTACCAAAGGGTAGTTGTTTTGATTCTGTTTATAGATGATACCTATAGACCTATAGCAATCTGAGGAAGCATTTTAGGGAACAAAAAGTGTGTGGAGAGCTGGAATCACCATCTGGAAGAAGAAACATCTGTTAAGAAATCAACTGTGCTCAACACTACTGTTTTTTTTTTTTTCTTAGATTGCAGTGTGCCCAAGTGTTCAGTGAACTAGGGCCTCCAGTTCAGACTAGCATTTGATATTGCTTCTTATCCTTCCAAAAGGTTCACTGTCACAGTGATCTTCCTCTAACCTTCCTCTTTTGGCTACAGCAGAGCCCCACTGTGTCAGCCTCAACTTGGCCCTGAGCAGCCAGCCTCAGTGGAGGCATAATCTGCTGGCCTTTTCATGCTTGCAGCGTGTTCTTCGGAAGTGAAGGGGAGAAGAGGTCAGTACCATTTATCTGCCTGAAGCATTGTGCGGAGCAGGTGCTACTGGGCTATTCTGCCTCTTAAAGTGAAAAGATTCTACTTTCAGAGCTGCGTGTGATGTGGTGGTCGACTGTTGCTGAGTGCCAAAAGCTGCAGCAGCTTCTTCTGCTTCAGACTTGCAGAATGCTAACTTAAGCAGAGAGACAATAGCTTATACAACACAACTGCCAACCACACACCTAAGTAGACAATTTTTAACATGTTAACAGGACCAAGACAACATGTTGCTATGGGAAACTTCAACTTGAAGCCAGGGTCACGTTAAAAGTTTGGAAATTGAAGAGTATGGTTGTTTTTGCAAAAAGTAATATTTTCACTCTTTTTTTTAAAGTTGAAAATTACTACTGAAAACTACTTACTGCTGTTCTCCCAAAATCATAGATAATCTTCAGTGCATAAAAATGCAGTTTGAGATGATGAAAAGGCTGTAACGCTATCTCCAGACAGTTTAACAAAATAACCATGTCTGAAGCCGCTTGGTCACCACCTCCTCGTGTGACCTGGGAGCTCTTGATTAATAACCTCAGCTATGTAAACATGACCTTTGACCTCTGCTGCAGGGCACAAAAAGGCAGTCTGCACCAAGTTCAAGCTCAGGTTGACTCAACATTCTCATTTTTGAACCTCAGGTATAGAAGACAGAGCTTTGCAGTGCAAGGACACCTGAGGGCAGAGGAAACTGCTCTTCAGGGGGTGGGGGAGGGGGCTGCTGATGGAGGCGGCTCTTATTAAACACAAGAGAGATCCTAACAACAAGCATCTGGGCTTTAACCTTCCTCAGCCCAAAGAAGACTTTCACTAGTGAGGCACATTAAAGGATCCAGATCACATGGAAAGCAGAAAAGAGACTGTGTTTAGTCTAAAGTATGGTAAAAATGGAAAAGGTGGTTAAATAACAGTAAATTGTCATTATGAAATTATTGCAGACTGAAGTAATGTGGAGGTGTATGAGAAGTTTTGCTCTGATAATACAGCTTTATTGGCGAGTGATTACTGAGGTCTGTCTTACACACTCATGCAGTTAGTTAGTTAAGAAAAATACTGATGTAAGGGTACAGTACACCTTATTATATGCCTAGAACATTGCTCTGTTGTCAGGAGCAAAAGGTGCTAGCATCAGTCACCATGCTGCATTCTTTCAGTCTACTTTAACAACCCTACAATAAGCACTGAATGTTTATATCATTAACATTTTAAATCAACATTTTAAACCATGATTGTTTTGCTTCAGGGTTTGACGGCAGTTGCTAAACAGTTTGCCATCTTTTACTATTGAGGGACCACAGACTCTAGCCTTGCATTAACCAACTGTCAATAAAAATTATGGCACCACAAACTCAAAGCATTAAGTTCTCTGAATGAATGGTCAAATCATGCTGCAGTTACGGGTTAGCTGAAGTCACTGTTTTCCTATGTTTTACACCAGGAAAGCTCCACAGTCTAATGCTGTCTTTTGGTCTGCCTTGTGTCTACAGGATATAAGCATGAGTGCAACGCAATTTATTTTCATTTTTTTAAAGACTGCTTAAATTGTATTTTCTTCAAGACGTCATCATCTGGAAACATTTATTCTGTGATTTATGCAGCCCCCTATCGGATTTCCCCCAACACGAAGAGCAGACTGCAATTATATCCCATAGAAAATACTATGCAATAAGCTCTTTTTCAAATACTGTTTACTAAAATGTGTGGTCCATTACAGATAATTCTTATTGTTTGAGAAATGATCCATATATTGGTTCAGATAGGCACATTCAGGCCAAGAGCTTAATTACCCTTTAAGTAATTTTGGCATATATATCAGCTTTGTTCTTCTCTACAGATCTTGTTTGGTTCCAAGAGTGAGTGCAGTTGTATTGTAAGCTGCACACGCACATAGCACGTTTTGTCATTGACCCACTTACTGTACAAAATGCCTCAGAGATACAATCTGGCTTCAATTACCCCACCCAGATCTGGCATACAACATCACAGGCCTCTATAAAATCATCATGGCAGTTCTAGATGCAGCTCAATGTACACTGCCTGGTGTTACTTGATATGTTCTTTTTGAAGCTGCCAAAGTGGTTGGACTGAAATGTTCTCATCTGTGCAGACTTTAATCAGTTAATTACTAAATGTTGTAAAAGTACATACCTAATCAATAATTTAAATAGGGCTAATTTGTCTTACAGATCGGAATTACCAAAGCTGCCAAATGTCAGCAGGACGGAACTACAGCAAAATGAAACTCTGCTTGGACAGAGATGCTGTTTGGATTTTCAACATGACCGCTGCTCACCAACTGGACGTGCTGTGACCACACCCGATAAAAGTAAGATAACGGTTTCACCCTGGAGAGACAGAAACAAAGACAAACATTAGAAAAGCTTTACTGAACACCTCAGACTTAAGCAGAGACATAGCAATGATAAGCATGGGTAGATTACAAGATTTTAGGAGATGTCTTCCCCCTGGGGCCTTGACACTGGTGGTGGCAGAGAATAAGACCAAGGAGAAAAGAGGGGGATGATGAGAGGACGAGATGCTGAGGGGGGTAAACTTAAAGTGAGCCATCTGCATTGGGGGGTTTGAATGGGGCAACTAGATGATGACTGGGTGTAGAGAAGATATGGTGAGCTGTGGGGAGGAGTAACTGGAGAGCGGTGAAGTAGTGATGTAGGTGGAGGTGGATGTAGGCCATAGTTTGTTCATTCATTACCTCCGCCAAGGAGGTTATGTTTTTGCCGGCATTTGTCTGTTTGTTTGTTTGTTTGACTGTTAGCAACATAACTCAAAAAGTTATGGACCGATTTTGATGAAATTTTCAGGATTTGTTGGAAATGTGAAAAGGAAGAACTGATTTCATTTTGGGGGTGATCCAGAAGAAATCCTGGATTCTGGATCACTTTGAAATTTTAGTTAACATTTGTGGTAAATGGGGCCAAAAATTTTGTGTCTCAATATCTCGGTTAATTATTGACCAAACCCCATGAAATTTGACTCAGGGATGGACAATGGGATCCTCTTTCATATTCCAAAGGCTGATCCGGATCTGATCCAGAAGACTGATTTTATCGCAATTTATATAAAAAATGGGGGTAGTCCTTGGCAGAGGTCTGCGCTCTCAGTGCTTTTCTAGTTAAATATGTTGTGTCTTGACAAATTATACAACAATCCTGTATTTTGTGTTTTTCAGTGGAAGAGCAGCTGTACCGATCTGTGGAAGGCCAGGCAGCCTCAGATGAAGAAGATGATAAATGGAATGGAGACCAGCAGAAACAAGTGGACGAAGTCAAGAAGATCCTGACCAGACTGTCCTGCTGTCGAGAGAGGTGGGGGAAACCCTCCCTCAAATTCATATGGCGAGCAAGGGGCTAAGAGTTAAATGTTAAATTTGTTTGTGTTAGAAGTATTTTTTTATTATTTTTTATTGGTTTTGAACAAATACATCAGTTACTTTTGAGCCATTGCAGTTACAACATAAAAACATCGCTGGAGTATCTGATGCAGCTTCTCTAACTTGTTCAGGTGTGACGACAAGGCTTTCCGAAGGCTCATGTCTAACTTTGGGAGTTTTAGGAGTGAGGAGAGCTGCAGTGCTGTGGCAGAGCTCCTCCAGAGAGTGACCAAGTTACACAAACAGCTGGAGGAGAAGGAGAGCCAGACCCAAATCCACATGGACCAGGTACAAACCACCCCTGATGCTGACCAACACATACACCCTGGAAATCTAAGTTAGAGCTCAGGGACAAATACTGAAAAGATTTAATGTGGTTTAGTAGAAGTAGTAATTAACAAAGATGAAATAACAAAGACTTCTACATCAGGTGGAATGTATTTTATCCCTAGCCTGTTTCAGCTATACCAATTGTCAACATTTGCCGCAATAGTATCTCCCAAGTGTCCATTTTGTATGTACTGGAAAAGTGTGGGAAGTCGGCTCCTTTACATCAGGGTGGCCTCTGTAAACAGTCCACTGCGGACAATGTTCTGCCTTGGTTGACATCACAAGCTGTCTGTGGCTGAGTGGATGGTGTTCAACTTGATTAGAGGGGACTAGTGAGTGTTGTTATGAAACTCGAAGGCTTCCATGAGAAACCGCAGCCATATAATACAATTTTGCAGCTTGGGTCGGACCTAACCACCAGGAGCAGCTCCAGATCCACGCTTGGGTGTGTTCACAGCTGTTTTTCACTGGGGCTCACCACAAAAATACACCCCCTCGTCCCATTTGACACTTAGCAGGAATTAAAGATCTCTGTTTCAGCGAAGTTGAGTTTTTAAAACACAGGAAGAAGACAAGCTGAGGGAGCTGTGATGTAATGTGTTCCTCTCAGTGAGGAAAGTTCAAATATAAACAAAGGCAGGACTGTCAGGCTTTGTTTATGTGAAGGATGTGAGAGGTGAGACCTTTGTGTCGCTGCACCACATGACATAAAGGTGTGTGCTAGGATTTCCACATGGCTGGCCTGCCACATGTATTTAGAGCGCAACTTTATCAAGGCGTACTGGTTGGTTACCTTATATTTATTTATTCATTGGACTTTTAGAAAAAATCACTTTCATCATTTGTGGATTTTTCTTTTTAACTCTTATTATGAACATACAGTACAATCAACCACGTAAGATATTGTCTCAATCTAGAGTCTAAAAGCTCCTCATGGGGTTCAGTTTCCTGTTTTTAGGTGATGTCTTTTATTCAAAAGATGTAATATTTGTTTTGTTTGTTAATTGCAATGGTGTGGTGTGTTAGGTTTTTACTACTCTGATATACAGTGGTCTTTATGCCACATATGGTACTGTTTACAGAACTGTACATGGAACTGTCCTGAAAATTCATACATTTCATGCAGCTCCATTCACAATGGGGTTGCACAAGTTCGAAAAATTTTCAGAAATTATGGTACTCACTGCCTTTGCAGTAATTGCGTCCATTTAAATTGTGATTTTGATTTGATTGCAAATTGATCTTGCAGGCTTAATCCCCATACATTTAGTAAAAGCCTGTAATTTTTTAATTTTTTTCAGTTGCAGGACTCCTTGGTGGAGGCGCTGCAGCAGAAAGCAGAGGAAACTGACCTCTTACAGATGGAGCTGCAGATGCTGGAAACGGAGAGGGTGCGCCTTTCACTAGTCGAAGACAAACTTATGGACATTCTTCAGCTCCTCCAGCAGCTTCGGGAACTAGTGAGCCTAAAATATATTCAATTACACATGTCTATTCATTTACTCCAATGTGCCGAGAGCAAATAGGTCTGTTTTACAAGCTAACCCGAAGCCATGTTTTTATTTAAACCTAATGAATTTCCTCTGTTGTACATTATATAGGAGCCCCAGTGGTTTCTTAAATCTCATAGCCTATAAAGTTCTTGACATGTGAGAATATCGCTCCTTTGTTTCAGAATGTGTCCCGGCGCTCTCTTGGGAAAATCCTGCTCAGCACTTTGGGGTCTTGTAGCGACCCACAACATGGTATGTACAGCTCTCACACCTAATAAAATCAAGTTAGGGCCCTGTGATCTCTCTAATGAGAATTTACTTTCTTTTAAGGCACTGGCTTGAATTTATTTGCTAAAATAGCCCCATGTGTTTTTGAACAGGAAAAGCTCACATACTGGAGGTGCTGAATGCTCTATACCATGAACTGGCTGCTTGTGAGGTTTTGTCCACAGGGGGTCCACTGACAAGAAGCCAAAGTCAGCAGTCTTTGAACGCCCTCATCATTACTTGCTGATCCACGTCGCCCCCTACTGGACCGAAGATGCGCCAACATGTCTGTTTAAATCAGACTTTTTTTTATCGGACACTCATGCCACAGTAACCCAATAACACACAGTTAAAGGTTACTTATGTAGATTTGTACATTTTGTAAACTTATTCATAAAGGCCTAGTTACCATAACACAATGATGAAACATATAACCTATAGTTAGATTTGTATTGCCTTTATATCTTTATATTTCTCACTTTTAGTTTTGTCTAGTGCACAACTTATAAACAATTTAATAAATAAAATGTAAAGCGCTACTATGACCATTTTAATGTGTTACGAAACTTCAAACTACAGGCTATTCAATAAATTACATACATGTACATGCCTATATGATGCACCATCCGCGCACAGCACGCATACCTCACTTACTCTCGTACGACGGAGTATAAGGGTCAGATAAAAAAAATAAAATAAAATAAAAAATGCTGGCGCTACGAGAATAAAGTCGTAACATTTCGACATTAAAGTCGTAATATTATGAGAATAAAGTCGTAATTTTACGAGAATAAAGTCGAAGTTAAAATAAAGTCGTAATATTATGAGAATAAAATTATAATATTACGAGAATGAAGTCGTAATAAAATCCAAGTCAAAGTGAAAAATGCGGCAGAAGAAGAACCTTGTTTTTCAATATAAAACTAAAAATAAGAAAACGAACAACAATTTTCTTCATTATTTGCGCCTCCGGACTGAACCAGGTCCGAGACCAGACCGGGACAGAGACCAGAACTTAGACAAGGACTGAGTCAGGGACCAAGACTGAGACCGGGATCAGACAAGAACTGAAAACGGTTTAGTCCTGGTTTAGTCCTGGTTTAGTCCTGGTTTAGTCCTGGTTTAGTCCTGGTTCAGTCCTGGTTCAGTCCGTATGCGGCGCAATAGTCCCGCATCGCATTTTAAAGTCACGTAAACGCCATTTCCCATTTCCGTGACTTAAACCAGGACTAAACTAGGATTAAACCGTTTTCAGTCGTGGTCTGGTCCAGGTCTCAATCCTGGTCTTTCTGGTTTGTTCCAGACTTGATTTAGTCCTGATTCAGTCTGTAAAGGTCAAGTTAGCTCTTATATACATTAACACGCAGTTTATGGCATTTAATTGTAAGGTTGCGCTTTTATTTTGATGACTTCCGGTGTGAACGGAAGTGAAGGAAAAAACGTTAGCTTGTTATAAAGAAACGACGCACAGTAAAACACGGCAACGTTAATAGTGAAAATCAAAACAACGGAGAAAAGTTCTATAAAACAAAGTAAAGATAGCTACAGTCGACAGGGGAACAAGGTTTGTTTGACTTGTTAATGTATATTTGAACTTCTTGTCTCTTGTATCAAATTAATGTTAAATATGGATAACGGTTAAGCAATGTAATGAGCTAGTGATGCTGTAATCGTATGGTAATTGCTGTTATTTTGTTCTTGTCTAGCTCTTACGTTGGTTCTATGACACGGCAAGGAAAGATTAAAAGTCATTTAACCATCAGTTCTGGCCTTCTCAGTTCGACTGGATGCTACAGTAAGAGCTTGACCACCGCCACTTCGCTGTACCACGACGGGTCAAGGTTTCATAGCAACTCCCGCAACGTCCAGCAGATGGCAGCAGATGGTCAGAAGACAAAACGGTTAACGGTATAAAGAAATTAAAGACAAAAATGGAGAATATACAAGACGAAAATCTAACAGACATTAATGAACAAATATTAAGTGAGCAAAATAAGATTCAGAGTACACCAATACCACGACGTTCTGAAAGAGAAAAAATGCCTACAGCAAAAATGGCTGCTTATCAAAGGGAAGAAATTAGTAAAAAGGAAAAGAGACTCTTAACTCTGTATGAACAGTGGAAAATACAAGCACGTGAAACAAGAGAAAGTTTAAAACAGGACATCTCAGAAAAGGAAATGTCAGATCTTGCAGATATATTAGAGCAAAAGAGAGATGATCTGTTAACACAATACACTGAAATGAGAGGTCACATAGCACCTTCATCTGACATAAGGAGAAAAACTGATGCATGTGAAGCAGTAACTCATGACATTGTGAAGATCATTCTGGAAAGAATTAGTGGTATTGATGGAGATTTTGATGCAGAATGTGAAGGCAAACGTTTACATGGACTATTAAAGCATGATTACGCCCGGTCCATCTATGGTTCCACCGCAGCATCAAATCACAGCCAAAGTTCTTCCACTTCATGCCTCGCCGTGAAACGAGCAGATGCTGCAGCAGATCTTGCAGTAAAAGAAGCACAGTACAGAGCAGTACAAGAAGAACAAAGACAAAAGGAAAGGATTAAAACTCTAGAAGAGGAGCACATGAAACAAATGGCCATTCAAACATCAGCGTTGGAACGCTTAAGAGCTGAAAAGGAAGTTGAAGCAGCTCGTGCCAGGTTGGAAGCCTACAGCAGAGAGTTATCACAGCTCGATGATACAAAATCAGTGAAAAGTGAACAGGTGAGCCCAGAGTACTCACCCAGAAAGGCTGCCCCACCTTTTACCTTACCTGCACCAACAGCTACCCCTAGTGTCAACCAGCTTGCACAGGCTGTGCAAGACAGCATAAAAATGAACAGACTTCCCACACCAGAGCCAACGATGTTCAGTGGCGAGCCGATAAAGTTCATTGAATGGAAATCCTCTTTCACGTCTCTTATTGAACAAAATGGCATCTCAGCAGCAGACAAACTGTACTACCTCAAAAGATATGTGACCGGCCCAGCTCGCAAATGCCTTGAAGGGACTTTCTTTAGAAATGATGAAGAGGCTTATAGGGATGCCTGGGAAAAACTGAATCAAAGGTACGGCCAGCCATTTGTGATTCAAAAAGCATTTAGAGAGAAGTTATCTAACTGGCCAAAAATACAATCTAAAGATGCTGATGGGCTAAGGGACTTTGCAGACTTTGTAAACGCTTGCATGCTTGCTATGCCTCATGTAAAAGGATTACAGATACTCAACGACTGCGAAGAAAATCAGAAACTGTTACGCAAACTACCAGACTGGATAAATGCGAGATGGAACAGGCATGTGACAAAGACACTTATGGACGGGTGTGAGTTTCCCAGCTTCAGCGATTTTGCCTCATTCCTCTCCCTTGAAGCAGAAGTCGCATGCAACCCAGTCACCTCCATACATGCACTTCACTCCACTGAAACAAATGGTGATAGAAGAAACACAAAGGAAATCAAAAGGAATAAGGCAAGTGCATTTAACACAAACACAACTGAACAAGGTGACAATAGAGTAAAGAATAAAACGCACAGTGGCTCTTCATGCATGTTGTGTCAAGAGATGCATCCTCTTCACAAGTGTCCAAACATTCTGAAAATGTCTCTAGAAAACAGAAAGGAATATGTAAAGGACAATAAGCTTTGTTATGGATGTTTGAAACCAGGGCACAGTGCTAAGGACTGCAGACGCCGCCTCAATTGTGAAACTTGCCATAAAAGACACCCAACCTGTCTTCATGATGAAAATTACAGCATCGGGCTGCAGAGAGAAACACAAGGTCATGAGAGCATGAACATTGCAACACAAAGTAACTCACCTGAAACAGCCACAGCCATGTCACTGAATGTAGCCAGAGCAGAGCACACAGTCAGTACCTCAATGATAGTGCCAGTGTGGGTGTCAACTGCTACTAACCCACAAAAAGAAAAACTAGTCTATGCGTTATTAGACACACAGAGTGACACGGTCTTTATCGATCAGGATGCAACAAGTGAACTGAAGGCAGAGGTGTGCCCAGTGAAACTGAAGCTAACTACAATGATGGGTAAAAACGCAGTTGTAAGCAGCGGAAAGGTGTGTGATCTTCTTGTGAGAGGTTACAATTCAGCAACTGTGATAAGGCTTCCCATTGCTTACACAAAGGACTACATACCTGCAAACAGGGAACACATACCGACATGTGAAACAGCCAAATTGTGGAACCATTTGTTACCCATTGTCGATGAAGTTCCGCCGCTCCTCAGCTGTGAAGTAAGTCTTCTCATTGGTTATACCTGTCCGAGAGCTCTAGCGCCAAGACAAGTACTCCTAGGCAAAGACAATGAGCCATATGCTATTCAAACTGATTTAGGATGGAGCATAGTTGGTAACTCAATGCCTGGCAATGACACAGACACAACAAGTAGTCTCTGTCACAGAGTAACCATCAAAGAAATACCTCCATCCACCCCTGCAGATGCAATACGTGCTCTAGAAAAGGACTTCAGAGAAACTGAGAGAAATGAAAAAACTGTGTCTCAAGAAGATCTCATGTTCCTTGAGAAACTTGAAGAAGGCATAACACAGACTGAACATGGACATTACGAAATGCCATTGCCATTCAAGGAAAGGCCACAAATGCCCAATAACAGACAACTTGCCGAAAGCAGACTCAATCAGCTCAAACGAAAACTCATTCGGGATGAAAGATACAAAAGAGACTATGTCACGTACATGAATGACATCATCAAAAGAGGTGATGCAGAAGAGACTGATGATAATGGACCAGCAGGTGAAACGTGGTACATACCGCACCACGGCATCTATCATCCAAAGAAACCAGAGCGGCTGCGTGTGGTGTTTGACTGCTCAGCTAAACACAAAGGTACATGTCTTAATGAACATTTACTGAACGGCCCCGACATGATTAACAATCTAACTGGTGTACTTGTGCGCTTTCGACAACATCAAATAGGTTTAATGTGTGACATAGAAAAGATGTTCCACCAGTTCAAAGTCAGTGCAAATGATCGCAACTACTTACGGTTCTTGTGGTGGAAAGATGGTGACTTTAGTAAATCGCCTCAAGCATACAGGATGACAGTACATCTCTTTGGCGCCGTTTCGTCACCTGGCTGTGCGAACTATGGACTCAAATATTTAGCCAAAGAAAACAGCCTTGAGTATCCTGTAGGTGCACAGTTCATTGCCAGAGACTTTTATGTAGATGACGGAGTCACAAGTGTTGAGACAGTCAAAGATGCTGTAGAGCTATCCAAAGAAGCACGCAATCTATGTGCAAAAGGTGGACTAAGGCTACACAAGTTCGTGTCCAACAACAACAGTGTTGTTCTAAACAGCATCCCAGCTTCGGAACATGCAACTGACACAAAAACAAAGGACTTAACATTCAGTGAAATACAAACAGAAAGAGCACTTGGCATTCATTGGAACATAGAAAAGGATTGTTTCACTTTCAACATTGCAATAAAGGACCAACCACCTACCAGGCGCGGCATTTTGTCCACAGTCGCAGCAATATACGACCCCTTGGGATTCATTGCTCCATATGTACTCAATGGCAAAAGAATCCTCCAAGAAATGTGTCGACAAGGAACAGACTGGGACAATCCATTACCTGAACATCTCAAGCCACGGTGGGAGAGCTGGAAACAAGATCTAAATGATCTGAAAAGGTTGCAAATAAACAGATGTTATGTTCCTGTAACATTTGGACATGTCAAAAAAAGGGAACTGCATCACTTTTCCGATGCAAGCACATCAGGATATGGACAATGTTCTTACTTAAGACTGATTAACAAAAACAAAGATGTTCACTGCAGCTTTATTATGGGCAAAGCGCGTGTCTCTCCCACAAAGGTCACCACTATTCCAAGGTTAGAACTGACCGCGGCTACAGTATCTGTCACAGTAAGCAATATGCTAAAGGAAGAGCTACTCTATGAAGATGTGGAGGAGTTCTTTTGGACAGATTCAAAGGTCACTTTGGGGTACATAAGTAATGAAGCAAGACGTTTTCACACATTTGTCGCTAACAGAGTACAAAAGATCCGCAACAATACCACACCACAACAATGGTTTTATGTACCTACCTGTGAAAACCCCGCTGACGTCGCATCGAGAGGCACAACAGTAAATGAGCTGCTGTCATCCAACTGGCTTACAGGCCCTCACTTCCTGTGGAAAAGGGAGATAGATCTTCCAACAAAGGAGACTATCGAACTTCCAATAGGAGACCCAGAGGTGAGAAAAGTGCAGACACTAAACACACAAACTTCAGAGCATAAAAGTCTCAGCGACCGTCTCACCAAGTTCTCATCCTGGTCCCGTGCAGTCAGCGCCATAGCACGTCTGAAAAGATATCTGCTCAAGGACAGATCAAGGTCACTTTCTACTGTCACTGAGAGGCAAAATGCAGAAATCATAATCATTAAAGATCTTCAGAGACAAGCATACTCAAACGAAATAGTGTCACTGATCAAAGGAAAAGCATTACCAAAGAACAATAAAATGCATAACTTGGATCTCTTCTTGGATAAAGACAAAGTGCTCAAGGTGGGAGGAAGGCTACTTCACTCATCGCTTCCAAACTCATTCAAACATCCGACTGTCATTCCAAGAGGACACCATATCACAAAGCTGATAATTGCTCACTGTCACGAAAGAGTCAGTCATCAAGGAAAAGGCTTCACAATGAATGAAATAAGGTCCAGTGGCTATTGGATACCAAAACTAAGTCAAACAGTATCATCCTACATTCGGCAGTGTGTGCATTGTCGGAGACTACGCAGACCTGTGGAAGGACAAAAAATGAGTGATCTCCCCGTTGAAAGAGTTGAATGTTCTCCACCTTTCACATACTGTGGTATGGACGTTTTCGGCCCATTCATGACCAAACAGGCAAGAAAAGAACATAAAAGGTATTGTCTCATTTTCACATGTTTCTATTCGCGAGCTGTACATGTAGAAATGTTAGAAGACCTGTCTACAGATACTTTTATTAATGGACTAAGGTGCTTTATTGCTTTAAGAGGCTCTGTCAGACAAATAAAATGTGATCAGGGTACTAATTTTGTTGGTGCCAAGAATGAACTAAATGCAGCACAGGATGAAATAGACACTGACAAACTGACATTCTTTCTTGCTGAAAAACAGTGTGATTTTGTTCTTAACACACCTCATGCTAGTCACGCAGGTGGAGTATGGGAACGGCAAATACGGACTCTGAGGAACGTTCTCAATGCCACATTAGCTCTCATAAAAGGACGGCTCACCGACTCATCCCTCAGAACCTTCTTATATGAAGCAGCCGCAATAGTAAACAGCCGTCCACTGACAACAGACAATCTCAATGATCCAAACAGTCTGGAACCACTAACCCCAAATCACCTCGTCACTATGAAAACCACAACAGCATTGCCTCCTCCAGGACATTTTGTTAAAGAAGACTTGTATGCACAAAAACGCTGGCGCCAAGTACAGTACTTAGCAGAACAATTTTGGAGCAGATGGAAGAAAGAATATCTTTACAATATCATGGTCCGGCAGCGATGGCACATGCCTAAAAGAAATATGCAGACAGGTGACGTAGTGATGGACAAGGATGAAACTCAACCGCGGGCCCAATGGAGACTTGGTAGAGTCTTAGACACTGTAACAGATTCAGATGGACTTGTGAGAAAGGTTAAAATTGCTTTTGCAGACAGAAATCTCAGCAACAAGGGTGTACGTTTGCATAAAATGTCTATAGTGGAACGCCCAGTTCATAAGTTAGTTCTACTGCTAGAAGGTTAAGAAAAGTGATGGTACACAATCTAAATGTGCTGAAATGTTGAAGTTTTTACATGTTGTTTACTAAGTTGTTATTGTTGGTTGCATTGAGAAATTATTTGTGTTTTATTTTGTGTTTATAAACAGCAAATAATTTGGTGGGAGTGTAAAGGTCAAGTTAGCTCTTATATACATTAACACGCAGTTTATGGCATTTAATTGTAAGGTTGCGCTTTTATTTTGATGACTTCCGGTGTGAACGGAAGTGAAGGAAAAAACGTTAGCTTGTTATAAAGAAACGACGCACAGTAAAACACGGCAACGTTAATAGTGAAAATCAAAACAACGGAGAAAAGTTCTATAAAACAAAGTAAAGATAGCTACAGTCGACAGGGGAACAAGGTTTGTTTGACTTGTTAATGTATATTTGAACTTCTTGTCTCTTGTATCAAATTAATGTTAAATATGGATAACGGTTAAGCAATGTAATGAGCTAGTGATGCTGTAATCGTATGGTAATTGCTGTTATTTTGTTCTTGTCTAGCTCTTACGTTGGTTCTATGACACGGCAAGGAAAGATTAAAAGTCATTTAACCATCAGTTCTGGCCTTCTCAGTTCGACTGGATGCTACACAGTCCTTGTTCAGTCGAATGAACGAATGATACACGGATTTTTGTCCTTTAGAAAATGCTGCAAATTCTCCATTCTCCACTCGTTCAGACTTTCCGAGCAGCCTACATTCTCGTAATATTATGACTTTATTTTGACTACGACTTTATTCTCATAAAATTACTACTTTATTCTTGTAAGTTTACGACTTTATTCTCGTAAAATTACGACTTTTTCTGGCTTCGACTTTATTCTCATAATATTACGACTTTAATGTCAAAATGTTACGACTTTATTCTCGTAGCGCCAGCATGTTTTTTTTTTTTTGATCCTTATACTCCGTCGTACTCTCGCGATAGACTTGACAAACAAAAGTATCCTGTGCGCAAACGCGTTGCTTAGCGACCTGACGCGAAACTTTGAAGTCAGGCCACGAATTTTGGATTATTTTGTGTCCAGATTCTCGCGGTATATCGCACGCGTGTTGGATTTGTACTTTTAAAAAATTTAAAAATTGACTTGTTACGTTACTTTGATAAATGGCTAGTGTAGTGGCACAACCTCATTTTATCTTCGGCCTTCGGACATCTGTAACAAACAACCTTAGCTTCATTGACGAAGAGACTGTAGTCTTCCCCAGTGGAAACAACTGTGTATGCTACAACTCAGTCCAGCGCTGCCAAAAGTTCATTCCAGGTACTGTGTTTTACTTACACGGAACAAAAATGCCAAAATGTAGCCAGAATCTTAATAAAATAAAATGTATGTAAAAAAAAATAAAATATAATATATATATGTATATATAAATATATATATGTGTATATATATATGTGTATATATATATATATATATATATTTTTTTTTTTTTTTTATATTACACACATAAAATATACACACTTATAAAATCAAAATGTAGAGTTAGGCAAATGTTCACATACGTGTTCACATAATATGTCATGTTGAATATAGTCTCAGACAGGAGCCCAGGCCTGAGAGCTCTCACCATCAGTGCCAACCGCCGATATCTGGCAGCATCAGAGAGTGGAGAGAGAGCAACCATCACAGTGTTTGACCTGCAGCATGAACAGGGCAGGAAGAGAAAGGTCCTCACTCCTGGAGACTTCCCCGTCCAGGAGTTCATATGCGTGGCCTTTTCCTCAGACAACAAGTACCTCATTGGCCAGACCACAGGCTCAGAGGTGGTGCTCATCCTTTGGCTCTGGGAAAAACAGAAAGTTCTGGCTACGGTGACAACAGGGAGCTCAAACAATCCCGTTACCAGGGTAAGTTCTTCAATACCAACAGAGGAAAAGAGAAACCTGCCTGCAGCAGTAGCTGGAGCTGAAAAAATACATGTTAAGATTTGTGTATGCAGTAAAGATCTGTGTAAAAAAAGTTGAAAACCAACAACTAAGCAAAGTAATTTACATTACACACTGAGTCTTGCATTATTGACCTGTATTTTTATTCTTTCACAACAGGTTAGCTTTAATCCATTCAACAACACACAGGTCTGTGTCAGCGGTAGTGGTGTGCTTAAGCTGTTTCGTTACATAGAGGGCTCCCTAAAGCAGACCAGTTTTCCCAAAGTGGAGTTTGTTAACTTCCTGTGCCATGCCTGGTTGACTCAGGAACGCGTGGTGGCTGGAACAGACTCAGGCCGGCTTCTGATTTTTGAATCTGGAGAATTGCGAAAAGAAATCAATCTTAGCAATGCAGCTACCAAAGAGCGAGCTGATAGGTAAGCATATTAAATATGCGTTCTTCTTACAACAAGATTCTTTCAACTGTGGGTTAGAGTAATGAAAATCTAGCACTGTTACCATAGCAATTAACAATTCACAAAATATTATATCTAAATATTATATCTAAAGGGAAAACGTACTCTAAAATATCACAGAAGCCATTAATGCATTTTGTAAAAGATTCACTTTTTAGCATATGTGCTTAAATGCTCTACAGGCCCGTGGAGATGAAGAAGATCAAAGAGGGTGATGTGGATGAGAGCTCCTCATTGCTCAAGATCACAGCTGTTGCACCACTGTCCAAAGGTTTTGCTTGCTCTGCAGGACCAGGCACTGTAAGCCTGTTTGAGAAAACTAAGGAGGATGGATATAGGAAGACACAGGACATACTGGTAATACTGATGGATTCATTTCAAACAACTTCAGCAAAGAAGCACTTCTTGTTGCAGTTTGTTTGATTGTTAATGTACTGACATATTCCATGTGAGTACATTGGATGTACACAATTTTACTTGTTTTTTTGTTTGTTTTTTTTGTTTGTTTTTTTTGGCAAATTACTATCTGTAATTTCTTTGGATTTGTTTTAGATTCCTTCCGACACTTTGGGCACTGAACTAGTCCCAGCGGACTCCCAGGAGATCCATAGCTTGTGCATAAGTCCTGCAGAGGAAACGATGGTCATCAGCACAGACAGAGGACAGCTCTACAGTGTTTCTCTGTCCTCCACTCACAAAAACAAGGTGAAAACATTTCTACTCTTTTGACTGATATGATTATACTAAAGGAGACATCCAGCTTTGGACTGAGCACGTAAGCAGCAAGCAAAAAAGTGTAAAAGTTGTACTGTGATATTACTGATATATGCATTTGAATCCTGCACTGTTCTAAGGTTTCAGAGCTCTGAAAAGTTCTGCTTTCACCTACCCCCTATCTCCACACACAATCCTCTACAAGACTTCAGGTCATACATGTTTCATACCAAACTTAAGATGCTTATCAGTATTAGTAATATCAGGCTTATTAGTATTGTAGTTTTAGATTATTATTGTGGTTTACAATTAACACAATTTGAAATAATGAGCATCAAAACAAAACAAAGCATCAGGCTAAAGTGTTTCTATAATTCATAATTAAAATAATATGTTCTATGCATGAATTGTATCCTACAGGAAGGACAGGTTCATTTTGAGTTCCTGACCCAGTCTTTTCATTCAAAACCCATCACTGGTTTGTCCACTTGTCTTCGCAAACCAGTAGTGGCCACATGCTCCTTGGACCGTTCTGTACGCATTTGGGACTATGAAAACAAGTAAGGGTCTTACCATTTATATTATGCACTTGTGTCCATCCATAGATATTTATTATAAAGATGATTACATTCTTGCAAATAACTAAAACTAAATTCAACAAAAGTCAATAATTTCATTCTATACATATGTTTTAGGTCCCTTGAACTGTACAAAGAGTTCCAGGAGGAGGCCTACAGTGTGGCTCTTCACCCGACAGGCCATTTTATACTAGTTGGCTTTTCAGACAAACTCAGGCTCATGAACATTTTTGTTGATGACATTCGCACATTTAAGGAGTTTGCTGTACGGGGCTGCAGAGAGGTGAGTTGTCTAAACATCCAGATTGATTGACAATGTATTATGTATAATTATGGCCACTATGTATAAATGCTTTTTCATTTGTCCTTTCACTACAGTGTGCTTTTAGCCATGGAGGACACATGTTTGCTGCTGTCAGTGGAAATGTCATCTCCATTTATTCTGTCACATCTTTTGAGAACATCATCAACTTGAAGGGCCACAATGGGAAAGTAAGAAATTGCTCTAAGTGACCTAAAAAAGTAAAAATAATAACACATGCATTATCTGGATATATTTATTTGTTTATTTGTGTAGGTACGAGGGATTGAGTGGGGTCCAGATGACAGGCGGCTGGTGTCCTGTGGGATGGATGGAGCTGTGTATGAGTGGAACACACAAACTGGCAAAAGGGAATCTGAGAGTGTGCTCAAAACATGCAGCTATACCGACATGAGTCTCTCCTCTGATTACAAAACTATTATCGCCGTGGGAACAGATCACACTTTAAAGGAGATCCAAGACTGTCAGGTTTGTGGTAGAAGATATTATTTTAATGATGATTGTACAAGTTAATTGTGTTAAAACAATGTATTCTGAACACTGTGGTTTATTATTACTATTGTTGAACTGTGCACATTTTTTGTTTTTACAGTAAACATTTATTCAACACAAATACTGCAAATTTCTGTAACAATAACGTTGATGAAATAACCAACAAGGCTATTATTACATGCTCACAACATACAGTATATACAGTTTATATATCCCCTTTTTATTAACAAAAAAAAAAAAGACGATCAGAAAATATACCCCAAATTGACATATTTTATAGAATCCTCTACATTTTGACAGGTTCTGAGGGAGATCCCTGCAGACGAGGTGGCCCATAGTGCAGTGGCAGTGTCCCGGACTGGCAGAGTGGTCTTTACTGGGACCAGTAATGGGGCAATTAGAGCTGTTAAGTACCCATTACCCACGCAGAAGGAGTGGGTTATGTACCAGGCTCACTGTGCTTCAGTCACCAAGGTAAGCCTGGATATGGTTAAGGGAAATAGTTAAGGTTTGTTAAGACCATGTCTTCCATCCCTTCTAGGATAACCAGCACTAAATATTTAACAATAAGATTATGACTATCCAAGAACCTCTACAAATGCAATGCTTTGTTTTAGATGCTAATTACTTTGGATGAACAGTTCCTTGTGACCGTATCTGAAGATGGCTGCCTGTTAATCTCAAAGATCATTGACAAAGAAGGTCGCAGGCTGAAGACTAACAGGCAGATTATCCACACGGAGGAGGTCCTTGTTACCAAGTCTGACCTGGAGGAGAAGGTATGTCAGGTTTTAAGACAACAAATCTTCAATAGTCCTGTAAGTTTAACCTACTAATGTATTTGTGTGTGTTTTAGAATCAGACTATGCTTGAGCTAAAGGTGCGACTGGAGGAGATGCAAATGGAAAATGAGTATCAGCTACGCCTCAAAGACATCAACTACAATGAGAAAATCAAAGAACTCACTGAGAGGTTTACGCAGCAAATTGAGTGCCTGCAGAAAACACTACAGGTCTTTAGCACAGTTTCTCACCCCACTATATTATTGAAAAGAATAATGAGTGAAGTTACTCTAGTTAAAAATTGTTTCTGTTTACATTACATTTTAAAGCTCTCAATGGTAGTAGTAATAGTTTTTAAATGAATTATTTGAATAATTTTAGGATGCTTGACAAAGTCTGTTTTCCTTGTAGGCCGTGAAGTCTGAGATGGAGAAACAGGAGCTTGAGTATCTTGGGAACTCTGCCGAAGTTCTGGATAAACATTCAAAAGAAGTTAAAGACTTGGGTAAGTATTAGCTGACTATTAAAGGGTCCATACTATGCTGTTTTCTGATAAATGTTATAATGTTTTTTCCCCATCAAAATCATAACTGTAATTATGTTTTGTGTCATTTACAAATCTCTAATGCACAAACTTCACATATTTAGGCTGAGTTTTCCTCTCAAACAGAAAACACAACCGCTCCACACACCTTCACTGGAATCATTTGCATAATTTTAAACCTGGAATTGCCAATATCTGCTGAACTAAATGTAAAAGGCAGCTGTTAACTTGAAAACTATCACTACATGACATCACAAGATGGAACATTTTTGATCTTTGGAGATGTAGACAGCCTAACAAACATTTGTGAATGAAACAAAACACAACTCTGGATATGTTTTTGTTGAGGTAACAACATTATAACAGGACTTAAAGCTCACAAGAATCAATTTTGTGTAATATAAGACCTGAACGTATATTTCAGTGCATTTATACCAACGGTCTTTCTATACATAATCAGTACTCTTTGTAACAGAGGTGTCCTACAGTCAGAAGCTTATAGTGGAACATGAGCGCTTCAAGGACCTACAGTGTCAACTTGATAGACTGAAGCAGGACTATGAGCTGAAGCTAAAAGGGGCAGTGGAAAGCAATGCTCTGGTCCTGGAGGAACAGAGACAGAGATATGAGGCACAGCTACAGGAAAAAAGCAACTTACTGGCCCAGGTACTGCTCACCGTGAAGTCCCAATATCCAAGTAGCAAATGATTTGAAGGCTCCTCAGGAGTTGGAAGTCTGATTAATTTGTTCAATGCCTCACCCGTCCAGGTAGGATCCATAAAAATGATATAAATATGAGTGTAGTTAACTCACCACTTTTTTTTTTATTTCCTGGAAAATACTTTGAGCAGAAGTGTAAAAGCTACATATATTGGAAGTAGATTCAATTCTGTAAAGTTTTACAAACTTTGATTTTACTTTTTTCTTTGATGACAATTTTTTAGATGCAGGAGAAAGCAAAAGAGCAGATTGAGGACTACAAAGAAATGATAAAACAGATTGAGGAAGATGAAGAGAAGACAGTCCATGAAATGCAAATACAGTACGAGAAGAAACTGCACACAGAGAAGGAGGCCAACAAGAATTTGAAAGGGGAAACTGGCATTCTGACGCAAAAAGTGAGGCAAGCTCATCTGAAGATTTTATTGTTAAGGCAGGTATGTAAAAAGTTTGTGTCTGTTTTGTGCCTGTGGGAACAGTTCTACAGCCTGCAGAGGCAAATAGACGACCGCAACAACGACATTAACGCACTGAAGCAGGAACGGCAGGATCTGCAAGGCCTCGTGCGCTCCCAAGAGGGAGACATCAGCGATCTCAAGAGGAAGATCTCCGGACTAGAGAAAACCAATCAGGACAAAGTAAAGCACACACCTCTATGAATTTTGTTAATAATGATCAACTGAAAAATGTGTAATCAAAAAAAACAACAAAAAAACAAAACTATTATTAAATACTACATCAATAAGACATAGATTATGAATAATTTTCTGTGATGCAAAATCTAAAGATGAAAAGAAATAAAGATAATGCAATTATTTTATTGAAGTAGTAGCCTGATTCATCAGCTGGTTTCACTGGAGAGAAATGAAATTGAGCGGAGGCACCAGGTGGCGCCAGCCTGGCTATTGAAGTACTACCTTACTTAACTAAACTGTCTTTTACTATATTAACATTTGTTAGCAATTTTTCACAACACCACAACTCATTTTAAATAAAGAATGCTCATGCTTGTCCAGGATAATACTATATGCAGTTTGAAGAAAAAGAACCAGGACCTGGAGAAACTGAAGTTTGTACTTGATTTCCGCATAAATGAGCTGGAGAATCTGACTGGGCCTCAACAGGAGGAGATACAAGCACAGAAGGAGCGGATCCAAAAGGTAAGCTCAGTCAAAGAAAGAATTTGGACCTCAAGTTATAACAATACCAAGCTTTACTTCTCTTGAATTGACATGACTGCTGTATATTTGTTACTTTTTTTTCTTTTTTTTTATCAGTTGGAGGATGAGCTACAGCAGACTGGCAAGCTTAATGCCCAGCTGAAACTCACAACTTCTCAACTGAGGCTCAGGCTCAGGACCAAAGACAAGGAAATGCACAAAGACATGCAAAAGGTTAGTCAGTGACTTGAGTAGGCTACATTTAAGATGGTTAGTGGATGTACGACTAACCATCTAACAACATGATAGCTAACTTGTTTTGGTATATATTATATATATATTTATATATATTTTTTTTAAAGATGAAGGATTTAGAGACTCATCTACAGCGACTGAAGTCTGAGCTCCATGTCTGTGCTGGTTTCATCCAGGAGCCAAAGAAATTAAAGGACTGTGTGCAGATGATCTATGGTCGATATGTGCAGCCCATTGACGTGGTGAGACATGGTTACACTAAATACATTAAACACACTGCATCACTTATTGGCAGTGAATTGATTGCAAATTTTAATTATGGTTCATGAGGAATTTCTTGTTTTTTAACCGTAAAATAAACTTTTCTCATATTCTTATCTCTCCATGTTTTACATAGACACAATTGTGAAACATGGCACATAATTAGTTATTTATTATTATATTAACACCTTATATAACACCTAATTGTTATAGGCTATACAAGTAAAGTTGTAGTAAATGTCAAAAGAGGGGGGGGGATCTCATTGGCATTCCCCTGCTTGAAAAGATATTTAGTATTCTGAACTACATAGTTGTGACATTATTGATATACTGTAATATTGAGTGCGCTGTTTTTAAGGTGGACAAGAGCAGTTTTGAGGAGGAGATCCAACAGGTATTCAGCCTTCATCGGGGTCATCTGGAGAGGACGGTGGCTAGTCTAAAACTAAGACTGGTCAAGACAGCTGAAGAGCATGAGAAGACCTACACAAAGCTTATGAAAGTAAAGCTATTTTCACTTACACACATTTGATCAAAAGTTAAACAATCAGAACCTGAACCTGAATTGCCTTTATTTAATCTACAGGAGAATGTATCCTTGATTGGTGAAATAAATGAACTACGAAAAGAGCTGATTATAGCAAAGTCAAAGGCTAAAACAATCAGAACCACGGGTAAGAAGACCAGCCGATCGCGTCCAAGTTCAGGACCCACAGAGAAGATCACAGAAGATCCTGATCTAAATGTTTAGAGTCACATTAACTCAAAGAGTTACAATTATGCTCTATTGCTATATTAAGGAAGATTCAATTTGTTTTCAATTCAATTTGTTTTATGCATTATGTGTTAATTTAAAAAAGGCATATTTCACACTTAGGAATAATATTATTATGTAGATGTAAAAGCAATTTATAAACAGCACAGTACACAGAACAATAAAATGCTAGTAGAAAAAGTGTTTCTACTTACAGAGAGCATCAACAAGTAAACATAATGGAATATGTACAGGGATATAGTGAAGTACACTGACAAATTTGTAATAAAATCTATTTAAAAATTAGCAGACATTCTGGAGATATCTTGGTTCAGGTCTACAATATTCATGTCAATTCGTTGGTGCAGCTTATCCATTGAAGCAGAGAGTGTGTCAAAAAGAGCCTAGACACAGAACAGTAGTGTGAATAAAGATTCAAAATTGCTTAATCAACAGGTGGTTACATATGTATTTCTCAACACAGACCTGGGCCTTCATTGTCTCTTTGTTGCACACATCTCTCAGACTCTGGATTTTGGCCTTCAGGTGCTGGGTCTCATTGGTGATCTCCTGGATTTTGTTGGCCATCTCTTCACGTTTCTGGTGGATTTGGTTGCACTGCCTGAAAGTTCACACACAGTTTTACATGCTTTTGTAATATTCACAGGTGAGCATTTAGTAAGAATATGCATTTGAAAAAAATACATTGGCAATCAAGTACTGTACAGAGCCAAATACAATATTTTCAAATCAATGTGTATAGGATACATACCCCAACACATCCTGTACGTGCTGCTCTTTCATTTCCTTTTGCTTCTGCCTGCGGATGTTCTGCTTGGACTCCTTGTCCTGCTTCATGCCAAGCGCTCGCTTCAGCTGACCCTCCTCCAGACACAGGTTCTTCAGTTCTTTCAGCTTCTTCTCATATTGCGCTGTCAGCTCCTGGTTCTACACACAATCATAGCTTTTAGTTTTGCATTTCTGAAGCACATTTGTAATCAAGATACCTAAAATTGCAGTTCAAGGATACGGGATAGAAAGATGTGAAGAGTAGGTCAGGTACCTCCTCTTGCATCTGCTTGGTGTTATTTATGCTGTCCTCCAGCTCCAGCAGCAGCCCATATGTCTGCTGAGTCTCAGCTTCAGTGAGGCCCATAGCCTGCACCATACTCTGCAGCTCCACCACATACTCATCTGCTTGTTCCTACAGAGCACCATATCACAACTGCAGTGAGAAGGACCAAATGAATGCTACAAATGTCTTTTGTAGCACAAAAAGCTTACAATGGACATTTTGATGTTCTTGACATTGTCCCTCATCTTCTCCATTTGGCTCTTAAGTTCCTCAGGAGACTCTACAATCTGAGACTTGAGTTTGCTAATGTCCTCCTTCAAGTTTGTGACTTCCACCTTGACTTGGGCCTGTTAAACCATAACAACAGTGAGTACTCCATTTTAAATGCTTGGTCATGAAAAGTGCACACAAAGACACAGAGTTCTGCTAAAATAAATTTGCTTGTGTTGAATGATGATATGATAGTACAGTCAAAACACATACCAGTTTCTGAGTTTTCTCTGCAATTTTAGTTTTCCACTCAGCAATGCTGTCATTTTTCATGTTCTGTGAGAATACAAAATTAAATGAAAATGCAAATGCAAAACCATAACACAGTAAAATGTAAAAGCTCTGTATAACTTACCACTTCCTGATACTCATGAACTGTGGTGGCCTGTAGTTCAGAAAGAGCAGCAGCAAGTTCGTCAGCCTCAGCCTGCTGCTCCGGGGGAATGGTCCTGAACACACACAGAATTAGAGCACAAAACTGCAGTAGTAATCACAAAGTCAATTTACAACTGGACCTGTTAATAACATGATCTCCCCTCACTTTTGTCAAAAAATAACCATCTGAAAAGGTACTTTATACAGCAGAGAGACACTTACGTAAGAACCTCAATCTTCTTCTCAGCTTCTTTATTGAATCTGACATAGGTCTGAAGCCTGTCCATGTCTGCCCTCTAGTAAAACAAAATATAGAACTCATTCAGAACATACAATGCCATGAATGTTTATGAATTAACAGTACCAACAACCATGTGTGTAACATACAAATCTGGCTTGTTTCTCCAAGACCACCTCCATCCTCTGCTTTCTGAAGTGAAGGAAGTTCATGATAGCACTCAGAATTGTCAAGGTTTTTTGTTTTTCTGCAAGGTAAATAAGTATTAATTTATCTCAAGTCAACTTCAAACTAGAACACATGCATACACCCATGTAGTATACTTATAAATAAATGATATACTTACTAGGAGCTAAAAGGTCATTCAGTGAGAAATCAGAAAACAGGCAGACGGGCAAAAACTGGCGCCTACATAAAAAGCAAAGTAAAGCACTGATTAATTTTTGGATGAAGTATAGACCATTTCACAATCAAATATCTTGTGAAGTCAAACTGACATGAATAAATGTCAGTGAAAGAAAAATGTTGGGCTCATCATAGCAAGAATTTCAGCAACAAAAATGCTCTGAAGCCCAGTGTTTATTGTTGTAGTTTGAGGCAAAATGAGCTATATACACAGTCCATGTAACAAAGAAGAATTTTCCAGTAAGCAAACGTAAGAAAGCTTACATGCGGATGTATACGCTGACAATGGAGGTGGCTCCTTCATGATACTGAGGATATTGGATGTTCTCCAGGAGTGGCAGCTGTTGAAACAGTAAACATTGCAATCAGTAAGAGAAATACATAAGTCTATAGACATATTTAAAAAGACGTGACTTACCATGGAGTGGCACTCATGTCTAAAACGATACAGGAAGTGCAGCACTCTCATGTATAACGTCTGAACTGCTTCAGGCTGAAAAAACAACATTTAATATATCGGTAATTATTATTTTGTATATTGTTTTGGATAATACATTTATATTACTTTGCATTTTACTGACAATTCATTGTTGCATTGTGTTGGGTTCTGTGGTGTTATTTTGTTGTTTCAGTGGAGCGCATTTGGTCAGCTCACCGGGGTTGAACGCGCACTGCTGAATGAAGCGTATTCTACACTGTCCTGCCGTGTTGGTATTTTTAGTTAGCAAGGAAAACTTCAAGAAACTACAACTATAAAATCTAAGTGTAACCCGCCATACTCACAGCCTAAAGAGACTGGTAACGACGACATATTAGGGTTACATATCTATATCTGAGAAGATACTGACTGTCTTTTAACAAAATATTATGATTAATTTCTGGTTGATGAAGAGGTTATAGAACAGTAAAGATTACAAACTACCAAATAAAAGCAATTGACATGCCATCTCCTTAAAATGTGCCCTCTTTTCTAAAAACCCCTGCGGACCTCCTAAGAATTTTGGGAACCAGGTTGGGAAGTGATTTAAAGTAGTGGTGCTGTGTGTTTTGTTTGACTGTTCAGATACTGAGAAACATTTGTGGACAGATATTTTGTAAGCAGCTTAGGAGGAAGGAACAGGCATTTTGTGATGTCTAAGTCACGTTGAATAATAATATTCAGACAGTTTATCAGTATTGATTCGCCCACTAAATGTTGGTGAAAGTAAAGACATTGCTGACATAAAAGCGGCCATGTTATGTTTTGTGTTATTAGTACTGACAGGGAGAACAGTACTTCCAGAGAGAATCGGTTATCCTTCTCCAGGACTGAAACAGGACTGAAGATCGCAAGTTAATTTGCATCTCATTATTCTTTCTGTTGAGCTGCATTAAATTATACTACACTATTCGCTCAAATGAACTGAAGATTTAGTATTCAATATAAAAGCATTTCGGGAAGAAAATGTAAATTTAGTGGCTATATAAACAGCGTTGTGGAGAGGAAGAATACCTTTGGAGTAGGGGTGAGATCGCTCTTGGTTAAGTGCTTCGCCTCTTGTCCGGTCAAAACCTCTGTTCGATAGAAATTAACTATAGCATCCACGGTATACACTGGGAAGGTGTTCTCAGACATTTCTGCGATATACAGAGAAGTAAACAAAATGAAAAAAACAAAACAAACTACTTTGTCAACAAGAGACTCAAAAGTGGCGCCTTAAATTTGCTTCCTGTTTAATCCGCTACAAGTCACCTGATTGGCTGATTTCTTCCTCAGTCCTATCGAGCTATATTATATTATACAACACTGCCCTCTACTGTACAAGAGATTACATCAACAAATGTAATAAATATCTCAGTCAGATAATATTAAACCAAACGTCTACTAGTATATGATTTAGACATGACTGCTTTCTTTACTGAAAACAAAACAACAAAATGAAAAAGAAAAACCAACAATGTATTTTTCAAAACTTTCACTTGGTGTACACTAGAGGGCAATCATTTTCTTCGGTCGTCTGAAATGCACGTGACACAACAAGGAAGTCATCGCAAAATCGCAAATCGTTTCGTGGAGTTTTGTGTTTGAATGGCCTGGATATGAGAACGTAAGCAGACAAAAACAGTCATGACCGAGCAGTGGACCGAGAAGATTGGCTTTTTTTGCCGTAACCCAGTCCATTTCTTCTCCGCGACCGGGACTACAGCCGAGACGGTCCTAGCGGAGCTTCTGCGGGAGCTGCGAGATGACAGAGCCCCCGCTAATGTCAAGGTACACTGATACTGAACACTGAACAAACAAAAACAACAACGCTATCATTTGAATGTTATTTCTATCAAAATTTACCTATATATGCCAGATTATACCACAGTATTTTGTTTTTAACATAGTTTTTGTGATGATAAATGATCATGCATTTTCTCTTGACTGTTGTATCATGCAGGTTCTCTTATTGAGCCCTTTCTGCGAGCAGCCTCTGGTGCTTTGTCCTTCACACTCTGTGGGTGAGGAGACAACCCTGGAGCTTATGTCCGTGTATTCACAATGCTCTCCAAAGGCCCTCCCTCTGCGCTGTCACCTGCTATTGGCCATCACCTCAGTGGTAGTGTGCACAGACTGTGTCAGCCGCCGCTCCAGTGCCGCCCAGGACTTCCTTGAGTTGCTTTTAATGATTGTCCAAGACACCAGTGAGCTCTACGCAGACAGTACGTCCCGATCACTGAGGGCCACTGCTTGTGACTGCCTGAGGGAGTTGGAGGCCTGCTGCCCTGGTGTTTTGTCTCAGCATTTGGAGCTCCTCGGAGCACTACGACAAAAAGAAAGCTCCAGACTGCACCAGGCCTACTGTCAGTTGTACAGTCAGGTGATGAGAAATGGAGTGTATCAGCTAGCACAGGACACTGGGACTGGACCAGATAATCTGAAAGCCCTTCTAGAAGGTGATACTTCTGTAGCATGTGAAGTTACTCAAGACTCAGATTTGATGACTAGTAAAGACTTTAGTGCTCTGTCATCTCTGGTCCTGGGTCCTATGGGTGCTGTGCCCACCCTTCGTACTGGGCCTGACTGTAAAGAGCTACGCTCAGTTCTGTCTACTCTGCTTGAGGACTCATACCTGCTCACTCCTCTGGCTCAGGCTGCTCTGCTCCACAAGCTAATTGAGCTGGTTGCCATGGTTCCAGGAATCCCACCAACCATATTCAGAGCACAGCTGCTGCGGCTGCTGGGCACCACTGAGGTTTGTCTTTTATCTCTCTTCATTAAGGTCATTTTTACACGGTGACAACAAACAGATCAAGACTAGTCTGTCCTAACTTAAAAGCTTTTATCCAAGTTTTTATCCAAGCAGTACTACTGGCAGTAATGTGGTGACTTATTTTTCTGTGTTTTCTAAACTAATATACTGAGGGAAGATTAAATCAGTGACTATATTCAGTGGTCTATTATTATGAGTATTAACTAGACTAATATTGCCTCTGTTTTACCTCTGTTATTTGTTTACATAACATTTATAACCTTTTTTTTAGGTTTCTCTCCTTCACATAACTCTTCTGATGAAGAGTGCCTTCACAGATAGCCTATTCAGTGCAGAAGATGAAGCATTCCTCCTAAAACGCCTGGTTGTCCTTTCCCAGCATCCATTGCTAAGCACATCTGAAAAACTCTTTTATATGGACTGTCTCCTACATTTTCCAGAGAATCGTCCCATTGGCTGTGGGGATGAGATGCTACCAGTGCTTTTAACACCACAATTAGCAACTGCATTAGTGCCAACAGTGTTCAATGACAGTGTGACCATGCTTATGCGATTCAATCTGCTGTCTATGGTATATTTAGAGGACGGGGAGGTAGAAGATGAGGAAGGGAGGGGTCTGGCCTACTTGTATGAGCACCTGGTTACTCTGCTTGGAATTGTGGGAAATGGGGGCCACCGTGAAATAGTAACCACTTTTTTTAGAGCCTCCTTTCTTTTTCTCTCATACTTTGGTCATGTAGAAAACTACTCAAGCCAGCTGATTAAACAGCTGTGTGAACTCTACCTCGATCATACCCACTTGGCCCCTCAACTCATCAACTTAGCCAATGAGACTCAAAACAAGCTGCCAGACTCAAGCTGGACAGTGGCACTACTCCAGGGCTTTCAAAGGGCCATCAGTAATGTGCCACTCACGAAGCTAACTGCTCAAGAACTCAACTACCATCTTAAAATTATGGCTCGTGTTGCTGAGGAAAGGGACATCCCACAAGATGGCACACTCCACTTCCTGTTTGCTGTTGCCATAGCATCATCGTCGTCCCTACTCGGAAATTGGCGATTGGGCAACAGTATATTAGCGGTTTGTCGCTGTTTACTAACACACCCAGGCCTAGACACTTGGCTTGTAACTTTAGCTGATATCCTCCAGCACATGGCCACCAGCTATAGAGACACAGACATCCGGGACCACAGTCGCTTTTACTATACACTTCTCACTAACCTATCCAAAGAGAAGCTAGCTGGGATGTTAGAAAGGGGCACCGCTACAGAGGGAGATCATGTTAAGAAGAGAACACTGTCTTGCATTGTAGCTGAGAGCGAGGGCCAGGCTAGCATTTTAACCATTCAAAGGATGGAGAAAGAGGTTTTAAAACTTGTAGAACTCAAGTCTGTTGAGCCGCAACAGCTTTCAGAAGATTACAAGGACGGGCCATGTGATTCCATAGAAGCAGTGGCAGCATATAGAGCTCAATTTGACAGTCCTGACTTTGCATCAGAAGTTACCATAAATTACCATCTGGATCACAGTGAGAAAAGTGTCTCTCAGTTTGACCACCTTTACAGTATTCGTCTACACTTGAGCCTAACAGATGACCATTACGAGGAACTAAGAGACATCAGTGTACCATGTCTCTTCAGAAAAAAGCCTCCTCCCATCGTAAAACTGAAGTTAAAGCCAAGGCAGCCATACCCTACCACTCTTCACGCAAGTACCGTTTTCACCACACAAGATGGACTCACTTGGTATTCTGAACTTCCAGACATACATATCTCTTTTCAGCAGACTTTCTGTCTGGTACCTGTACCATCAGCTTGGGGTCGACTCGATAAACTTAAGCTGTTCAATGCTCTGTGGAAGGAGATCTGCTCAGAATGTGAGGATGTGGTGGAATCTGCTAAGAGTCTATTTTGCTGTCAGTTAGAAAAAGAAGAATTGGAAACATTGGTTGACAAGCATTTCAAAGCGTACCTTGTGGAGGATGATAGTGACCAGGGAGAGCTCAGAGTGTTGGTATTTTTGCCACCTTTGTCTCACATGCTGCTGAAGATCAGACGTGAAGATGATGCTGTGAACTTTGATATAGCGACAGACAACTGGCATCTTCTGCCACACATTAATTCATTTTTACAGGAAGTAACATCACAGTAAGCATCCCCAGATGACAGCTAGCAGATTATTCTTTTAATAAGCATTTTAACAAAATATCACATATCGTTAAATGTAGCCTTTTTTGAAGATTTAAAAATCTAAAATTCAATGGCATTAAATGTACAAAGCAGGTATGATGAATACAAAAGGGGAATTTCAGTATAGACAGTATCAAGTCTTATGTTTCCTTCAGTGCCTGATTTTTACTTGCATTTTTAAATATATGTGTGTGTTTTCACAGATGTTTTTGGTGTTTCAGTGACAGGAAAAGAGTGGTGGAAAGTTGAAACAAAAGATACAGAGGATTGCTTATAGTTTATTGTACAGAGCTCTAAATTAAGTAAAGGTGGATTTGCAGTAATCAATATTTGTGATTTAATTTTTTATTTTTTTGTATCCCAGCTGTTAACTTTAGAAAACATCAGCACATAGGAAACAGGGTCAATGTAATATTAAAACATTTTATTTTGTCACCAACACTGCAGTGTAATAATTAGGCTGAATCCCCTGCCATCAGGTTGGTACTAATGTTGTATAATTGGGCAAAATAATAAAACACCCACCCTGGCTAAACTATAAACGAGAGCATGAGAAGTAAATTTAAAACATATTAACCCTTAAGACATAGCATGGGAAGGTAGAGAACGTAAAGGTCTCACTGTAAACATTAAAAGGAAAAGATGTGCTACACAAAAGCCTAGGACAACAGATCATGATCATGTTCTGCACATCAGTGTATGCGTTAAATTTCCAACTCCAACTATAGATGAATCTCTCCCCTTCTCCCCATTTCAACTTTATATCATCTAAAAAGTCCATGAAAAGTCATTAAATATGTACTATAATTAAATAAGTTTGTTGAAAAATCTGAATAATCCAGATTAGATCATTTAAAATCATGTCCAAAATGATTGCCTGTATCAAAACTGATCAGTCTACCATTTATTCATTAGATAGTCCTTTGAAATTAGGTCCTGTGTTTGATGGTAAGACTATCTGCTGACTTAGGAGTTTGTCCATAATGGCGATCTCGGCGTCCCTTTTCTCCACCTCTTCTATGGGAGTCCAGGACATGTCATGCTGAAGTTTAAAAGCACCAATAAACGGGTGTGGGCAGCTCGGACCCCATTCCTGATGAACAAGGAGAACAAGATATATTCAAGAATGCCTTGGTGTAACCTTTGAATGTTCAGATTGAGTAATGCTTGTCCTCATGTCCTTCCCTCTTTTAGATAATAAAGAATAGCTCACAACAAACAATGATTCAAACTCACCTTAGGAGCGATAATAGAGAAATATTTCTGTCCAGACGGTCGTTCATAAAGGTAGTACATGTTTCCTGGTTTCTTCACTATGTTACACGCAGCATGGTGGAGGTCTGCATCTCGTTTAGCTTCTTCCAAAACCTAGACCAAAGGTTTGTGGTGTTAATAAAGTTACGTGATGAATACTATACTAGTGTTACATTGAGTACATTTTACCTTTCTGGCCTGTTCTTGAAGGTATCTGATCTGATCAGCTATGACAGTCAGTTTGTTGCAGGCATTTGCTTTGATGAAATCATCTCCCTGAGGAGAACAGAATTATGATATTGCACACAGACACATAGAATTGGGGCTATACCTTTTGTACTTGTGAAGCCAAAGCCACTAGGTCCATCGGGTCTCCTACTCTTGTGGTCTGGTAGGAACTGACCAACTCCAGACCACTGGGGTTGGGGCAGTTTTCAACCAGAGTCACTAGTCACACAAGGGTAAATAAAATAAAATAAAATAATAAATTAGGGCTGCAACTTGCTAGGACCATGATGTCTGAATAGTCTGATTAACAATAAAAAATAAAAAAAAATCTATGAGGATCCTTTACAAGGGTAAAGAGAATACTCAAAATAGTCCCCAGATGTGGCTTCAACAACCTCTAAACTATTTAATGAGATAGCATATTTAATCACATTTATAGTAGGTAGCAATGCTAAAAATGTATGATCAGCAACATTTAAGAGGAATAAGGAAACGCTAACTATGCTTATAATATGCTTACATAAGATATTGCACGTGCATGCATAAATAAGTCACTGTTCTTACTCGAGTATAGCCCAGTAGTAGTTCATGACTAGTATGCTCTAAGTTATTTTAGTACTTACCCGTGGTGGTTCTGTCAGGCTGATTCGGAAGGCTCACCGCTCGGTCCATTTTCTGTTTCACCCAAAAATGAAATTAATGTAAAGAACTGCCCCTCAGAAACTACTCTTATATCAGTCAGGTTTTGTAACTAATGTTGTTGCTGTTTCTGAGCAAATAGACAGGTTGGATAAAAGGGTCCTCAATCTCCTCCCCCTAATCATGAAAGGTTGCCTTCATTTGAGCCTGAGTAAAATTAAAACGGCAACCACAGTAAAATTTTATAAAATACACTAGTGATAATTTAATGTATGTTTATTGGCTCTGACCGTATATATTTTTGGGTATATCAGTCATACGTATTTTGGATGTATCCTGGCAAAGTTTTGATTTAGGGTTTTAATGCGGCATACACTCCACTCCCCCACAAAGAAAGCGTGATAGGTGTTGTGGTTAATGTGTGATTAGTAGAAAAAGTGCGAGATGTTCAGATAAAAAGTGCTATTAAATAAGCTATTTGTTTAAAATTACCATGTATCTTCATTTTGCTTCCATTAAAATTACTCAGCATCGGAAAATGTATAGATGTATAAGTAATCATTTATACATGCATATCCCACATATTTGGTTGAGATATTTGAAAAAAATAAAGTACATTTCTTGCCTTAGTAATCGATTTCCTATTTTTTCTGATTGTAACCGCTATGCTCTGTCAGTTTGAACAAACATTTGAAAAAGTTATAGTTTTTCCTTCAGATTATAACATTTGTCATATGTTTTGTCCTTGTGAAACAAAGGCAGGAAATGGTATGCTCATTTTTTTCAAAAATAGTTTGATTTTTGATTGAAATGAGGGTGTAAAACTCCTCTGTAACCCCACCTCCCAGAGCCCACTCCTGGCTGGAGGTTTCTTGCCCCGGCTTGTGTGAAAATCCAACATCCAACCAAGCTCTGGGACTGAGCAGTTCCCATCTTAGCAGCATGGAGCAGCTCCGTTATTTCGCCGTAGTTTTGTGTCTTTCCTGTCCCGCATTTAGCTCACCGGACACTTCTTCAGGGACCCGGCCTTTTCTGGAGCCTTATGACTTTCTGTTTGACACCGCCGTAGAAGCCTACAATAGGGGCGACTGGTTATCGGTCATCCTCAACATGGAGAAGGCTCTCAGGAATAAAGCTGCTGTACACAGGGTAAGGGCTGAGTGCCGCTTGAACTGCGCTAACCAGACCGCTTTCAGTGAGCCCCTGGCGGGCTTGGGAGTCCCTATCCCGGGGGTAGGCTCAGTGGATGATCTAGGGTTCTTTCAGAAGATTCTCAAAAGAGCAGAATGTGTGAAGTCCTGCGAAAATGAGAAACTTGGGCCACCGACTATGCATCTGGCGAGCGCAGAAACAGAGTTGGAGTTCAAGAAAAGAACGCCGTACAATTACTTACAAGTGGCTTACTTCAAGGTAAAGAAGTAATACCTGCATGTTACACATCTGAATAAGTGTTTTTCAAATAGACTATTTTTGAGTTATACGTGGATATACTTTTGAGAAAACTTCATGCTCGTACAGTGGAGCCCCAACCCCCCAAAGTGGAGCCTGCCACGTCTTAAGGTGGAGTTAGTTGTGCAGACTCCGGCTGGAGCTGTATAAGATGCACTAAAGGCCTGAAATTTAGAAATCTAGTGGCCCATCTTTACAATTATACTGCACTGGACACCTTGGGCATGTCTTTGATATGATTGCTCATTAAATAAATATTATAATCTCTGATTCCATATCAGCCCTATCTTGCTGGGTGTACTATGAATGGTATCACTGGTTTACTATATAATGAAACAAATCAGTAGAGAATTAAATTGAATTACTTGAATACATGTGTTGTGTAAACCACAAGTTTATGTACACTGTCTCAACATGTTATTATTATCATTCATATATTTAGCTAAAGCCCAGTGCAACTCTGCAACCATCTGCCTCAGTGTCATCTAGCAACTTGACTCAATAGGAGTAACTGTTATAATATGTAATATAAAATGTAATAATAATATCGTATTCACTAATACTTTTTCTTTATTCTAGATCAATAAACTGGACAAGGCAGTAGCAGCTGCAAATACATTTTTCCAGGCCAATCCCCACCACATGGAGATGAAACAGAATCTGGACTACTATAGAATGATGGATGGAGTCAAAGAAGAGGACTTTAAGGACTTGGAGATTAAGCCCCATATGGTGAGAACTTCATATTCTTATATCACCATGAAAGCTATGAAGTCACACATGTCTTTCTCACTCTCTCGTCAGGCTGAGTTTTTGCTGGGAAAACGTTACTACAGCCATGACTCTTTTGGGTTGGCTGCAGATTATTTCGAAGCAGCTCTCGATGAGTACTTCACAGCTGATAAAGAATGCAGAGTGCTGTGTGAAGGTTCCTACAATTATGACGGGTACAACTACATGGAATACAGCGCAGACCTCTTCCAAACCATGACAGGTGAGATAACTAATTTGATACTTTGACATCTAGATAAAAAAGACATTTTGTTTATTTATAGTCTCTGTGTTTGTTTGTATTAGATCATTATATGCAGCTGCTAAACTGCAAGCAGCGCTGCTCAGTAGAACTGGCCACTAATGCTGGAATGGACAAGCCCTTTGAGAATTTCCTCCCTTCTCACTTTAACTACCTACAGTTTTCATATTACAACAGTGAGTTGACTTACCTTAAATTAATTCAAGTGTGGCAGTGCTAAACCATCAAAGCAATGCATGTGTCCCAATACATATGGCATATACATTTAATATACACTATGAATAATTCATATAATTGTTGTTTGTTTGCATACAGGTGAAAACTATGAAAAAGCCATAGAGTGTGCAAAAACCTTTCTGCTTTTTCAACCCAAAGATGAGGTCATGAACCAGAACCTGGCCTACTATTCGGTAGTGCTGGGGGAGGAAAAAGCAGAGGCCATTTCAGCCAGACAGGTACAGATGGTGCTATACAAGTGAAGTAACTACTTGATCTTTTTCCATTGATTTAACAATGTTGTGACTCTGTGCTAACATTGACCTGCAAGCTGGATTGTTGTGAGGTTTGAGTTGTCAAACTCATGAGAATCCATTTTGTATGACTCACGACTAATTTGTTAGATTTCACATAATATATGGTGTGGAGCAGAAAGTGTATATTTTCTGACAAATACATTTTTTGGACATGCATCAGACCTACAGGGAAAAAATCGTCATGTCAATTGGCTTCTGCATTTTTCTAAAACTCCACTCCACTCCCATCTTTCCAAGCTACTTCAACACAGTCACTCCAGACTGTTTTCAGTCACTTCAGTAACTTTATTAATTATTATGTCTTTTTTCCAAGTTAATTATATACATTTTCATTTCATTTCAGTTTTTAAATTTTTACATTTTACCATAATCATTTTAGACTTATGTTTATAGTCATACTATACCAAAGGTTTGGGGTTTGAACACAGCTAGAATCAGTGCACACTGTCATGTCTTTAGGCAAGACCACCCAAATGAAAGTGGTGTGTGAGTAGTAAGCATCAGTCTAGTGTACCCCAAGGCAGCTCAGGCTAAAGAAGTATCTTACCACCAAGAATATGGAGTGATTGAATTAGGCATACTGTAAAACACCTTTGAAGGCACTATTCAAATCCTAGACATATTATTCTTATTATGAATACAATATTATACATTCTTCAGTAAATATAATAATTTTCAATATGAACTGAAAATAAATGCAGCACAGCTTTTGTCTGCTAAAGGCTCACTATGTTTCCTATGTCCATTAAGTCCAGCAGTAATTTAGTTTCAATGAGCTCAGTAATGTTCCAGGCTTCAAATGAAGACATTATAAGTAACTAACAGCCATTTACAGCTCTCTAGACAAACATTAGCTGAAATGCAAACCACCAAATGTCCATGACATTCCATTTTTATGCTGGAGATTATGTCTGGTGATCAAGTGAAGATTTCCCTTGGGAAGTCTGCTGCACAGAGCTGTTAAATAACCATTAGAAAGTCAAAAGAGGAAAAGAAAAGAATTCAAGTATTTAATGTATTGTTAAACTCAGGTTTGACTATGTAATGAGCATAAAATATTTAGATTAAGTTTTGTAAGTAATGTCCCATCTGAAGTGTTTTGAGCAGTATTTCTTGTATTTTATTGTTTAGGTTGTAAAGCAGTACATCCAACAGTCCATTCTAGAGAAGCAACTGCTCTATTTTGGTTATGAAGCCTTTGGCATCACATTTGTGGATCCAGTAAGTAAAGTAGTGCAGTTGATACAACTGTAAATGACAGTTTTAACCTAACTTGGATCTATTTTCAGGATTCTTGGACCCCTGAAGATGTAATGCCCAAAAAGCTTAGAGATAAGCAGAAGTAAGATTACTTCTTATCTGGAAAGTTGTATATTTGTCATTAATCTTTTGTCATTTTTCTGTGAGTTTTTAAACTCACAAGAATCCACCTTGCTGCTCAAGTTTAGCAAGATGTTGTAATAGGTAATTTTCTCATCTGGTTTATTTTAGGGCTGAGAAAGAAGCTGCCGCAAGAATTACAGAAGAAATTGGAAACCTCATGAAAGAAATTGAAACTCTGGTGGAGGAAAAGAAGAAGGACTCATCAGATTTAGCCAAGATTGTGGCACCCCAGGATGGTGAGCAAAAAATTATTTAAACATTCAAACCCAATTTGTTGATTATTATTTATGATTTATTATTGCTTTTTTTTTTTTTTCTTTTTTAACTTGTATGCTTCAGCTATTGGTGATGTTGTGCTATATGATAACATCAAGATTAGCATGACGTCCAAGCATCTTAATGGCTCAGAGAGAGTGCTACTAGATGGGGTTGTCACTGATGATGAGTGTAGAGAGCTGCAACGCCTCTCCAATGTAAGTACCTGAAACCCACTGGCATTAAACAGAAGACATTTCTTTGATTTTGTGAGGTCATTTACACCTATATATTAAATTGTATGAGGTCCTTTACACTTCTATGTTAATTGTAGCAGCGACACCAATCAATGCATGGTGTAATTGTGTCTTTGGGCAAGACATTTTAACCACCTTATGCATGTTTGAATATGGTGTGTGAGTGATTGGTGGTTTGAGTGACCAATGATGAGGACTGGCCGTCTACTACAGCCTCAGCTCCCCTGTTAGACTGCCTAAGGTATACTGTGGCTAATGAATGAATAATGACCAGTCGTGTTGTTTTGGTGTCATAGCAAAAACTAATTTTATCTTGTATCACAATTCATCATCTTAAGCATTTCTTATCATAATAATAATCATAATTATTATAATCATAAGAATGTACTAATAAACTCACTTTGTTGTATCCAAAACATTTCCAGGCAGCTGCTCTGAAAGGTGATGGCTATAGGGGGCGCCCTTCACCACATTCCCCCAGCGAGACCTTCCAAGGAGTTACAATCATGAAGGCTGTAAAGGTTTGTTTTTCTTTAGCGTATGACTTCAGTTTTCATGCTTCCCAGGGTTGACTTTGTCACTGACTGATCCTACAGCTTGGACAAGAGGGAAAGGTCCCCCTGAAGAGTGCCCGTTTGTTTTATGACCTCAGTGAAAAAGTGCGTAAGGCTGTGGAGACCTACTTCCAGCTGAAGACACCATTGTACTTCTCATATTCTCACTTGGTTTGCCGCTCTGCTATTGATGGTAAGTTCTAAATGCACCTAACTGCATAAGTTTAATTCATATTAGATTGTATTTGTGTGGTTCTCAAGCAGTATTCTCTGGTACACGAAGTCCTCTGCCATTTAATATAAAAAAAATAAACATTACAATTTTTATTAATGCTTTTGTCCTACTTTGGGTTAATCCTTAAGTGTTTTGTTTTAATCCTTCCTAAGGTAGATCTTAAAATTGGGATTTTTTTCAAGACCTGACTATTTAAATCTGTTGTATGTGGTTGTGTAGAGAACCAGGATAATCGCAGTGATCTGAGCCACCCTGTTCATGTGGACAACTGTGTGCTGGTGTCTGAGCTGAATGAGTGCATTAAAGAGCCGCCAGCATATACACATCGAGACTACAGGTGAGCATGGGTACACTGAAGTGTTTACACTGACAATAGTCCAGTAACAATGAGTTCTTCCTTATAGTGCTATCCTTTATCTCAATGAAGATTTTGAAGGTGGAGACTTCATTTTCACTGAGCTGGATGCCAAAACTGTTACGGTATGTACACTGTAATTTATCATCCACTTTCACATGTTTTAAATACGGTCGAACAGCCTTAGTATTTCAATAAAATATTAAATAATACTTTTATAATGAGGTCAAGACTAAGATACTTTATGCATTTGTATGTGAGCATGCTGCCATGGTTTGTTTTGCTCATGTGATCATTTGATTGCAGGCTGAAGTCCGGCCCCGGTGTGGTCGTGTGGTTGGGTTTGGATCGGGGAAGGAGAATCCTCATGGAGTCAGAGCTGTCACTAAAGGCCAGAGGTGTGCTGTGGCCCTGTGGTTTACTCTAGATCCTGCTCACGAGGAAAAGGTAAGTTAATTTTGTTGACAAATGAAAATAACACTGCTAAAAGGAATAGTCTATAATGTAGCCTACAAATGTCAAAAAGTATTTTATTAACTACCTTGTTTGAAAAATCATATTTCACCAAACAGTTTGAAGTAACAAAACATGTTAATTTGTATTTATTTATTTTTATTAACAGGAAAGAATACAAGCTGGTGATATGCTGAAGATGTTTGCCACACCTGTGAATAGTGAGTTCAGCCAACAGGTCCCTGCAGCAACAGAGTCTGACAGCCCCACTCCACCCCACCAGGTGGCAGCAGACGCTAAGAAAAATGGTGATGGAGCAGACTCATCTAAAGAATCAATAGATACACCAAAGGAACAAAAAGCACCAGCAGCAAAGAAGACCAAAGTGGACACAAATGATAAATCAAAAGTAAAGAGTAAAACTGGAGACAAGAGTAAAGCAGCTGATAAGAGCAGTAAGACTAAAGCAAAAGCCAAAGAAACAACAAAAGCACCAGCCAAACAGGCAGACAAACAGAATTCCAAATCTACAGCAAAACAGACTGCCAAATCAACTAAAGGTAAAGCATCAAAATCTGCACACAGCAAAGAAGAACTGTGATATTTGTCTGGTTTAGTTTTTATGTCTACTGCCATTTCTACTAAAAAGGGGAAAGACTATCAAGGGACTGCTGTATGAATTATGATGCCACTCGGATTTTCAAGTGTACCACTGTTTACAGAAAATACTAAATTAATTTTATTGTGGTAGTTTTATATTTCTGTTTGCAGAATGGCCAAAATAAAATTTTAAGTTTCATAAAATATACGTTTCTGTGTTAAACATTAATTTTTTATATTTTCAAGCAACTTTAGACCTCATGCAGAACTGTTTTTATGTGTTTTTGAGTTTTACAAAGTCCTCAGTCATATAAATGAATCAAGTTCAGTACAGTTATATTTTATGTGAGAAGGCATGGAACCATGGAGATATCATCTGAACCCTTGCAATGTAGCAAGTATTACAATGTATTGCAAAGCATTACTACATTAGTATAGAGATTTGACTGCCTCATGAACAGCTAACAGTCTAAGTCATTTAGTTTAGTTTAGTTTAGATGTTTGTACACCTTTAAGAAAAAAGTTTAGGTGGGACTGTACTAGTTTCTTGCGTTGTGCTATATGTAGCGGCATGTGTGTGGTGTACGCTCAGTGCTGTCTTTGTAACGCCTTCCTTCACTTTGACTAAGAGATAGAGAGTGACAGTGGCCACTTTGTTTGCCTGTGTGTCTGTGCCTCTGGATCTGCTCATTGTTTGTGCAGTGTGTGGGTGTGTGTGCTGGTGATGGGTAGTACAGTAGACGACACAAGACTGAGCTGAGATTGGTACGCCATTCTCTCACTCTTCAGCCCACAGGCCATCGCAACACATTTTCATAACTATCAAAAGTTCTTCAGTTTCATCTCCACAATCATCCATATGTTTGTAGCTGGTCGCCATGGAAACAAAGTTTGGGTGGGCCGCAGTGGGGTGTAGAGATGAGATTAACTGTGTGACTTGTACTGGGTTAAAGGAAGTAGAACAGCAGGCAATGGAGAACTGACTTGACCTCTGTGACAATACACAACATTTTTTTAAAAATCCGTTACTTGGTATTGAGATACAAATTATCCTGGTGGGCATACTGTCAAATATATATATATAATTTAAAAAAAATCTGAATCTGATTTTCTGAAGAGACCCTGTTCAAACTACAACAATAAATATTATAATGCACAGTTAAATATGTTGAGTGTTTTTTATTTTATTTTATTTTTTATGGAAGGTAGTTTTAATGTGTGTTTATAATGTGGCATTTAACATTATGGGAAGCACACTGGTAGAACAGCCAGCCAGCAAAGATGCTTTTTATTTTCTTGCTTTTTAATGGCTGTAATTAAGCATGTTGTGTGTGACACCTCCTTTAGCTGAACATGAAAGGGAAAAAGCTCTGTTGCCATTAGTGTCTGTCCATCTCTGCTGTGCTTGTGTCTAAAACCAACCTTGTGTTAGTAAGACAGAGGCCAGTATTGTTGTGCTGCTGCTCTGATGGATGTCTTACTGATGACTTCATTGTGTCATGAACTGTCCCCTTATCCTTTTATAGGATGGACCACAGTGGTGCCGGCTCGGGCATGGAACCATCCCGGAGTGGAGCAGCGTTCCAGACACACCCAGTATGTATAGCTGTTTCAGTTTAAAATAAATTTTTTTATTTTCATGATCAAGTTGTTGTAGTGTTGGTATATGCATTTCAGGAGATCCAAACACACTAGTCAGCAAATGGTGGGAAAAATAGACATAGCTTCTCCCTCACGAGCAAGCACATACATGAGACATTTTTGGAATCGCAACTATAAAAAAGGTGCCAGAGAGTGTGAGAAAGGTTGACTAGACACCCATATACGAACTGTGCTCTTTCAATGTAGCACAAATGTAATCCATGGGTTTCAGTTGATTTGAAGCTTGGGATATTGATATTTAAAACTGGGCTGTCTTTGGTGGTGAATGGTCCTCAAAATGGTAGCTACAGCGGTCAGAAGTAGTGTGACTAGATCCTATGTTTACGTTTAATATCTTAAGGCAGTTGAAGCAATTTTCACCTCCTTTTTCTGCACGCAGTTACTCAGCTGTAGTCTAAGCAGGGATGCCCAGACTGTCCTTTCCATGCACAGTTCCTCCATTTCCTCCAGAGGATGTCAGACGTTCCCAGACTGAGAGCTATGCGACATTAGACCAGGTCTCAACCTGGTGGAACATGCACAGAATTTCTTCCAGGGAGGTGTACAGGCAGCATTTGAAAAAGGATGTCCGGAACATTTCATCTGTCTACATAGATGTGGAGGAGCAGCAGCTCTAGTCCAAAGAAACTCATTTTTGACTACGTATATCCAAGCTCTTGTTCTTTTGGACATCAAACTCGAGATTAAACCTAAAATGAAACCTAAATGCCAGTGCTCTGTGTGAGTAGCACTCATGCTATACAGCAAGAAGGTTCCAGGTTTAATTCCCTGGTTGCCTGGGCCTTTCTTTATGGAGTTTGCATTTTTCTCCTCGTGTCTGGATGGGTTTCTCTAGGCACTCCAGTTTCCCCCATCAAGCCAAAACATGCACCATAAATACAGTCCTCCAGCTAAGATAGTCCTGACCAAGCCTAGCAACATGATCTCAGAGATGGGTCCCTAAACCTTACACTGTGGCGATCACTGCTCCTGAGGTAATGTCCCAGTGGTATTGAAGGATGAGTTAAATGCAGAGGGACAGGGACAATAAAAGTAGACCTTACTTTAAAGGGAACTTATACTGAAAATGAACTGTCAAACTGTCAGAAATCACTGGCTTGCACACAGCCAGGTAATGTCAGGCAGGTGGCACATATGTGTGCACGAACAGCTTGGAATTTGACCTAGTTCACATGGAGAAGACGATCACATCAAGAGGAGTGACTGCAAGAACCACTAAAGGTGATGTCAAGAGCACTTTTACACTGCCATGTTATTTCCCGTTTGTTGTCCCTTCAAATGATTCACTCACTACTTTATGATTTTTTTCTTCTCCTTCTATGTAGCTAAAATGTTTGAAAGTAATTCTTTTGCAGAGATCACAGAAACCCATCATATTTTTAGATTTTTCCATAGACAAACATCTGTGCTTTGTCTAGAGGTCTGAGAACTTAGTTTTGATGTGATATTACCAATCATCAATGTAACCTGAAAACCTGGGAATGTAGCCGTGCTCTTGGTGGTTTGAAAGAGGCTCTACAATAACAATGGAACCTATGTTGCCAACATCTTAATCTGCATAATAAGGACACAAGTAATAATAAGTTTTTCTCATTTTCAGTATTTGGACATGTATAATGTGAAAGCTCAGACCCTCAAGAATACAGTCACTGAACTGCAGAGGCCACGCTAGCACCGATAGAAAAATATGTTTTGTTTTTTTTTACTGTCGCTTCTTCACAGATCTGACCTGTAACTTGCTTCTGCCCCCAGTTTGTCTCTATGGAAATAGTTTAATGCCATACTGTGGTACATTTTCAGAGAAAGCAATACCATATTGACAAGCAAGTGGAAGACCCCTTACCAAAAAAGTTACATAATGAAACTTTAAACATAATTAACTTTAATTCTTAAAAATAGCAGCTTATAGTGCATTAGTGCTATGGGGGTAAAAATGGGAATGACATACATCATATTACTAAGCTACTCAGCCAACTGCTCATATATTTACAAAGGCTTTAGTATAAGTGTATTTTTAGACTCTTAAACTCTCTTGTATAGAAAAACCCTTGAGGCGGGCAGTGGCACTAGAAGATTTCCTGCTTTATTCTGTTCCCTCTTGTTCCCCTCTTCCTCTCCGGTTTTCTTTGAGGACCACATCAGTGCTTTGAGGAATTCAGGAGGGCGGATAGAGTGGGGCATGCAGGTGCAGAACATTTGGTCCCTGAAAATGCATGACGCATCCGGGTTTATCAGAGGTAGAGGCAGGAAGAGGAGGGCAGACAAAGCAGTCATAAACACTGGTAGGGTGAAAGTGGGAAAAAAGATAACATTTAAGTGTACTGAAGTGGAGAAGTAAGTGTACAGTGGAATTGTGTGCATTTTACAAAATGACATCATAATTCTCTATTTTAAATTGCTTAATTTCATGTAAAATAATGAATACTTTCTTGAACAAAACAGTATAAAAGGCAAAAACAGAAGGTCATGGAGGACAAAGAGCAGTGGAGACAGAGGAGGGAAGCCTGTTGGAGCTAATTAGAGTTATAAAAGGGGCCAGGGCAGTAGTGACAGTGGTACGTGGAGGAGAGGGAGGGGTTAGAGACTCCACAGTGCTGGGAACCAGAACAGGGCTACTCCACAGTGGAGAGAGCTGAGGCTCAGAGCCACGCAGAAATACACTCACTGTAATATAGGTGAGCTATGAGTCCGGCATAAAGTATTTGAGTCTTTACATGTGCGGTTCTACATATAAAGATTATGTGGTCCTTTTCTGTTACAGTAGGTCTCTTGCCATGAAAACGTCTGGGAGGTCCTGTATGGTTGGGAACTCTCGCCTCTTGTTAGTCACAACACACTGTGGTCTTTGATCAGCTCAGCTGACTCCTAAGCTCAGCTTAGTGCTGCAAGGCTCTGGAAAATGTGAGGTGAGAGAGGAATATGATGGAGCCACAGCAGCCAGCGAAGCACGTAGCCCTGGTTCTCACCATACTACACACAGAGCATCAGGAGGGGTTCAGCTGTAGTCAGCCATGAACACTGGGTCATATAGTCCATTTAGCAAACACGAGGATGAGAGGAGCAACAATGCCTACAAGATAATTGTGGAATGTTTTTCAATAGATGTGACACTTCAACTTAAAATTGGATGAATCTGAAGTATCATTGATCTGCAATTACATGCATAGGACCACCTCAGTTTTAGCTCTTAGGTCATTCCTTTCTCCTTTAGAAGTTGCTGCTTGTGCCGTAGAAAAGCCATGTTTCACTTGTCTCCACAAAAGCAAACTTGCTATCTTCTGAGGAGCTCTTGAGCTGGACAAAAAGACGCACTCAACTAAATAATTCATTATACTTCATTAGCATCATAAAAACAATGTGTTTTGAAGGTGAAAAAAACACTTGACATGCTGGAATGATGGGTCATTAAAGTCCGTAGCATAGTCCTTCATGAGAATATTCACATGTCAGTCCATGTGATTGGTGCAGGTGTTCTCACAACCAGAAAAAAATAGTTCAACATCAATTTGAACAGTGGGGTGTTAAGTGATCTACTAAAAACTAAAATGATCTATAGGCTATGTTGGGTTATGTAATTTTTCTCCAATGCTGTTTTCATGTCCACATGTTTTTCACAGTTACCTTGGCAGCACTGACTAATCCGCTGGGCCTCTGACATCTTCATTATGTGTGTGTATGTGAGTGTGGCCGTGAGATAATACCACTGGTCATTTTACGCCTTGGACACACAAGATAACATTAGGAAGGGGTCAAGTCACTAAAGCCAGTGAAGCTGAACTTTTAATTGAAGCGGCCTAACTTCAAAACAGCAGGTGAGCGGATGTAAAATCAGTGAAACACACAAGCACACAAACACTGTTTAACATACTATTATAGCCTTGATGCTTGCTCAACTACACAATTCCACTGTTGGTACAAATACAGAAAAACTAACAAACATTGTCAACAATGTTTGCTGACAAATTACACAGTGCAGTCAATTACAAATTGATTTTATTTACTTTTATTTACAAATTTTGTTAGTGTGTTTTGTGTGTGAGTATACCTCCCCCTATAGCAGATCGACCAGTAGACATTTGTTTTGGTCCAAATCGAGCACTTTTAGCCTGCTCTGAACACTTGTTTTTCTTCTCTTTCCTCCTCTCTGTCTGGATCAGCTGACCCCTGTGTCTAGACCCTGCTACCACCACTGGAGCAGCTACTCAGATCTCACAGCCCTGAGCATGAGGTCAGTGAGGCATGAAGTTACACAGACAATAAATATTCAAGAAATAATTCTTTCATACAAAATCACATATGAAAATGTTTTATGTATACTAATTTTAAACAAATGCCTGCTTTTGTGTGAGGTCACATGCATTTTTACATGGCCTGTTGTTTTTCATTCTGTACTAGGTTCAAGTACTAGGTTCATTCAGTTACCTCCAGATATTAAAGCTGCTTCGTCATTTTGAATAGGTACCTTCCTGTTCATGCCGATGTTCCACTGCATTTTCATTATACATGAAGCCATTATTGTAAAAGGATGTAAAAGGAAGAGTAAAGAACATGACTGCTTTACACTGTGTGTGTCCGTGTGTGTGTGTGTGTGTCTGTGTGTGTGTCTCCATGTGCGTGTGTGTGTGCGTGTGTGTGCATGTGCAGTCTTGGGTGAGACATGTCTCTTACTGATGTGAGAAAACTGTCTTAGGGCTCTAGTGTACTGAGGCTAATTGACAATAATATTTAACTTACTCAGAAGTGAGTTATGGTAATTGAATGATGAGAGTGGAGGAAGTCCATGACATGTGCTGTACTGTGGGAACACAGAGCTTGAAGTGTGTCTGTCTGTTAAGATGAGTCTGCACAACTCGACCCACTCTGACTATGCCTTCATACCCCGCCGTCACCATGGTGATGAGAGGGGCTTGCCACAGCAGCCCATAACTTACCCAGAGCCTGCCTGGATGTGACATGTCCTTTTCAGTCTACCTTTGTCTGGAGCTGATTTACGCATGTATATTGGGCACCTTGTATGAACAATTTAGACGATCAAAGAGAGACTGTGGCATAGAGTATATCAGGATATAATTTCACATCATATGGCCCAGTTAAATGTGTCTCACTGCATAGTTATACCTGGAGCCAGATTTGTTTCCTGACCACTGCTGGATGTAGATTGTTTGATATACTGACAGAAACAATTTTGAAAGTTATTAGCTTGCTGTTTTGTGTATAGACCATGGGATTGCTAAGAACATGAAAATTCTATTGCAACATCTAACTTTTATTTGTGAATATCACTGCATATGCCAGTTGGGAACCTCTTGGTAGGACTTGGTATGTTAAATTTAATGTGATTAAGTTACAAATCTATATCAAATACATTATAATTTGTATCTGCAGCCCTAGTATCTCTTAGCCTCAGACTCTTGAGTCACCTGCAGTTTGCTGAATGTTTCTCCTTGTGCTTTTTCTCCATTTAAGCTGCTGTCCTGCAAGCAAGCCAGTTAATTGAATATAGCTTTTACTATTTCACTATTTCATTTTAACTTTGTAGCCTAATCCTGTTCATTCTTTCCAACCTGACCCATCTACGACCCCTCCCACTAGGCGTTCCCTCAGCCTTTAATGCTCCAATCATGAGCTGACCCTTTACCCCAGCTCTTTGTGGGTAGCTTGTTAAGCTTTTTTTTCTATTCAAACATTTTTTTTTTCTCTTCCCCTCCGTCATTGAGCCACTTGAGGCTGCAGTAAACGGAAAGATTGCTTTGAGAGAGAAGCACAAGGATTGGATAAAGCCATGCAGACAGTGAGGCAGCAGCTGACCACCGCTAAACCTTCCTAACGCTCTTTTGGGGAATACACCAGGACAGTCCAAGAGGGAACGTGCTAGAATCAAACTCGTCAGGAACTAAACAAACTAATAGAACAGGAGATGAGAGTAGAGGCAGGAGATGCTTAGACGGACCAAGAAGTGAGTAGGACAATTAACAGGATTTCTAGTGTTTTTGTGAAGACTGTTACAAAAGTATATACAAAGTCTGACATAGGAAAGCATGGCCAACTCAGGTCTACAGCTGCTGGGATACTTTCTGGCTCTGGGTGGTTGGATCGGGGTCATCTCCACCACAGCTCTGCCCCAGTGGAAGCAGTCGTCATATGCAGGAGATGCCATCATCACAGCTGTGGGGCTGTACGAGGGCTTGTGGATGAGCTGTGCCTCTCAGAGCACGGGACAGGTGCAGTGCAAGATCTTTGACTCCATGCTCTCCCTAGACAGTAAGTACCACCTTCCATCTCTTCAACACTCTTTGGTCACAGGGCTGCAGCAGCTACAAGGTTTATGTTATAAAGTTATTATAGTGGCATTGCTGTTGTGTTCAGCATTTTTCTTCATTATATACAGTGGAGTGTGAATAATTTACATAATTGATTAATGTGAAATAAATATTTGTTTAAGAAGAATAACAATCTAAAAGTTTTACTGCAAATTGATGAATGACCAGTGACCTGAAGGTGCCTAATCACGATTGTTTTTGTTTATTCACAGTCTGTTTGTTTGTTTGTTTGTTTGTTTGTTTGTTTGTTTAAATGTCACTGTTTAGTGAACCATCATGTTTATCTGATTGCTGAAAATGTAAGTCCTGTCACTGTTTAAATTAGTAACTGGTGTTCCTCTCAAACCTCACTCAAATGCAGGCCTGGCACAGACTGATGTCTAGATAAATAAAATCTGAAGATTTAGAGCTTTACTATTGCACTTTCTTGTGGTCTCATCCACTGGAAAAGCAATAATGTGCGCAGGCAAAACAACCATTCATTTTCTCTTAGTATGGGGCACAACAAAACTGAGTTTAATGAACTCAGAGAGTAAACATGGTAATGTGTGAGGGGTGGGAGTGAGCAGGAATGTGGGCTTTAGACATAAATCTGCCCTCTGTCATCTTGCATCTATAACTAAGATGTAGTGACTCATAATTAATGGTACACTGAATACATGATCCCACCATTCTTCTGTATGCGGGAATCATTCTATTAAAATATATGGAGGTGCAATTACATCCTCAAGTATTTTAAAATAACTTTTTTTAAGCTTAAATGATACTTGAAGAAATATCGCAGTATGACTTGGTAAATCATTATATCAAAACAATTTGTGTCGTTTTCTTAGCATCAAACTCATCGGCTGTCTCTTTGGCTTTATGACTTGGATAAAGACGGTGTATTGTCCTGCCAGATGAATAGTGACTGTTATCAAAAGAAAAGCCCAGTGTTGGGCCAAACAGCAGAGATATTCCCAGAATGCGCTCTCTTATCCCCACACGCGCACATTGTTCAAACTTGACACAAAGTTAATGTTAAAATTAGTTCAGGGCATTTAAGCAAAATATTCAAGGAGATAATAAAATTACACTGTCAATTACTCACTCACATACTAGAATCATTGATGGTGGAAGTGCTTTACTACAACAATTGTCAAATCTGGGATTGAACCTCCTACCTTCCACCAACCACCATTTTATGTATTTATTTATTTATTTTTTTTATTTATGAAACATTTGATTGTATTTGGATGCACACAAAATACTTTTTCCCTTCCAATCAATAATTTTCCCCTGACTTGATTGAATATGTTACATCTGCAGTTAGAGGAACATGTGATGGGGCTGTGAAATTGTTCACCAGACTGTAGCACTCATCTGATATGGCTGGTGGGTTAGGCAAAGAACTGCTGCTGCTTGAATTTATGACTTCAAAAGTTTGTGGAAGTAATGATTTAACTCACTGCATTCACTCATGTGGTTTGGTTTGCTGTAGATGTGTAGATGTGTAGATAGTGGTGCTGAATGGACAGTTCTGCAAGTGGCATCTGAGCAGAAGTCCTGTTTACCCTGGGTGCTCCAGTATCCTGTCACCATACAAACAGTTACATGTCTTACAAGAACTGGTGATCCCAAATTTCATCAATTAATTTTTTTGTACTACTGCTGTATTCTAAATTAGGTAAGAGATCGATTAAATGTAAAACCACAGCATGAATAGTGGTTGGATTTGTACGTCAGTGTCACTCTGAGCACTTTACAGTGTTTTGGTGTATTCCTTATGCAGAAATTATGAAAAATATGCTTATGGAGAGTGAAAGTGAGTTAAAGTACAGTATCTGAAATGGTGTGCAACTTCTTACCCTTAACATTTAAACATTTTGATAGCCCCTTGCCACCCGCCTTACATAACAGCTAATGTGGTATTGTTAGGTTCAAAGTGAACATATCAAAGTGAAAGGATATGCTGCTGTTTGCTACAGTCACACTGAGCTCACAATGGTGCTCTAAGTTCCTGCACACAAACTCATTCAGAGCTTAAGACTGGCACCACCAAGCTTGCTTCTGAGGCGAGAAAGAGCTCTGTTCTGGCCTGTGCACCTCCTTCTAGCCTCAGCTTGACCCCAAAGACCCCCAAAGTCCCCTGAAGCCCACTGATTTGTCACTGGTCGGTCAGAGGATAGTGTCATTTAACAGGCTGAACCCCCTCACACTCTGTGAAGAGTGGATGAAAAGGATTTCTTTCTGCTGTAAACCATTCACAAACTTCATCAAAAGCAGTGGTGGAACTCCATAAATCACACTTCAAATGTGGTGCCGTCTCTCACTGTGTTTGAATGATGTATATACTGTAGAGCAGATGTCACAAAGTGAAGCCTTTTATGTTTTTGTATATGTGCTTTTTAAATGTGCTGACTGTTGCTGACTTCTCTGGGGATCATAAATATAGTCATTCATCTTCAGTGTTTTTTACTTATAAGGGGTGGCAGAAAAAAACCTCTCTCAGTATGGGTCTGAGGTGAAGTAAAAACTTGATGGTCACTTAGATGCATTGTCAGAAAATACACTGATTAAAGTTATAATAGGTATAAGAGGGGATAGGTTTCCAACTGTCAGAAAAGCATTGCCAGTTAAGTGACTACAAGTGACATGGTGATAACAGATATTACACTCTATCCCTACGGGGCAATTTAAGCACTCTGACCAGTTAAATAGGGGAATAAATAGAATAACTGAACAAAGATCTCTGCAGCTTAACATGAGGACTCATCACAATTGGTCAGCAAATCCTGTGTCAGGACAGTCTGATGTGGTCAATAGCCCTCAGGACAAAAGTGTCCAGGGGGACACTCTGCATGTTTCAGTTGGCGATGATGCATACCATTGAATGTTTTCTGCTGCAACTGTAAAAACTCTGTAGTATTTCAGGTCTGACATTATAAGATTAGCTAAGAGCATTACTAGGCCTCCAAAAATGTTAATCAGACAACTCAAACATTTTTGAGTTGAGTTTGAGGGGATGGGGACTCCTATGATGCTAAAAAAATGACTTAAGAAATTTTAAATAGTTGCAGTCAACCGCATTGTGACTTGCGGATGAAAACAATCAAGCATTGTGCAAACTCCACACTGATCCCACTGTGTCCAACGTGTGGAGCATGCCTCCTACAGCCGCAGCATGACTCCATCTGGGCTGCTCCACCTACTGTCATTGTGCTGCTGTGTGTCCCAGTACTTACATGTGTGTGTACGTGTAAGTATGTGCAGCCCACAGAGTTATGTATGTGTGCGGGTCAGTGTAGGTAGATCATTAGATGGTTGTGACGACAAACATGCTGTGGAATGAGCCGCAAGAGGGTTTTGAGGAGCATTCGAGGTCTGAATACTTGGCTGTGAATACAGTGAAAGGAGAAATTAAGTTGGTGAGAGAAAGAACCCTCAATAACTTTATCTGATCATATAAAGTAAATAGAAATGCTACACTACAAAATAAGGAAGTGAAAACCTGTTTTATTCAAAATATTGTCACATTTTTCTGTTGTTAACATTGATCTCTTTCTGTTTCCTCTTCACTGAGATATTTAGTTTTGTACATTCTTGGTTAAAAACATGTTCAAATGGACAGTGGTGGACTGAAAGTGGTCACCATTTGCATAGCTTCATTCTTGTCTAATCTAATTTTCTTCAGTGTTTTTGACATGATTGAGTAATCTGTCTTCTCTTATATCTAGTCCACATCCAGACATGCCGAGCCCTCATGGTGATCTCTGTGCTACTGGGATTTATGGGCATCATCATCAGTGTGGTGGGCATGAAATGTACTAAAGTGGGCGACAACAACCCCACCACCAAAACACGGATCGCTGTCACTGGTGGAGCGCTTTTTCTGCTTGCAGGTGAGATTATACTATATTATACGGCATGTATTTAAGGTCTTTATGTTCTACTGGTGTAGTGTTCATAGTAGAGCGACTGCTCCTCTTGATGTTCCCTGGACAACACCTCCAAAAGATTCTCTTCTGCCTCTCAAAACCATGAAAAGTAACAATTTGAAGAGAGCAGGAGGCTTTGTCTAAGGAGTTAGCTGTAGATCATTTAGATAGCCATAGACAGACATGTTTGAAGAGTGGTAAACTGAAAGTGGCCATTTCTGATAATTATTAAATGTATCTGTTCTACTTTTTCCAGGTCTATGCACACTGGTGTCTGTGTCCTGGTATGCCACTCAAGTGTCTTATCAGTTCTTCAACCCCAACACCCCAGCCAATGCCAGGTTTGTCAAAATCACACATTTTTAATCAACATTATTCTTGTTTTGGTTGAGTTATAGCAGCTAAAGCAGAACAAACTAGAACTGTCTTTGTTTGCATTAAGTCATGTCTGAACTGGATATCTTCAGGTACGAGTTTGGTTCAGCCCTGTTTGTGGGCTGGGCAGCAGCCAGTCTGACCATCCTGGGTGGCTCCCTCCTGTGCTGCTCCTGCTCCAAAGAGGAAATGAGAGGGCAGCAATATTACCGCCAATCACAGCCTTCCACAACCAGGGAGTACGTGTAACCCCGTCCCCACAAGCACAGCACCCAAACAGACAGCACAGGACAGGTTTTACACATTCATAGATTTGCTACTCAAAACCAAAGACTGCAATAAACAAGATATTCTTCTATATCTATTCTTCTACATCTGCTGTTCACACCCTTACATGCCAGTATCTAGTAAACAACCTTTCTTTATGCAAACAACTTACCTTATCTAAGTGACTATAGGGCATGCTTTGATAAGACACATATCCTGTCCTATGCTTCCAGGTTGGAGCTGTGTCATGTACTGTAGCTTCAGCTCAGTTTTTGTATTCACTGCCCGCTGTTGCAATTGCAGTTTATAAATACTACAGAAATAATTATTATTATCATTCAGGATGGGTAGTATGTCACATGTACTGGGGGATGGGGAAGATCTGTAGTGTTTATAACACAGCCACAGTTGCAACAGTGCAAACATGTGATCATTGTATGTGTATGTGACATAATGAAGATGTCTCATTCAAAAGAATGTGTGTTGTTAACTGTTATCAATACCAGTTTTAACCTAATTATGTAATGTCTCATGAACTCAAATAACCATTAGTCACAGCAAGCTATGTTTTGTCATGTAGCTAAAAGTGAACAATAAGCTAACCGAAGCTACTAAATGTTTAAATCCATTTATTTGGTCCTTCTAATAAGCTAATTTAAACATTGGTTTAAATTAACTCGGGTCTCCCTCTACTTCAACACTATGGTTTCTACTGAATCACTTCCTCTTGCAGATAAAAGACATTAGTTTCTAGGAAAGCCGCCTCTGTGCAGTAGCTTACTTTGAGAGGGCTTTATTATTCTCTGATGGAAGAATGTAGGTCTTTGAAAGCCTTTTGTCTCTTTGAGTAAGGTTGTAGGACATCACTGGGCTGTCAGCTACAGCTGTGCCCTTAAAGACTAGTCAAAAACAATCGGGTTCAGAGCAGTTTTCTCCCTAATACCTAGAGAAGCCATGTTCCAGAATGCTTTCCTCTCTGACCTTTGGATATGTTAGTGAAGAGGCCTTTGCAGGGCATAACACTTTCATGTTGGATTAATTTTCATGCTTTATGAATTCACCTTTCAGCTTTAACCTGCTTGTTTAACCTGCATCACATATGTATGTCTCATGACATATGTAAAAGCTTATGTGGTCCTCCAGTCCTCTAACCCTTTGTCTCTGGCTTCTTTCTTCTTCTCTTCTCTAATTCAGGGCAGAGTTGTTGAGTGAGACTAGTTTCCATGAATGATCAGCCCCGGCCCTATTATCGAGGACTGTCCCAGTGTCTACCCCTGTTCTGTACTTTAAACACTATCTGTTGTAGTTACATTCTAGTTAAATGCATTGATCCCCTTATTTCAGTTTATTTGTGAATATGGACTTTCAAAGAATATCTCCTCTTAGAACCAGCACTACCTATATTGTATGCAAGCTAACATTGGTTGCATCATGTGTCTTTTGTTGTGCTGATTTATTGTTTTACATTTGGTTTGTAATTGTATGTTTCGCTGTAGTTTCTTAGTTTTTTTTGTTTTTTTTTAATGTCACAGTACTTTCACTGAAACATGTTTTTTTTCCTTTTGAATTGCAGAACAAATGTTAAAACTACCCCACCAGAGAAAAGGGAGCAGTACTTGTAGTTTGGGAGAGTCTTCAGGCCTTTCAATTTTTTAAAATGTGTCTCAAAACCATCTCACTGAAGTTCACAAAACAGACAAAAATGGCAGTAATACTGACAACAATCTAAAATTCTTCTGTCTCACATGGTCCTGGAAACGTTGAAGCATTGAGCTAGTCTGTTTTGTAGTTTCAGGAGAATCTGTCATTCAGGGTATGTTTTATGTAACCTGTTACTATGCCCAGGTGTATATACCACCTATGTTTCTTTTTGTGCTACTTTAATGTTTTACTACTGCCTTATAAATAACATGTGTCTTTAACTAGAAGAACTCTTGGGAATTTGACAGCCAGCATATCTGTCTTTTCTAAAACTGAAATGAATGTGAAATACTGTGGAATTAAATTTTGGCCAAAATGCTTATATGAAGTACTGACTTCAGCAAGTGGGATGAAATGGTGGTCAAGATCTGATTTGGAGAGTCCCCCCTTGAAGGTCTCCAGTATGAGTAGTGGCTGCTCCATGGTACCGCAGCAGGAAAATCCCCTCTGCCTGGCCCTGTGTTTGGCTACAGGGTATCTCCAAACAGGGTGCAGATTTACTGAATTACACCTTCAGATGACCATTCCTCTTCATTTATTAAACCTTGTTCAACCAATTCCCTTAAAAAGTAACTCATTATTTAGCATAGATATTTTAAAGCTATCACGAGTCGAGTGACCCACAGTGACTTCAACGAGGCAATGACGTGTGTGTACATGTGAAACAAGAGTGGTACTTCTCTCCAAACACATGGTTTACAGTTGGGTAAAGCCACACTACATGGTGGAATCGGATGTAAACATCAAATGTAGGATAATATAGGATATTTTGTATTTCTGATGGCTTTTGTCACATTTTATTTCATATTTTTGGGAGTAAATTTAATTCCAGGTATATAAATTACCACTTCTAAACATGTACAGTAAATATTCCTTAAAGCTTATGACACTGTGCACAGAGAAGCTGTGTACAGACTGCAGAGAATCCATTGTGCCAATATGTGTAAATATCAGTCATAATATTAGACTGTCAAAATGTACTGTACTGTTCTGTTAATATAAAACAACAACTGTTATCACTTGCATTTATTTACCATGCCTTCTTTTTAATATTTGCCATCTTGTTGTGTACCATCTCATTTACACCTGTATGTTTCTTTTAAAATAAAGTAAACAGAACACATATATTTGCTTTGTTTTTTCTCTTTGTATTGGTCCTGACTTGGCATTCTTTCCCCAATCCGGTCTCAGTCAAATCTCACCTGCCTCCTGCTGTTCGATAATTGTAGATGTGAAATTCCACTTCTGCTCTAGTGGGTTATGGCACATTCTCCCTCAGTGGACCAGGCCAGTGTGTGTCCTGGACTGAACCGAACGCTACTACAGTTACCATGGAGCTCGTAGAAACACAACCGATAACAATACAACAATGGCAATGGGGGAAACAGTACAAACATGCTGTGGCCATCAAAGTGTTCTTGTGTTTACGCTTGCTGTGCCAATATAAAGTGTGTATAGCCCTGAATATTTTAAATCAGAATGCTCTTTTCAATAAACACACACAAAATAAAAACTGTTAAGCAAATGATTTTAAAAGAAATGCACAATCCAAGCAGCACCATACAGGGATGCATTTATCAAAAACAATAACAGAAATTCTCAGAAATTCTAATAGTCAAAGTTCCACTATGTAACCACCTACTTGCTTTCCATGGAGATGTTATTGCTTTACTTGGAATGTTCCACAGTCTGGCATTGTCTCTCTTAGATTAATTTTATTAGAAGTGTTTTTATTGCTCAAGAATACATGTATTCTGTGCATGCACTGTAAGCGGGTTCACAAATCACAAACTTGGTCTTGTGGAGTCATCTGATTGTTTCCATCAATGTAAACTTAATGCTATACTGTGGAATATTAATGACCTCTCTGTGTAGACAAGCAGGTAGCAGACCATTCGCCAGAAAAGTTGCATGGTGCACCTTTAACAACAGTGTACTTAAATCGAGGTGTGTGAGAAAGAGGTGGTCGGACATTTTGCTGTGTGTGTTCTGTGCATTAACAAATGTTGTTGTGAGGACGTCCTGAGGCAGAGGTGGTGGGAACAGAGAGAGGATGTGAAATCTGTCACACAGCTGATATGTACGAGCACACTCACAGCTCACTACATGGGCTGCTGCTAAACACACAGTAAACACGCTCGTCTTTGCTCACTAATGCCTGTAGACAACTTAAAGGTGCTGTAGGCCTATGCCTGACCTTAAAGGTGCATTGTATTTTTCTGGGTCTGCTGCCTGCTTGTTTCTATGAATATGTAATTTCACTGCCTGTAATGACAAAATATGACATCGCACAGGTCTATCTTACATTTATTTAATTACACGTGGTTTTATAGCTCAAAAAAACAGGCATTAGGACTGTGAGCGGGGTTGCTTCTCCACAGATCTGACCTGTAACTTGGTTTGCTTTGCTCTCCATGAAGATAGAAAAGTTTAACACCATACTGTGAAACATTCCAGACAAGGCAATAACATCTCCATGGAGAAAAGGATTTGACCGACCCTGCACCAGAAAGTTACACAATGCACCTTTAAGTTAAATTTATGCATTCCAAGCATCCTAATTATTTACCATAACAAATTATAAATACAACTATCAGAGACTACAGTAAAGTTTTGGGTGACTGTAAGGCCACAACTACTTGCATGCTAATGGGCACTTTCTGACTTATGAACACACTTCACAAATAGACTCATAAAAAAGTAACACACATTGGGCTCATTAGCTTCCAGTTCACATTGTAGACACACACTTAACTTCCTCTCATGTCAAGGTTTTACTTTAATTTTGCATAACCACGTATACTAAGTCCCCCATGCGTTGTCCCATTTCAAGTAAAAAAAAAAAAAAAAAAAAAAAGGCATACAGATGTCAGTTATAATAGTGTTGCATGTTTGATTAGCCTACTCTTTATTGTTGCCTAATATTTTAGTCACAGTTTGTTTTCACAGTGACCACATGATTTATATTGTGAGTAGAAACCACAAATACATGTTACCAGTACTAGAGTTACGACTTGACTGTTCTTCTGGTAAACATTTACTGTTACCAACACTTGAGTCAATGTGAGTCTGGAGTTAATAAAGACTACTGTGTTAACTTACATGTCATTGTGTTATGCTGGCCAGACTTACAAGAGATTGCTGATGTCTTTTTAATGCATTTCTTTCAGTAAACACATTAATGCCCCAAATGCCTTTTGGATGAAACATTACCACATATCAGTTAAGAAGAGTAGACAAATAAGAGTCAATGAGTTTAGAAAGATAAAATGATATGAATGTGGGTCAGGGCTGCAAATACAAACCACAAACCAGACTTCTGCTGCTGGATGTGATTAGCTTGATGGATTAGAGACACAGGCCAGTCTGCAGTAACAGATGGCTCTGACAGAGGGAGCCAGAGACTCAGTCACGATCTTGGGAGCCCATGACCCATATTTAGAGATGTTCACATTTATAGACTTTTCGTTCTCTCGTCGTCTAACCAGGCATTGACCCTTTTACATAATGACGATGAGAGTATGAAAAATATTCTATATGGTTTCAAACTTAGAGTAAAGTAAGATAATTATTATCTCTTATCTATAGACCTAAGTAGTATCTCTTGGTCATAGTAAGTTGAATCAGTGCATTTGTCTAAAATGTATTTAATCTTGGGAATAATTTGAATGGTATCTTCTTGAGCTCACACATCACAAAGCTGTCCAATAATGACTGTGGCATGGAAAGTGTATTTAGAGGTTAAAACTACTAGGCAAGGTTAAGCAAGTCCAAAAGAGTTAGTTCTATCTTTTCTTCATTTAAAAAAATGTGCCTAATTTGCAGACATAAATTCATTTTAAATCCACTCAGATATTTGCTGAGCTACAGACTGTGAGATGGCGTGACAAAAAGTAACGTTTAATGTCACAGTCAGAGAGATTCAGATGATCTGACGATTTGAGCGAAGAAAATGTTAAAGGAAGTCAGGCAAGGCTGCGGGGCGACCGATTACCTCTAGAGGGCACTGTTTGACTACACGTTCACATTTTATATAGCTGTTCCGCTGAAAAGCCTATTTCAGAAGTAGGCTATTCTACTTTTGTTTCCTGAATCTAAAATGTTTAAAAGTCTCATGTTAAAATTTTTAAAAAGTGCGTGTGTGTCACTTCAACACTGTTATATATTATTCAAATTATGTTGAAAAATCTTGAACTAAGTCATTACTTTATGCAAATATAGCTACCCTAAATGTATTTACTTTGGGATATGTGGTCTGATCTGTCAATAGCCTACTATCATAAGTTGTGATGAGGACATAACTCAAAAGTCAAAAGAAACCCAGATATGAACAAGCACTCAGTGCGTATAAGTTGGAAGATTTAAAGCTGTCATGTTGCTCTGTCAGTCCTGTAATTAGTTGTAGGCATTGACAGACGGTCCCTCCTCCTAAGAGCATTCAGGTCCAGCCTATAAACATGCAGCTGTCAGGGAAGGTCAATGTGCTGGGTTCTTGAAAAATCAACTGTAAAATTGTTCTGCTTGTGAGTTGAAAGTGACGCCAAGTTCCCAGATTTTTCATATATTTTTATCTTCACTTGAACTCAACATGAACTTTAAACTTCAAAGTGGAACTGTTGCGCATTATTGGGAGCACTGATTCAGAGGGAAAAAAAAAAAAAAAAAAAAACTTCAGAAAAGTGTTGAAAGCACAAGGACGAGAACTGCTTGACTTGAAGGGACAGCTAGCCTATATATTTGTACTTATCTTAGTAAAACCCTAATTATGCAGAAACTAGTTGTTTACTTTCATCTTTAGCTTGGCACTGGATAACCTTTTTGTTGCAACCTCCAATTGTTTGAGATTTATTTTTAAATGAATGTTTTTCTTTATATATATATATATATATATATATATATATATATATATATATATATATATATATATATATAGGGGGGATGCTGATACTTCTGACAGAAACACAGAAAAGAGAATAGTAAATCAAAAAGAAAAAAAAGCAACAACAAATATGTGCTTTCCCATTCAGATTTTTTCTTCATTCTTTTTTGTGACCATAAAACATACCAACAGTGAATATAATGAAATAATAATTTTACTTACTCAGTTTATAATTAGTGTAAAATACAGAATACATTGTGTCATTTGTGAGCCCAGATCTCTGTTCTTTTCAGTTCTTAAAGCCTCATAATCTCTTATCAATTGCTCATTATCATTAGCTCCATAAATACAGGGTAAGACTGGTGTGCAGGGGAGGACCATCACAGCTCTTTGATTCTAACAAGGTCAGGGGAATCGATTGGCTTTGATTCTGATACTTTGCTTCCAGAAACATCCAGTTCCACTGCCTGAAGGTTTGAACATGTCTGACCACACAAACACAAACACACACACACACGCACACACACACACGCACACACACATACGTGCGCTTTTGCATCTCATTAAATATTGAAAAAAATTTGGATAAACGCCTCATTAGTGTACTGTATATTTACAAATCATTTGACCTAATCCTTAATCATAATCATTTAACAAAAAAGACAAAGTGTAATTGAACTGCATTCATTTGAAATTGGAAACCAGGACTTCAAAGTAATTCAGAAAGCAAACGTCAAGCCCCAGAAGAACACAGGGTATTTTTGTTTATGGGAAAACAAACCAAAAACTTAGAACCACTGTCTTTGGGATAAGAAAAGCCCGCATAGAAACATAACTGATAAATATGCAAACTTCACCGAATTACCTAATTAGTTATGACATGACAACAGTCTATCTTTGTTTACTTTGAAAAAATTATTTACCTTGAAGCTCAAAGGTCAAAGACTGAAACCCAAAGCACTTCTAACTACCAAACAAAAAGTGCAGCTCTTCTCTCCAGTCTGAGTTTCTGCCCATCAGCCTGAAAAACCCCCCAAAACAATTAGAGGACTGAAGCATGTGCAAAGTGTAGGCCTTCAATATGGACGTGTCACTGCTGACAGCCATGTTGCCTTGGGCAGCATTACAAATGAAAATGTCTGTGTACCTTGCTCATCTTTGAAGTCTTTCCATTGAGACAAAATTAAATGCTCTGAATCCATGTACTTTAGGTTTGTATCTGCGTTTGTGCTTCAAGATCTTCCAG